CTCATTGGTATTGCTTTTGCATTACAATAATTAAGCATATAATAGTCATGCATCCAATTATCCACCAAGCTCAGCAAAAACAGCTCTGGTTTTAGTAAGATATCATTTTTCCGCATTTTACCATGCATTTGAATCCAAGACATTGTGTCAACAGAGAAAGAAAAGGTAGAGCTGAACCTGCCTCAACAGCTTCCTCCAAGATATGAAACTTGTTAAGCCTGTTTTTTAACATCTGCTTTACCATGCCTATACTGATTAGCAATTCATCTACTGCCAGTGTCATAAACAACACACTGTGCCTTAACCAGGCAGCTGTTGAATGAGATGTTGGGCACATTTACACTGTGGGATTAATGCAGTTTAACTGCTATGGTTCAATGCTATGGAATCATGAGTTGTAGTTTTGTCACCTCAATCTCTTTCAAGGTGCAGCTTTAGAAATATGGTCACAAAATGTTGACATTTTGTGGAAAGAACTACACTCTACACTTCTACACTTCTTTCCATTTTGTGGAAAGAACTACACTCTACATTTTTAATATACATCCAAAGATTTCTATCCAGATAGTGTCTGTCACTGTGATAAATTAAAAGCACTATTTGCATTTTCTCCAACTTGTCTTTCTTAGCAGTTATTGGCTGGTGCCCTGTTGGTGAGCTGATTGTGTACATCCAATGTCTATGGAGTTTCATGGTTGTTGCAAAAATTGGCGTACTCCTCCTCCCTATGCAACTGATGGGGAGATATTGGAAAAATAGATATTTATTTATGCACATATTGTATGTACATTACAAGCATTGAAGTGTAAGAAAAAATTAAGTTCTCTCTGTATCGGAAACCCAAGCTGACAGGACAAGCCAAGCTGCTGTCCAGACACGGCAAGAGGGAGGTGAACATTTCAGGAAGGGGGACATGTTATCTATACAGAGACTGGTTCAATATAGCGTCTAACTTCTAAGTAAGGAGCCTATCTCTCTCCCTCCTGACAGGTCAAAGTAGGCCCCTTGATTAATGAATGTAAACTGTAAGCTGTTTGCTGCTCTTTAGAAAGAAATACAGAGACAAGCCTTTCGCATGTTGGAAGATAGAATTTGATATTTCTATGATGCTTAAAGTGACGCAGTGATGATGTTTCATATGTAGAAACATGTTTCTTTGTTTGCCTGCATTTGAAGTGTATAAAAGACACAGTCAACGACTTTATCGGGCACTCTGGTTTGCTTTTGGACACAGCTCCACTCCAGGGTCCCAGCTGGAAATAAAGTCGTACTTTTCTTTCTCCAGAAAGGATCTCTCTTGATATTATCTCTCCTATCATGCTGCAACACAACAACCAAAGTGCCCCCAGAATTAACCATTTCTCTGTCATAGCCTCATTTCCATAGCTATTCCATGACAGAAATCAACCCCCCCTAAAAGATTTGTTCAGTACAACCCTCCAAATCAAATTATATATCTATATAAATAAAAATGTAGTGTTCGTTTGTGGAGGAATTGTGGAGGAAACCACTGGAGGAATTGACACCAAATTTGGACACAACACACCTATCAGGCCAATGAGTGACCACCACTCATAAAAACACTTAAAAACACAGAGGAAGGGACTTCAAAAACCTAAAAACAAAAATTACATTACAACACGTACACAAAACCACACACACATATATATGGAAACACACATATACACAAATATACACATATACACAGACTGGGCCACAGCAACGCTTGGGAGGGGACAGCTAGTATTATATATCTATTTACTCCATACAAATTACACAACAATGAAGCTGCTCTGTTTCAGTACTCCGAAATAGATTACGTCTCCAGCAGCATGGCGGGAACACATGTATTTTGGAGGGAACTGATTAATAATTCATAAAAATCAGAATCCCTGGGGGGAGGTGAAAGGGAAATGTGTGCTTAAATCTATCCCAAATCGCCTAACAAAAGAGTTTGGTTCCACACCTTGGAACTATACATCTCTGTTTTTTTTTGGAAATACCATATATAAAACACACATGAAGGAAAAATAGTTTTGAATTGCTATGTAGGACAATAGGTCCCATCTGTAGAAGTTGCCGTTTAGAGACCGTCCCTCCATCTTTAACTGCCGTTCCACGGCCCGTGAGTGTGAAAGGCCCAGCTTACCAACCAGGTAATCTCCATTAGCTCTTTAGAAGCCCTCCCTCCATCTTTAACTGCCATTCCACCATCCTCTGAGTGGAAGGGGCCAGCCTACCAACTAGGTAATGTTCAGCAGCTGTTAAGAGACTATTCCTCCACCTTTAAATGCAATTCCACCGGCCTGTGAGTGGAAAGGGTCCAGCCTACCAACCAGGTACTCTCCAATAGCCATTGAGAGATCCTCCCTCCATCTTTAACTGCCATCCACCAGCCCATGAGTGGGAGGGGCACGACCTACCAACCAGGTACTGTCCAGCAGCCAATTAGAGGCCATTCCTTTGTCGTTAACTGTCATTCCACCGGCCCATGTATGGGAGGGTCCCAGTTTACCAACCAGGTAATCTATAGTTGTTTAGAGGCCATTCCTCCATCTTTAACTGTCTATCCACCGGATGTTCAGTAGGAGGGGCCCAGCCTACCAACCAGGTACTCTCCAGTAGCCATTTAGAGACCATTCCTTCATGTTTAACTGCCATTCCACCGGCCTGTGAGTGGGCGGGGCCCAGCCTACCAACCAGTTACTCTCAAGTTGCCGTTTATAAACCCTCCCTCCATCCCTAACTGCCATTGCACCAGCCCGTGAGTGGGAAGGACCCAGCCTACCAATCAGGTATGGTCCAGCAGCTGTTTAGAGACCATTGCTCCATCTTTAACTGACATTCCACCGGCCGGTGCGTGGGAGTGGCACAACCTACCAACCAGGTACTGTCCAGCAGTCATTTAGAGACTATTTAACCAGTTTTAATTAGTTCCCCTTTTAACCATTACAAGTAGCCCACCCATATCACTGTTTGTGTTTACTGTAATTTTATATTGTTGTATATTCATATGTTTTATGTAATTATGATGTTGTTGTTTATTGTTTGCGTTTTTGCGTTTTCGGTTTGTGTTCGGTTGTTCTTTACTGTAATTGTTGTTTGGGCTTGGCCTCGTGTAAGCCTCTCCGAGTCCCAATTGGGGAGATGGTGGCGGGGTACAAATAAAGTTTATTATTATTATTATTCCTTCATATTTAACTGCCATTCCACCGGCCAATTAGTAGGAGGGGCCCAGCTTACCAACCAGGTAATTTCCACTAGCCTTTTAGAGGCCATTGCTCCATCTTTAACTGCCATTCCACCAGCCCATGAGTGGGAGGGGTGCAATCTACCAACCAGGTACTGTCCAGCAGCCATTTAGAGACTATTCCTTCATATTTAACTGCCATTCCACCAGCCAATGAGTGGGAGGGGCCCATCTAATTTCCAGTAGCTGTTTAGAGGCCATTGCTCCATCTTTAACTGCCATTCCACCAGCCCCTGAGTGAGAGGGGTGCAACCTACCAATCAGGTACTGTCCAGCAACCATTTAGAGGACATTCCTTTGTCTTTAACTGTCATTCCACCGGCCCATGTGCAGGAGGGTCTGAGTTTACCAACCAGGTAATCACCTGTAGTTGTTTAAAGGCCATTCCTCCCTCTTTAACTGCTCATCCACCGGATCGTCAGTGGGAGGGGCCCAGCTTACCAACCAGGTAATTTCCAGTAGCCGTTTAGAGGCCATTGCTCCATCTTTAACCGCCATTCCACCGACCCATGAGTGGGAGGGGTGCAACCTACCAACCAGGTACTGTCCAGTTGCCGTTTATAAACCCTCCCTCCATCCTTAACTGTCATTTTACCGGCCCGTGAGTGGGAGGGGCCTAGCCTACCAACCAGGTATGGTCCAGCAGCCATTTAGAGACCATTCCTCCATCTTTAACTGCCATTCCACCAGCCAGTGAGTGGGAGGAGCACAACCTACCAACCAGGTACACTCTCCAGTAGCCATTTAGAGACCATTCCTCCATCTTTAATTGTCATTCGACCGGTCCATGAGTGGGAGGGTTGTGACCCACCAACCAGATACTCTCCAGTAGCCATTTAGAGGCCATTCTTTCATCTTTAACTATAATTCCACCGGCCCATGTATGGGATGGACCCAGCCTACGAACCAGGTAATATCCTGTAGTTGTTTAGAGACCATTCCTCCATTTTTAACTGCCATTCAACCAGCCCATGAGTGGGAGGGTTGCAACCTACCAACCAGGTACTCTCTAGTAGCCATTTAGAGGCCATTCCTTCATCGGGACGGGCCCAGCCTATGAACCAGGTAATCTCCTGTAGTTGTTTAGTGGCCATTCCTCTAAGCCACCAACAAGGTTCTCTCCAATAGCCATTTAGAGACTATTCCTTCATGTTTAACTGCCATTCCACTGGCGGTGAGTGGGAGGGGCCAGCCTACCAAACAGGTACTCTCCAGTAGCCATTTGTAGACCCTTCCTCCATCTTTAACTGATATTCCACCAGTCCGTGTGTGGTTGCAGCCCAGCCTCCCAAACAGATACTTTTCAGTAGTCATTCAGAGATGTTCCCTTGATCTTTAACTGCCATTTCACCGGCCCATGAATGGGAGGGGGCCAACTTACCAACCAGGTAATTTCCAGTAGCTGTTTAGAGGCCATTCCTCCATCTTTAACTCCCATTCCACCGGCCTGTGAGTGGGAGGGGCCCAACCTACCCACCAGGTACACTCCAGTAGCCATTTAGAGACCACTCCTCCATCTTTAACTGCAGTTCCACCGGCCTGTGAGTAAGAGGGGACCAAGCTACCAACCAGGTACTCTCCAGTATCTTGAGGGTTTTTTTTAAAACACACACACACAAATTCTTTATCGGATTGTTCTATTTTTCCAAAGTTTTTCCACTTGGTATTCTGAGCATGGCATCAACAATTTGAGGTATATGCTGGAATTTGTTGACTGGTGCAATAAACAAGGCAAACATGTGAGCTTAAACATGATTGAAGCAGACAAGGTTTTATTGAGTCTGTCTATTTAAAAAGTTTCTTCAGTTTCTTTTGTGCTATAATTCATTGTTGTCTGGTGGAAGAAAGAGAGGGAATGGTGAGCTGGATGTGCTTTTTGTGTTTTATGCTTTCCCATGTTTTGTATCATCTGTAATGAAAGAAGGAGCGTGAAGTTATTGATCAATTAAGCAAATAGGAATATAGTGGGCTGCCTTATACTAAGCCGGATAATTAATCAAGCTGTAGCCAGCAGTGGCTCTCAATGCTTTCAAATCAGATTGTCTTCCATTTCTATCTGGAGATCATGGATGGTTTCTCATCCAAATACTAACTGGCTCATCTTCCTTAGCTTCCAAAATCAAATAAGGCAGAGGCTGGAAGCCAATGACGTGCCGACTCTCATGGCTTCATCCTATGGAATCCTTGGATTTGCAGTTTAAGTGATAGATTTCAAATGTTCAGCCATATAGCTCAAGTGCCCAGCTAACTACAAATCCCAGGATTCCATAGGACAGAGCCATGATGGTTCAAGCAGAATTATAATGTTATGATTACACAAGCATATGATCAATTTCCCCCCAGCATTGCAGCTGAATTGAAATCACAACAAAAATGTTATACCACAATTCAATATTTTCCTTTCATCAATTCAATAATTTTATCAGTTCAGTAGTTAGTTTTGATTCATTTTTAATTTGTGTTGTGCCATATTTATTGTTAGCCACCCTGGGTCCCTATAAAGGATAAAGGCAGGATAAAAACGAAATAAATAAACAAATAATACAAAAATATGTCCTTCAGGAGGAGATGAACTTAGAAAAAGTCACGCCACAATGAAATACATTTTGTTAGAATGTAAAGTCCGGGATTCCTGAGTGAGCATGGCCACTGACCTACTGTATTTCATCACACAATAGTCGCACCCTTTTGGGAAAGGCAAAATTACTATTTTGCTCATCTCCACATAAAAGTTGCACTCTTAGTTCATTCACTTGGGCGTGTGAATTAAGGGTGCGACTACTCCTTTGGTCTCATCCTTTGATGCCTGCTCTTCCTGCACAGCTGTCCCCTTTGTAACTTGGAGGGGAAGGGTATGTGGGCAAGTTCACCACTCGGTAGCCTCTCCCTTCTGAACTACACTTTGAGATTATAGTCACGCAGATGAATGAGGATTCACATCACCCATGCAACTGAGCTTTCAAAAGTCCTATTATGTGGCAAAAAGCCACTCAAATTGTTTTTCACTGAATAATGGTTGCCCCCATATAATAGTTGCACACACCCCCAAAAAGGGAGGGGGAGTATGAAATAAAAGGGACTATTATGTGGCATCCTTGAAGTAACTGGACTGACCTTGAGGGAGCTGGGGGTGGTAACGGCCGACAGGGAGCTCTGGCGTGGGCTGGTCCATGAGGTCACGAAGAGTCGGAGACGACTGAACGAATGAACAACAACATTATGTGGTGAATTACAGTATTGCCCAAGATTCATCAGCTCCAGCTCAGATTAGGAGTAACTTCTGCAAATGGCATTTCTTACATATCAAGGTCAAACTAGAGGCACTTCCAGATGAGCAGTTATCCCAGGACTATCCGCGTTTCTACGTGCCAGGAGAGCTGCTGCAAGACTGTACTGGAGGCCGGGTAAGTTTTCTTTACTTTTCAAAGGGGTTTGGGGGAGGGGGGTGGGTGGGATTCTCACAGTTTTCCGGACTAATTTAGTCCGGAAAACTGTAGAAATGGTGCAGTCCAGAACCAGAAATAGTGAGTTTATCCCGCGCCTTCCAAGAAAGCGCGGAATAAATCCACTATCTCATTATTTCATTACAAACTAGGGTTTTTCTAGTTTGTGGCAAATTAATTTAGGATTGTCCGGGACATCATCTGGACAGCCCCTTCTTTATTGTGGGAGTTACCGCAATAAAGGGGCTGTCCAGATCCGCCCTAGGTTCATTTTGCCCATGGTATCCATAATGGTTCCCACCAATGTTTTTCAAACAATTCCCTTTGTTCCAGGTCATCTCAGAAAGGATGTTTTGAATTAGACAATGCAATTTCCAATACAGTTCTGATTTAAAACTAGTCTGTTGCTGGACTTTGCCAACAACTGCAAAGGAAGGAACCGAATTGGGGGAAATTAGAAATCAGAAAAGAGTCACAGGATGGGTGTAAAAAGGAAATTCGCTGTCATACTTTACCTTCATTGCAGGGAGCGTTGAACTCTGCCAGGGCAAATTCATCTGGAAGGAGAGAAAAAAGAAGGAAAGATGGTCGGTGTTTTACTACATGAGGGCTGTCAAAGCTCATTTTCATCAAGGGCCACATCAGCCTTATGGTTGCCTTTGAATCCATAGGGCCAAATATAATATTTTTACATAGTGGTTGGTGCTTTTTAATTTTTACTCAGTTTGAGTCCCCAGATGTTATTGAATCAGCTCTTTTGATTATCCTCTGTCTTCAGTTTACTTGAATTGCCACAAAGTCAACAAGGCTAGAATAACCACCACCTTGGAGGCAATGGCCGCATCTCCCAAGCTATCCTGCTGTGCCAACCCCTGTTCTCACCTGTTTCGTAGTAATCGTAGATTTTCACCAAGGCTGGCTTCAGGCCTTGGACAGGCACATCCTGCTCAACTGTGAATGTGTAGCTCTGGGTTGCATTGGTCACCTGCGGAGGAGCAAATGATGCCCATTAAAGATCTACTCTATATACTCATGTTTATGTCTAGCGATTTTAGTAAAAAAAATCCACCCCAAAACCTTGATAGACTGTTAGGTTTCATCCCTGGACTGCAAAAGTCTCTGTGTCATCAAGTTTCCAGTCCTCAATGAGTAGCTAGACTAGAGATTCTGGCCCAGCTTAACTATCCGAACGCATCTCCTCCTATGAACCATCTAGGAGCTTAAGATCGTCTGGGGAAGCCCTGCTCTTGATCCTGCCTGCCTTGCAAACGCGACTGACGGAGACGAAGGACAGGGCCTTCTCAGTAGTGGCCCCCCGACTATGGAACTCCCACCCCAAGGATATTAGATCACCCCCCTCCCTCCTGACTTTCCGGAAAAAAGTAAAGACCTGGCTCTTTGAGCAAATTTTTGAGAATGCAACTGAATAGATAACACAGAACGATGAATGATGAACATGGAATGGCCAGACGATGTTACTGGATAACATTTTTAACAGGATGACACTGATGATTATATGTTTTAATGGTTTTTATATATGTTTTATATTGTCATGTTGATTGTTTTTAATGGCACTTTTATGAATGCCTGGCACTGAATTATGCCAATCTGTAACCCGCCTTGAGTCGCCGTATGGGTGAGAAAGGCGGGCTATAAATATCATAAATAAATAAATAAATAAATAAATAAATAAATAAATAAATAAATAAATAAATGAGATAGGATTTGAGTGAGGGATTCCTGCCCCCACGTTCCTATGCATGTTTATCCCAGAAGGTGCTTTGTCTACTCTTCTTCTTGCTTGCCACTATCTCCTCCCCCTTTGAAGATGTAGCAATGGAATCTCTGTGAGGCATGAGCTAGCTTCCTCTTTAAAGGTATTTTTATTGCCCTTGGTTCGCCATGTGGTCATTCTTCATTGTTGGCTTTCTCGGCCCTTTCTTCCTTCGAGTGAGGACACATTTTGCCTTTCTCCTGGCAAAATGTAGCTGCATGGATATTTTTGATTTTTTATCCTTTTACTTCTTAGAAAATAATAATAATAATAACAACAACAACAACAACAACAACTTTATTTATATACCGCTCTATCTGCCTTAGGGGACTCAGGGCGGTTTCCAAATAGCAAAACACCAATATACAGAGTATGCAAAACATAAGCATAGAATTATCATAACAACACAAATACACCAATTCTTTGTGCAAAAATTACTGTTAGGGCAAAAATTTCAAAAATGGGCCTAGGTAAATGAACAGGGCCGGATTGAGACTAGTGCATAAACAGGACATGGGGGGAATGGGTAAGGTGCAATAACTGGTCCCAACCATAGTAATAGTGGGGCTTGTATCTGCTCATTACAGGGCATATTGGGGGACTGTTTGGGATAGGAGATGGGGGTGCGAAGCCAGATTTTAATAGTGTTCAGGGGCTGGGCTGGCACTAGTCATTCTCAAAGGCCTGGTGAAACCACCATGTTTTCAAGCTCTTACGAAAAGAGAAGAGAGGTGGGGCCTGTCTTATTTCCCTTGGAAGGGCGTTCCAGAGGCAGGGGGCCAGCACTGAGAAGGCCCTCTCTCTCGTTCCCACCAGCTGTATTTGTGACGGTGGTGGAGAGCGAGAGAAGGGCCTTCTCTCTTAGAGGGCACACCGGTTCATAGAAGAAGATGTGATCACAAAGATCCAATATGGATTTAGTAAGCTAGCTCCAAGACCTTTTCTATCTAGAACTAGCTGTCCCCTGCCACGCGTTGCTGTGACCCAGTCTGGTGATCTGGAAAATAAAGTAATGGTTTCTAATATATGTAATTCCTTTCTGCTTGTGGGTAAACAGTATTCCTTGTTGTTTCTATGTCAATTTTGATGTGGAGATTGTCTGGTTTGCCTACTCTGGAACATGCAAGATATAATTGTCCTTCTTTAGGGGTCCCTTTCAAATCTATGATACTATATCTGTGTGTGTGTGTATCCTATCTATCTATCTATGGCTGGGTGGCTCTTTGTCAGGAGTACTTTGATTACATTTTCTTGCCCTGATGAAGGAAGTTGGATTGGATGGCCTTAAGTACTTTCTGTTGGTCGTGGAGGTTCTGTGTGGGAAGTTTGCCCTGATTCTGTCGTTCGTGGGATTCAGAATGCTCTTTAATTGTAGGTGAACTGTGAATGCCAGTGACTACGACTCCCAAATGTCAAGGTCTATTTCCCCTAAACTCCATCTGTGTTCATATTTGGGCGTATTGAGTGCTTGTGCCAAGTTTGGTCCAGATCCATCATTGTTTGAGTCCACAGTACTCTCTGGATGTAGTTGAACTACAACTCCAAAACTCAAGGTCAATGCCCACCAAACCTTCTAGTGTTGTCTGTTAGTCATGGGAGTTCTGGTGCCAAATTTGGTTCAATTCCCTCATTGATGGAGTTCGGAATACTCTTTGATTGTAGATGAACTATAAATCCCAACAACTACAACTTCCAAATGACAAATTCATAATTTTTTGAGTGATGGTCATTCCTTGTGTTGTGAGACATTTTGTTGCCAAATTTGGTGTGATTTCATTCATTGGTTCTTTTGTTTTTAAGGAACTCATTATGTACAGAGCATTTATATATATATAGAAGATGGATTTCTTTTTACTTCAATAAATATTTTGAACCTAAAGTTGTGACTCTTCAATCCTGTGCCATCTTGTTGAATGGAAGCTTATCCTAGCTCACCACACTTAAGTCTCTGCTGGTTATGAAATTTGCTTTAAAGGCAAGGAAGGTCAATCGCTCTTTCTTCCCTGGGAAGTGGGAAGCCTTCTTAAATGCCTTGGAAAGCTGTGTGCGGGGAGAGAACGCACGTGCCTGCAGCCTGTCTCCTCTAGAGTAGAAAGAAACAGCTTTAACAAAGCATTAAACCTGGTCTCCTCTACAAACAAAAGGGAAAGGATCGGAGAAAGAGTGGTATCCTCACTCTTTCATCCAGGTCTTAATGATTTCATCCAGGTCTTAATGAAGGATATAAGGACAAACAATGCCTAAAATGATGGGAAGGGGAGTCCGGGAAGTCCCCCCACCCCATAATGGGCCAGACAGGGGCTTCCTTAACTCTGTTGCTGAAACCAGGCTCCCTTGAAGGGGAAAAAAGGCCCCAGGAATAGAAAGGGTTTGAATTGCAAGTTCCCCAATGCCGCCAATGGGCTAGATCTAGCCATATTTTTCGGCCTCTGACTGAAAACGGCTATCCGCCCATTTTCAGGAGGTGCTGTCCAGATCTATAACTTTCTGGTAAGATAATTACTGTATATACTCGCGTATAAGCCTAGTTTTTCAGACCTTTTTTAGGCTGAAAAAGTCCCCCTCTGCTTATTCTCAAGGTTATTTATTATTTTATTCTGTTATTATTATTACATTTACTAGCTGTCCCCTGCCACGCATTGCTGTGGCCAAGTCTGTGTATATGTGTGTTTGCGCATATATATATGTGTGTGTGTGTGTGGTTTCACGCATGCGTTTTAATGTATTTTTTGTTTTTTGGCTTTTAAAGTATTTTCTGCTGTGTTTTTCAGTGTTTTTATGAGTGATGGTCACTTGTTGGGCTGATAGGTATATTGTGTCTAAATTTGGTGTCAATTTGTCCAGTGGTTTTTCAGTTATGTTAATCCCACAAACAAACATTACATTTTTATTTATATGGATTATTTTACTTTATTATTGTTGTTATTATTACATTTATTAATTTACTCTATTTTTACTGTTATTATATTTATTATTTTACTCTATTTGTTTTTATTGGAAGGATACGCAAGCACATTTACATAAATAAAGGTCAAATAATGATTTAATCAGTTGGGCAGTCTTATCTTAAATTACAGTTTTATGTAAATATTCAAAAACATTTAACCTACAGATGCCTCAATTAATGTAATTGTATTGGTATCTATTTTTATTTTGAAATGTACCAGTAGCTGCTGTATTTCCCACCTTTGGCTTATACTCAAATGAATCCGTTTCCCCAGTTTTTGTGTGGTAAAATTAGGTTCTTCATCTTATATTTGGGTCGGCTTATACTTGAATATATACGGTACCTCACAAAGTTGGAAAGATTTAATTCAAAAGCATGCAATAGTGAATGCAACAAAGTTACAACTGACAGTTCTCTCACACCTTACCTGGGCCCCTCCCCTGCATTGCTCCTGTTTCCATGGCAACCCTCTCCCAGATTTCAAATATACACCTGAAAGGTATATGTCATGGCCTTATTTCCTGGCTTCACACCAAACCAAGAAATAAGGTCATGACAGGCGTGGGAAAATGGATACGGGGTCTACTGGAATCTGGCCAGCAGAAATGGATTGAGGTTCAAATAAGACCTTAAGGTTCAGATAACATCTTCCATTTCAAATTGTATCTTTCCTAAGCTTTCCTAAGCTTTGGGAACATGCAGTTTTTGAGACTTGTATCCCCTTGTTGAGTTTACTGATTCTCCCAAAAAGAGGACCCCTTTCTCTCCCCAACCTTCTGCTTTGGACCTCTTTACCTTCTCTAAATAAATCAGGACGTGACTGCTGCTGATTTCTGTTCGCTGCACCAGGTGATGATTTTCCATCTGGAAAGAAGACAAAATGGAGACTGGTTATACCCTCCCAGAGTGAGGGGATCAAGACGGCATATCTTAGCTTAACAGGGTTTTTTTTTTCTGGTAGTGAGGATGCATCTACAGTGTAGAATTCATGCAGTTTGGCACCACTTTACTTCCTATGGCTCAATGCTATGGAATCGTTGGAGCTGCAATTTTACAAGGTCTTTAAACTTCCCTGCCAAAGAGTGCTACGGCCTCAGCAAACTACAAATCCCAGGATTTCACAGTGCTGGCCCATGATAGTTAAAAGGGGGCCAAATGACATTACTAAATAATAATAATAATAATAATAATAATAATAATAATAATAATAATAATGTATTTATATTCCACCTTTCTCCCTGAGGAGATTTCAATATATAAACAAACACAGGCAAACAGTCAAATCTTGATTACAATGATCTACAACAGTGGTTCTGAACCTGTGGGTCCCCAGATGTTTTGGCCTTCAACTCCCAGAAATCCTAAGAGCCTGTAAACTGCCTGGGATTTCTGGGAGTTGTAGGCCAAAACACCTGGGGCTCCACAGGTTGAGAACCACTGATCTACAATGAAACAGAAATAAACAGACAAAGGCAAAGGCTTCTCCTTTCATTTCCGGCTCTGGAAACGGTGCTCATCTCCGGATCTGGGAGAGGTGTTCTTTCTCAGTTTCCAAGCCGAGGAGTCCATGTCCGTAGACATCTCCTGGTTGTGTAGCCAGCATGACTGCTTGGAGCATATTTTGCCTTTTCCCATCAAAGCATGTTTTTGAACTGCTAGGTTGGCAGGAGCTAGAGCTAACAGTGGGAGCTCACCCCATCTTGCGGATTCAAACTTAGAATAATAGAATCATAGAATCAAAGAGTTGGAAGAGACCTCATGGGCCATCCAGTCCAACCCCCTGCCAAGAAGCAGGAATATTGCATTCAAATCACCCCTGACAGATGGCCATCCAGCCTCTGTTTAAAAGCTTCCAAAGAAGGAGCCTCCACCACACTCCAGGGCAGAGAGTTCCACTGCTGAACGGCTCTCACAGTCAGGAAGTTCTTCCTCATGTTCAGATGGAATCTCCTTTCTTGTAGTTTGAAGCCATTGTTCCGTGTCCTATTCTCCAGGGAAGCAGAAAACAAGCTTGCTCCCTCCTCCCTGTGGCTTCCTCTCACATATTTATACATAGCTATCATATCTCCTCTCAGCCTTCTCTTCTTCAGGCTAAACATGCCCAGCTCCTTAAGCCACTCCTCATAGGGCTTGTTCTCCAGACCCTTGATCATTTTAGTCGCCCTCCTCTGGACACATTCCAGCTTGTCAATATCTCTCTTGAATTGTGGTGCCCAGAATTGGACACAATATTCCAGGTGTGGTCTAACCAAAGCGGAATAGAGGGGTAGCATTACTTCTCTAGTTCTACACACTACGCTCCTATTGATGCAGGCCAAAATCCCATTGGCTTTTTTTTTTTTTGCCACCATATCACATTGTTGGCTCATGTTTAACTTGTTGTCCATGAAGACTCCAAAATCTTTTTCACACGTACTGCCCTCGAGCCAGGCGTCCCCCATTTTTAAATAGTGGCTGGAGAAAGGATGGTCCATTTTTTTTTTGATAAAAGTCAATATACAGTTAATGTAAAAAGTATTTACATTGGCCAATGGATAAGCTGACCTAGGTTTTTGGGGTCAAATGCTAGACATATATACAGTATAAGGGGCCGCAGTGGCACAATGGGCTAAACCCTTGTACTTGGCTGAGCTGTTGACCTGAAGGTCGGAATACAAGGGTTTAACCCATTGTGCCACTGCGGCCCCTTATACTGTATATATGTCTAGCATTTGACCCCAAAAACCTAGGTCAGCTTATCCATGGCCAATGTAAATACTTTTTACATTAACTGTATATTGACTTTTATAAAAAAAAAAATGGACCATCCTTTCTCCAGCCACTATTTAAAAACCTCCAGAGAAGGAGACTCCACCACACTCCTAGGAACTACAGCAGTGTCTTCCGCTCTTGAACAGCTCTTACCCTCAGGAGGTTTTCCCCCCTAATATAAGGGTGTCATCTGCAGGGGACCTTTCGGACCGCATCTTGGCCTATGAGCCCACGAGGACCTTGAGATCGTCCGGGGAGGCCCTTCTCTCGATCCCACCTGCTTCACAGGCACGTCTGGCGGGGACGAGAGAAAGGGCCTTCTCGGTGGTGGCCCCCCGGCTGTGGAACGACCTCCCTGCTGACATCAGACAGGTGCCCTCCCTTCTGTCCTTCCGTAAGAGCCTGAAGACCTGGCTATTTGAGAAGGCATTCAACTGAGCGCTACGGCAACTGGTAATTGACAACTGGAACGGAATACGGATTACGATATTGGTTATGATTCTATGATGTGACGGAGCGGATTATTTAGTGTAACCAGATTATAGTGTATTATTGTTGTATTGATTCCCTGTTTTGCCCTTTTTGTAAACTGTTTTTATATGTTGTGCACCGCCGCGAGTCGCCCTAGGGCTGAGAGCGGCGGTCAATAAATGCAGTAAATAAATAAATAAATAAAATCTCTTTTCTTGTGGGTTGAATCTGGTAGGGTCAATTACCTTTCTCACGGACGGTTTCGATGGGATATATCCTGAAAGCATCTTGACGTCGATGATGGCCATGTTAGAAACTGGGCGCTTGCCAGTGTAGCTGGGAGAAGAAAGGGAAAAGGGATGGTTTAACAAACCAGAAGGAGAGGTGGCCTTCATCCTTAACCTTGTTATCACCAATCTAATTCATGATTGAACACCAAGAAATAACACATGAGAGAGATCCACCTTCAAGTTGGTCAAGTAACCACCAGAGTTTGGGAAATAACTTTTTGGAACTGTAGTCAGCCCACCGCATTTGCTGGGGTCGGAGCAGGCATGGGCAAACTTTGACCTTCCAGGTGTTTCCTAATTTCTAACAGCTGGTAAACTGGCTGGAATTTCTGGGAGTTGAAGTCCAAACACCTGGAGGGCCAAAGTTTACCCATGCCTGGGTTAGAGGCATGACTCTTTGGTTGGCTTCCATTGGAAGCTGACCGTAGAACTTCACAGCACATCCAATAGGAGTATTTTCTCTAGAAATCTCCATGTCCTCCAGCTAAAAATCTCTAGGAAATTGGCCATGGAGTCACAATGGAAAGTCCAGAAAGACCTACAGAGAACCTTTTAAACAAATCCACACCTGTTAAAATGGCAAATGTGGAGGGGCAACTGTACATTTCCCAAAACAAGGGCAGCTGGAGCACCACATTTCATAGAATCATAGAATCATAGAATCAAAGAGTTGGAAGAGACCTCATGGGCCATCCAGTCCAACCCCCTGCCAAGAAGCAGGAATATTGCATTCAAATCACCCCTGACAGATGGCCATCCAACCTCTGTTTAAAAGCTTCCAAAGAAGGAGCCTTCTTTCTCCCATCCTTGGCCTAAAGCTCTTCTGGGCAGGGATTTGAAGGCAAGTATTTCAAGTCTGGACCTCTCCCCATTTATATTTCTTTGTGTGAAGGCCTGTGCTGCCCCTGCAGTTATGCTTCCTCCTCCTTCCTAAGACCCATGTCCTTGTGGGAGCTCTGCTTCCTACCAAGGCTTGGGGTGGAGTTCCTTTTACCTGACATTGATCGCGAGGTCAAAGACTTTGTTGGCCTTGGGTCCGGTGCAGGTCTCGGGTACTGTGTGGACATCCAGTATGAAAGGTGCATCCTCCTGGCGTGGCTGCACGTTGTACTTCAAGGTGGTCTGGAAAGTAAAGGAAATTGAAATTGAATCCAGACAAGACAGAGGTCCTCCTGGTCAGTCAGAAGGCCAAATAGGGCATAGGGTTACAGCCTGTGCTGGATGGGGTCACACTCCCCTTGAAGACGCAGCTTTGCAGCTTGGGAGTGATCCTGGACTTATAGTTGAGCCTGGAAACCAGGTCTCGGCGGTGGCCAGGGGAGCTTTTGCACAATTAGAACTTGTGCCTTGAGAAATCTGATTTGGCCCCAGTGGTCCACGCTCTTGTTACATCCCAAATAGATTACTTCAGTGCACTCTACGTGGGGTCTCCTTTGAAGACTTTTTGGAAGCTCCAACTAGTTCAACGGATGACAGCCAGGTTGCTGACTGGAGCAGCATACTGAGAGCATACAGCTCCTCTGCTATGCCACTGGTTGCCATTCTGCTACCGAGCATTAGCCTATAAAGCCCTGAACGGTTCTGGTCCAGCTTACCTGTCTGAACGTATCTCCTGCACCATCGCAAAGTCTAACATTGACAGGAAAGGCCCTGATCTCGGTCCCACCATCCTTGCAAACACGACTGGTGGAGACCAGAGATAGAGCCTTCCCATTGGCGGCCCCTCGCCTGTGTAACTCTCTACCCAGTGACATTAGATCGGCCCCCTCCCTCTCATCCTTTAGAATGAAACTCAAAACCTTGTTATGGGACCAAGCATTCAAACAGTAGAGGCAGCAATTTAGAATGAGACCCAATTTTTGTGAATGGACTGACCTGGACTATGATTTCAAACCTGCGTGATTTAAGCAATGTTTTAGTAATTTTAAAGCATTAACTAATTGTTTTAATTGCTATTATTATTTATTACTGTTGTTGGCACTGAATGAATGCCTGTTGTGAAGCCGCTCTGAGTCCCCGTCTGGGGGGAGAAGGACAGGATACAAATATGTGAAATAAATAAACAAATAAATAAAGCACATCATTTTCAGTGGCAAGGTCTCCATGCGCAGCCTGTGGGCCAAGAGATCCAGAGGTTATTGGATCCAGTTTAGTTGGGAAATAGCAATTGAATTTAAGACTGCATCTACACTATAGAATTAATGCAATGTAATACCGCTTTTACTGCCACGGTTCAATGCTATGGAATCCCGAGAGTTGTAGTTCGGTGAGACAAGTGTATTAAATGAATATTCCAGTTAAGAATGAACTCGCCCAACGGTGGCCCACACTTCCTCCCCAGCTGTGTCATGTGACATCAGGGCTGTTTCCTTTTACCTCTGGAAACTCACCTGAGCAAAGACGCAACCTTCCCCTGCCACTTCAATGCGATAGTCTCCTGGCACATTGGGCACGGCTTGGCACTGAAGCAGGAGGCGGTTGTCTATCTCCACCTGGAACTGTTTCAGGTCGTTCTCCCCAGCCTTCAGGGTCACTTGCACGCCTTTGCTGTTCTTGACATAGGTCAAAGCGCCGAAGAGGGAGAAGGCCTGCAGAGCCACCACAGTATCCTGAAACAAAACACAAGGCAAGGCACTTAGATATAGCGTCTGTAGCATCTTCAGAGATTTGTTGCAAACACCAAAACTCACAACCCTTCTACACACACACACACACACACAATAATCCAAGTTAGCTAATGCCTTTACTTATTCCAGCAGTATAATTTGGCTATTACTGTTAATTAAGATGTCAGACGTCTTTGTCCATCTAGTGCAGGTATAGGCAAACTAAGTGTTAGCATAATGGGTTTATAATGGGTTTGCTAGTGTGAAATACAGATTATAGTTTTAAACTGTCTAGGTCCGGTGTAGGACGGCATGCTATGCAAGTGTTTAAAGCATAGTGATTTATTTTCCTAGAGCGTGAACTGTGAACAGTTCCGGGATACATCACACATTCCAATGATGTGAACTTGAGATAATTTGTTAAATTTACTGATGATGTTGTATAATGTTTTTAAAACGATTTTATTGTTCATTGTAGTTTTTATGGTATTTATGTTGCTAGCATCTTCTGATGTTTATGTGAGGCCGCTCTGAGTCCCCCCTGTGGGGAGAAGGGCGGGATAGAAATATAAATAATAAATAAATAAATAAATAAGAACTGCTGGGTGTTTTCTTTCAGCCATGCCGAGCAAAGAGCAAGTTGACTGTATTATTGCTCTTGTACATAGTTCTGTTTCTTATTTTCTGTAGTTGTTAGAAAGTAACTAAATAAGCATGCTTGTCCTCTCAGCATAAGGGCACGGTGGGCTGCTGCAACCTTATGCGGAAAGGATGGAAGAGGAAGGCACAAAGCTGCTGAGAGCCCTCTGGAGCACTCTCAGCCACCACATGTCCTGCCCGCCTCCTGGCATAAGGATAGTGTGAGCGGCCCTGTCCTTAAGCCAAGAGGATGGCCTGAGGATGGCATGAAGTGGCGTCTGGAACGCTCTGGGCCATCGCTTGTCTTGCCTTCCTCCCAGGATAATGCTGAAAAGACAGTCCGAAGATCGGGGGTGGAGGAGGATTAGGGTAATCATCACATGTCTTGTTTTCCTCCCGGCATGAGGATGGTGCAAGCAGCCCCATCCTTATGTTGAGAGGATGGGCTGAGGAATGCACGCAGTGGCTAAGAGCCCTCTGGAGCGCTCTCGGCCATCACTTGCATTGTCCTCCTTCTGGCATAATGCTGAGAGGACAGCCTGAAGATCGGAGATGGGGGAGGATTGGGGCAGTCATCACATGTCTCATTTTCCTCCCAGCATAAGGATGGTGCAAGTGGCCCCATCCTTATGCCGAGAGGATGGATGAGGAAGGCACACAGTGGCTAAGAGCCCTCGGGAGTGCTTTCAGCCATTGCCTGTCTTGCCCTCCTGGCATAATGCTAAGAGGACAGCCCAAAGATTGTGGGGGGGGGGGGATTGGAGCAGTCATCACATGTCTCGTTTTCCTTCTGGCATAAGGATGGGATGAGGAGACCTGTCCTTATGTGTGGAGGGCACCTTGAGGATGACCCGGGACCTGCCCTGCCCCGCCCCCTTGCGTCCCTGCCCCTCCTGGTCCCTCCCCTTCCCAGGCCCATCCCACCCAGCATGTGCCTGCCGCCCTCCCTCCTGGCCCGGCACTCTCAGCCAGGCAACGTTTCTCAGCAGGCTCCTCTCTGATCTCAAACACTCTGTGTTTGAGGACTGGAACATCCGTAGGGAGACCAAGGTGCTTGTTTATAAAGCTGTTGTCCCCCCCACCCTGCTATATGCTTGCAAAATGTGGACTGTCTACAGATGTCACATGCAACTCCTGGAACAATTCCATCAGTGTTGCCTACGAAAAGTCCTGCAAATCTCTTGGGAAGACAGGCGGACAAATGTCAGCATGCTGGAAGAAGCAAAGACCACCAGCACTGGAGCGATGCTCCTCCGCCATCAACTCCACTGGACCGGCCACATTCTCCAAATGCCCGACCACCATCTCCCAAAGCAGTTGCTCTACTCTGAACTCAAGAATGGAAAACGCAATGTTGGTTGGCAGGAAAAGAGATTTAAAGATGGTCTCAAAGCCAACCTTAAAAACTATGGCATAGACACCAAGAACTGGGAAGCTCTGGCCCTTGAGCACTCCAGCTGGAGGCCAGCTGTGACCAGCAGTGCTGTACAATTTGAAGAGGCACGAATGAAGGGCAAAAGAGAGAAATGTGCCAAGAGGCAGGTGCGTATAGCCAACCCTGACCGGGACTGCCTTCCACCTGAAAACCGATGCCCTCACTGCAGGAGAAGATGCAGATCAAGAAGCGGGATCCACAGTCACCTGCGGACCCACCAATCTTACTTGGACTACGAGGGACAATCTTACTTGGACTACGAGGGATCGCCTAAGTAAGTAAGTAAGTAAGTCTCTGATCTGCACTGAGTTCAGGAAAGAGAAGAACTCACCTGAGTTGAAGAGAATCCTCCCGTTGGGTTCTGCTGCTTGATCAGCCAGAGGACAATCTGGGTGGCCGTTTTCAAGTCTTCCTCTGACGGTGCCGGTCGTTTGGCCAGGTAAGCCAAGAGCGCATAGGACGTCATCTCCACTTCCGCTGATGGAGCGCGATGGTAATAGGATGGCATATCCTCCTTCTCCCCCTCCAGTTTCTTAGACCGTTCCCAGTGAAGGGAGCCATCTGATTGAGATAAAAAAAGAAGGAAAGGTTGGTGTTTGGATTAGAAAAGCATTTATTCCACTTACTATTTCTCACTATATGTCATTAACAAGTTTAAGTAATACATATACACATACATACAGTCTAGAGATGGATATAGATGCACATAGTCAACCCTCCATAGCCATAGATTCTACTTCTATGGATTCAACAACCCACAGCTTGGGGAAAAATTAATTCCAAAAAGAATCCTTGATTTTGCCATTTTATATAAGGCACATCATTTTATCATGTAATTGCATACAATAGGTCTTGGTATCCACAGGAGGTCCTGGAACCAAAACCCAGTGAATACCAAGGGACCACTGCATGTGTGTGTATGTGTGTAAACACATACCCTGGGGCCAACTGCCACTCTGGGGTCAGAGTGAAGAAGGGGAGCCAGGAAGACAGTTCCACCATGTCTTCTGGGTCATCAGTTGGGAGCCCCCCTCCAGCAACAATATAGTAATATATAATACTAATATTGTGCTGTGCTAATAATACAATATATTATATACACATATAATATTGATAATATTAGAATGGAATGCAATATAATACTAATAATAATATGATATAATATTTGTATATTATATATTACATGTAATATTATTAATATTGCAGTATAGTGCAATATACAATATAGCAACATATAATACTAATATTGTGCTATGCTAATAATTATAATATTGATCATAATATTGTAATACAATACTACTAATAATACAATATAATAATTATATATTTGGAATATTATTGACAATATTGCAGTATAGTGGTACAGTACAATATAGCAATATATAATGCTAATAAAAGGGGGGGGGGGCAGAAGACAGTTCCACAGTTCTCCTGTGCTAATAATATAATATAATATAATGTAATATAATATATTGTATCTACATATAATATTTATATTGTATTGTCGAAGGCTTTCATGGCTGGAATCACTGGGTTGCTGTAGGTTTTTCCAGGCTATATGGCCATGTTCTAGAGGCTTTTTCTTCTGACGTTTCGCCTGCATCTATGGCAAGCATCCTCAGAGGTAGTGACTACCTCTGAGGATGCTTGCCATAGATGCAGGCGAAACGTCATGAGAAAATGCCTCTAGAACATGGCCATATAGCCCGGAAAAACCTACAGCAATCCAATATTTATATTATTTATGTAATGCAATATAATACTAATAATATAATATAATTATATATTTATATTACATGTAATATTACTAATAATATTACAATATAATGGTATAGTACAGTATAGTAATATTTAATGCTGATATTGTACTATGCTAATAATATAATATATTGTATGTATATATATCTTGAGTCCCCTTTGGGATGAGAAGGCCAGCATATAAGGCCAGCTCTGAGTCCCCTTTGGGATGAGAAGGCCAGCATATAAATGTTGTAAATAAATAAATAATATTATAGGGCTGTTGTGTGCCTTCAAATCAGTTCGAGGTTGACCTATGGCAACTCTATCATGGGATATTCTGGGCAAGATTTGTTCGGAGGAGGTTTGGTTTTGCCTTTCTCAGATCCCGAGGAAGTGTGACTCGCCCAAGGTCATCCCATGAGTTTCCAAGGCTGAGTAAGGATTCAAACCCAGGCTGCCTTTCTTTTCATGGGAGCTCACTGAAAACAAGCTGGATCACGTATAAAGGAGAGTGACCAAAATGATGTAAGGTCTTGAAGCCATGAAACACTATGAGGACTGGCTGAGAAAGCTAGATAGGATTAGCCTGGGGAAGAGAAGGTGAAGGTGGGACATGAGAACCATGCTTTAACATTTGAACGGATGTAACCTTGAGAAGGGGGCAAGCTTGTTTTCTGCTGCTCTGAAGTCTAGGATATAGAGCAATGGATTCAAATTGCAGAAAAAGAGATTCCACCTAAACATTATGAGCAACGTCCTGATGGTAAGAGCTTTTGAACAGTGGAATCAGCTGCCTGGGAATGTGGTGGAGTCTCCTTATTTGAGACGTTTTGAAATAGAGATTAGATGGCGATTGTTGGGAATGTTTTGTTTGCTTTTTCCTGCATGGCAGAATGGATTGGACTGGATGGCCCATGGATTTTCTTTCAATGCTATGATTCTATGTTTATGTTTTGTGATTCTGTAAGTGCACTCTGTTGGAGCATGTAAAAATCGATTGGTGAGTGTGTTAACTGAAAAATGCAAAGCACAAAACGGATTAGTTGGGACATGCCCAAGAGGCTAGCTGAGCCTAGGAGTTTTGGCAACAGTTACATGTTTAGGTTTTCTGTACAGGGAGCTTATCAAGTGAGTTTTGCATTTTGCTTCCTAGCTGCTGGAAGAAGGTCCTTCACATGGACACCTAAGGACCATTTGAATCTCTCTCAGAAGGACATTTTGTGAGTCAATGAAACTGCTAACATGACGGTATATATGTTGAACTGCATAACAAAGAGTAAACACCTTATTCTTTACTGATCATCTGCATGGCATATCTTTTCTTTAGCAAGACAGTGTGTGGATTGGTAAAGACGGGAACTACATGTGATTTTCATTCTGCCACACACTCAGATCAGTCCCCAAGCTCTGGTTCATAGCCCATCTCTGGGTCATGGTAGGCCCTCTTTGCCTGCTTCCTGACAGTGACCCAGACTAGTTGAGGTCCTTCCCCATTTATCTGGGGCTCCATTCTCACCTTCTTCCACAGCCACTTCACGGAGGAGGCGCAGTATCTCATCTCGCTTCTCCTCTTTCCCGGCCAGCGTAAAGGCGTACGCCATCAAGGCGCGGGTGTAAGTGTTGATCTCTTTTGACTCCGCTGCCGTCTCCAAGCAGAACAAAGCATTACGCACCACCGAGTGCTGAGGAGGGGAGAGAAGAGAAGAGAGATTCGTCCCATGCCATCTTGCTAGGCTTGGCTAGACCTCCAGGTGGATTATGGGAAGGAAGAGGTAAGTACTTACAGTGACAGGTAGTGGCATCTCCAGTAAAGCAACGGTGGTGTAAGCTGTGAAGCTAACCTCATCATCAACCCCACCCTGGAAAAGAAAAGGAGCCATCAACACCATAAAGTACATGAAGACCCTCTACCAAGAACTCATTCCATGAACAATATGCTACATTCAGCCCTCCCAATCCACTGGGAGTAGAAGCACAGGGCCCTTAGAAAGCGGGAAAATGGCAAATCAAAATATGCTATTTGTTTTTACTTGAGGGAACACCTCTAGGAATGATAAGATCCTCCAGTGCAACGTTAGGGTCAACGTCACACCAGATATTGACCATAGAATTGTGCTGGAGGACCTAGAGATTCCTAAAGAGGACTCAGAATCACACAGGAGGACCTAGAGATCTATTAATCAAATCCATCAATAGTCAAACTTAGAAAAATTAAACCCTTAAATGTGGAGGACCAACTGTATACATTTCACATGAAAATATTAAGATTTAGAGTTTGTAAGCATTACTTCTATAGTTTGGAGGATTTGGTGAGTAATAGTCCAAAGATATACATTACAAGCTCTGGTTTCCTTCTGTATGAAACATCCCCATTTTTAATCGTGAACCTCATAGGTCAATCCAAATATCATTATCTTCATCATCTTCTTCTACTTCTTCTACTTCGTCTACTTCGTCTACTTCTTCCTCTTCTTCCTCTTCTTCTTCTTCTTCTTCTTCTTCTTCTGTGTTTGTCCTGCTTGATGGCACGGTCTGCTTTACTGGTTTGTTGGTGCCATTTCACATGGTTGTGTGCCTGATCAGAGTGTATGCCAGTAGTCTTTAGATCGTTGTGCCACATATCCTGCCAGCATTGCTTTGGTTGTCCCTTTGGTCTCTTGCCCGGCACTTCTAAACCAAGAGCTCATCTTCACCTCGGAGAGTATGACCATACCATCTGAGGTGTGATTCTCGTAGTTTGTCAGGAATTGGAGAAATGCCAAAGTACTGCCGGATGTCATAGTGGATGTGGTCAAGGGTGTGTGACGCCAGCTGTAAGTTGTAGCAGACTCATCTCCATAACACCGAGGCAGCATTCTATTTCCTTTTTTGTTGTTGTTTATTCGTTCAGTCACTTCTGACTTCGTGACCTCATGGACCATCCCACGCCAGAGCTCCCTGTCGGCCATGTCCACCCCCAGCTCCTTCAGAATCAAGCCAGTCACTTCAAGGATACCATCCATCCATCTTGCCCTTGGTCGGCCCCTCTTCCTTTTTCCTTCCATTTTCCCCAGCATCATTGTCTTCTCTAAGCTTTCCTGTCTTCTCATTATGTGGCCAAAGTACTTCATCTTGGCCTCTACTATCCTTCCCTCCAATGAGCAGTCAGGCTTTATTTCCTGAAGCATGGGCTGATCTTCCGTTGGTCCAAGGCACACTCAGAATTTTCCTACAACACCACAGTTCAAAAGCATCTATCTTCCTTCACTCAGCCTTCCTTATGGTCCAGCTCTCAATCCATAGGTTACTACAGGGAATACCATTGCTTTAACTATGCGGATCTTCATTGTCAGTGTGATGTCTCTACTCTTCACTATTTTATCGAGATTGGTCATTTCTCTCCTTCCAAGAAGTAAACGTCTTCTAATTCCTGGCTGCAGTCTGCGTCTGCAGTAATCTTTGCACCTAGAAATAAAAAGTCTGTCACTGCCTCCGCTTTTCTTTCCCTCTATTTGTTACTGCCAACACTCAGCTCCAAATATTGTGGTAGGCCTTACTACAGTTCACCTGAAATTTTGATTTCAGGTGATTGGGCATCTTCTTATCACAGAGTACACCTGCCACCTGCTACTGAATGCCATTTCATCTAAGCCACGTTAATGCGGGTGGTGACTTCATCAAAAAAGGTTGACATCTGAAGTTATTGTTAATCCAAGATACTTGAGGGTGTTGGCTTTTGGGAGATCCACCTCATCTACCTGGATGGTACCAGTCTCCTTGTTGGTCTATCAGGTACTCAATCTTTTTGACATCGAGGCGAAGACCAAATTGCTCCAACCAATCACACCATGCTTGCACTTGACATTCAAGTACTTCCTTGTCCTCAGAAGCAAGCATTATGTCATCAGCATACGTCAAAGTCCGAGGTGGCCATTTCTACAGATCTCCAGTGACTCCATCCATTACAACAACGATAAGGAGGGGAGAGATGGCTGAGCCCTGATGCACACCAATGGTGATGGGGAGCTAGTGGGACGCAGTGGTGGCGACAGAGAGGACAAGCCATTCCCTTTCTCTGTCCTGATCCCTTTGGACAGAGAATGGGGCCAAAACAAATCGATTCAGTTGTCCAACTATCACAAGTTCCCAGCTATCCCCAGGCTGTCCCCCAACTTTGACTAAAGCAGGACAAAGTCAAAAGATATCTGGAAAACCCAGAACACTCACCAAAAGTTATTGTGAGTTATGGGGACAGAGAGCTGTAAATTGGGAGTAAACCTGGTGTTTGAGGCCAGATAAGCCCCAGTTCTGATAATAGCCCCACTTACCTTTAGGGCGTTGTTCAGGAGGGTCCCACTGCTCCGGAAGCAGCCATTTTCCTTCTGTCGGAGAGCCAGCCAGGCCTGAGCATCACTGATGTGACTCTGCTCCACAAAGATGTGGTGCCTGGACTGAGCCATGGACTTGAGCGTAAATGCTGTCAGCCTGCAAGATGGCCCCGGAGACAAAAAAGACATTGTTTACTTACTTGTTTCATTTCATTTCCAATAGGAATAGATGGCATACATAGCTCTTGCTATCAGGAAGTATTTTCTAATGTTTAGGTAGCACGCAACTGTGCTAATTCCCTGATCGGTAGTTCCACGATCCTGCTTCCATTTAAGCTTGTACCCCTTGCCCTTCCAGACTTCTACATTTTTGAACAAACCATTTCACAATTGCAAATATGGTTAATCATATTTTATTAAAATATTACTATAACAAAAAAAAAATACTGCTTTGGAAATAGCACCTTTCTAGTTTAATGTTGCATCAATTTCCATAAAAGCCATTAATTGAACCATGTGATACTTCTCCTCTCCATTTAGTGAGGCCAAACCACATAACTATAAAAGTAACTAAAAATTACCATTAAACCACAAATGAACAATGTATTGTCAAAGGCTTTCATGTCCGGAATCACTGGGTTGTTGTAGGTTTTTTCGGGCTATATGACCATGTTCTAGAGGCATTTTCTCCTGATGTTTCGCCTGCATCTATGGCAAGCATCCTCAGAGGTAGTGAGGTCTGTTGGAACTAGGAAAATGGGTTTCTATATCTGTGGAATGACCAGGGTGGGACAAAGGACTCTTGTCTGCTGGAGCTAGGTGTGAATGTTTCAACTGACCACCTTGATTAGCATTTGATGGCCTGGCAGTGCCTGGGGCAATCTTTTGCTGAGAGGTGATTAGATGTGCCTGATTGTTTCCCCTCTGTTGTTTTGCTGTTGTAATTTCAGAGTTTTTAATACTGGTAGCCAGATTTTGTTCATTTTCATGGTTTCCTCCTTTCTGTTGAAATTGTCCACATGCTTGTGGATTTCAATGGCTTCTCTGTGTAGTCTCACATGGTGGTTGTGAGAATGGTCCAGCATTTCTGTGTTCTCAAATAATATGCTGTATCCAGGTTGGTTCATCAGGTGCTCTGCTATGGCTGACTTCTCTGGTTGAAGTAGTCTGCGATGCATGAAAGGGGATTTGGTGAGTAATAGTAATAGCATGACTACCTCTGAGGATGCTTGCCATAGATGCAGATGAAACGTCAGGAGAAAATGCCTCTAGAACATGGCCATATAGCCCGAAAAAAACCTACAACAATCCAAAATGAACAATATTATTCTTTGTTAAGTTGCAAGCATATAATTTAATTATAACTTCACTATGGGGAAAGAAATTAATTAGAAACTAGTCATTTCTAACTGATGACTTCAAAGTTCTGCTGCTAGTCGAGACTCATATGGAACATTACTTCCTCGTTACCTCCTGTGATTTTTCCAAACATTGCCCATATACTTACAATTAGGCACAGATCACTATATAAAAAAATCATAGTTGTATCTCTGGATCCAGGAATTCTCCCGTCTGTAATTTCTCAACACCACAAATGGTGTGGCTCTTTGAGATACAGTAGAGTCTTGCTTATCCAACATAAACGGCTGGCAGAACATTGGATAAGTGAAAATGTTGGATAATAAGGAGGGATTAAGGAAAAGCCTATTAAACGTCAAATTACGCTATGATTTTGCAAATTAAGCATCAAAACATCATGTTTTACAACAAATCGACAGAAAAAGCAATTTAATACATGGTAATGTTATGTAGTAATTAGTGTATTTACGAATTTAGCACCAAAACATCACAGTGTATTGAAACAGCTGTGGATTCGGCCAGGAGGCAGACTGCGTTGGATAATATAGAACGTTGGATGAGCGAAGGTTGGATAAGCGAGACACTACTGTATAAAGTTTGCAGTCAAAATCTCACCAGGCATTTCCTGGCTCTCCACGACGCTCTCCGAAGGTGCTGTAGGAGCCATCAGAGTGCTTGTAATTCAGTTGCCGCTGGTAGCCTGAAGTGAAGGGTGGAATACATATAAATGTATGTTATTTATTTATTTATTTATTTACAGTATTTATATTCCGCCCTTCTCACCCCGCAGGGGACTAGAGCGGATTACAATATACATATATATGGCAAACATTTAATGCCAGCTAGACATACAACATATATAGACAGGCGCAGAGGCAATTTAAAATTCTGGCCACAGGGGGAGCTGTCGCTTCACCGTCCATTGTGATACTGATGAAATACTTCCTCATTCTTCTGCACGTTGCTGGAAGGTTTTATGGCATCGTAAATTAGTTAAATTAGCCTCCCCGCATAAGCGGTACCTACTTTTTTTCCTACTTGACAGATTATTTATTTTATTATTATTAACTTTATTTGTATCCCGCTAGCATCTCCCGAAGGACTCGATGCGGCTTACAAAGGCCAAGGCCTCAATAAAACAACAATATAACAGATACACATAAACCATAAAACAAATCAAAACATGAAAGCAATAACAGTAAACAGTAAAAACAGTACACATAGCACAATACAACTAAGGCCGGGCCAAGTGTTATGGGTACAGATTAAAAAGTGCTGAGTGTGCTAAATGAAATATAAGGATGTTTGGGTAAATGGGATTTTGGCCTGCATCAATAGGAGCAAGTGTCTAGATCTAAGGAAGCAGTGCTACCCCTCTATTCTGCTTTGGTTAGACCACACCTGGAATATTGTGTCCAATTCTGGGCACCACAATTCAAGAGAGATATTGACAAGCTGGAATGTGTCCAGAGGAGGGCGACTAAAATGATCAAGGGTCTGGAACAAGCCCTATGAGGCTTAAAGAGCTGGGCATGTTTAGCCTGAAGAAGAGAAGGCTGAGAAGAGACATGATAGCCAGGAGGAGGGAGCAAGCTTGTTTTCTGCTGCCCTGGAGACTAGGACACGGAACAATGGCTTCAAACTACAAGAAAGGAGATTCCATCTGACATGAGGAAGAACTTCCTGACTGTGAGAGCCGTTCAGCAGTGGAACTCTCTGCCCCGGAGTGTGGTGGAGGCTCCTTCTTTGGAAGGTTTTAAACAGAGGCTGGATGGCCATCTGTCAGGGGTGATTTGAATGCAATATTCCTGCTTCTTGGCAGGGGGTTGGACTGGATGGCCCATGAGATCTCTTCCAACTCTTTGATTCTATGATTCTAAGTGCAGTGTGCGGATAATCTTAAAATCTCTAATAAAGTGCTTCTGGGACGTGTTGCTGGAGTTTCCTATTCTGGAAAGGCACACCGGAATAGCCATGTCTTCAAGCTCTTCCTAAAGACTGCCAGCATAGGGGCTTGTCTGATGTCCTTGGGAAGGGAGTTCCAGAGTCGGGGGGCTACCACAGAGAAGGCCCTATCCCTCATCCCCACCAACCGCGCTTGCGACGCAGGTGGGATCATGAGCAGGGGTCTCTCTGGATAAGCGAAGGGAGCGTGCGGGATCATAAACGGAGACAGATGCAACTGTCTTTCGGGCTGCATAGGTCAACAGCAAGCTAGACAAATGGTGGGAAGCTCACTCCGACCCAGGTTGGCTTCAAACTCATAACCTCTTCGTCAGTAGCGATTTGATGCAGCTAGCTATCAGCTAACTGTGCCACAGCCCAGTCCATTTATAAAGGTGACTGTCTATGTTAGAAAGGGATTAATAGGATTGGATACTATATAAATGTAAATAGCAATGGTACAGCTGGGAACATGTCTCCCATGAATATTAGAGTCTTGCTCAAATTGCTCAAATTTCTGTGTCAGCCTCCAGTGAACCCATTAATTCCATTGGGTTTCCTTAGACAGGGAATACTTAGAGGGAGGCTGCCATTGCCCTACTTGGAATACAGTCTATACAGCATCTTATATTGCTTGGTGGCCCCTCAATCAAGCATTAACCAGGGCTGACCTTGCTTAGCTTCTAGAGGCTCGGGGGCATTTACGTGGCTGGTATTTTGAAAAGAGAAGCTTCTATTATTATTATTATTATTATTATTATTATTATTATTATTATTATTGGTTGTTGTAGGTTTTTTTGGGCTATATGGCCATGTTCTAGAGCAGTGGTTCTCAACCTGGGGTCCTCAGATGTTTTTGGCCTACAACTCCCAGGAATCCCAGCCAGTTCACCAGCTGTTAGGATTTCTGGGAGTTGAAGGCCAAAAACATCTGGGGACCCCAGGTTGAGAACCACTGTTCTAGAGGCATTCTCTCCTGATGTTTCGCCTGCATCTATGGCAAGCATCATCAGAAGTAGTGAGGTCTCACTACCTCACTACCTCTGGTGATTCTGGCCATGAAAGCCTTCGACAATACTTATTATTATTATTATTATTATTATTATTATTATTATTATTATTGAAATGCATATTTCGTATTTCCTCTTTCTCCTCTGAGAAACTACCACAGGGACCAAACAATGATCTCCAAGGCTGTTTGTATGGCTCCAGAACCAGGCCAGGTTCTCTGCTCTGCCCTTTTTCTGAGCAGAAGAAAGACCGTCTCCTCCTTCCAAATCATTCAGGAACAGCACTGCCCACCTTTTAAATGCTTGACCTTATTGCCATGGCACTCTTTTTAACTAGGCAAGTGAACCCAGCAATTTCATTCAAATTGGCCCCTAATGATTAATCAACTTGCATGAGAACACACGACTCTTTGGAAAGCACGGTAATGCCTGTATTCCTTCAATTACTAGATCACGCGTATAAATCTAGTAACCTCGATATACCCAAATAGGGAGGGAATGTATTGTTGAAGGCTTTCATGGCCGGAATCATTGGGTTGTTGTAGGTTTTTTCGGGCTATATGGCCATGTTCTAGAGGCATTCTCTCCTGACGTTTCGCCTGCATCTATGGCAAGCATCCTCAGAGGATGCTTGCCATAGATGCAGGCGAAACGTCAGGAGAGAATGCCTCTAGAACATGGCCATATAGCCCGAAAAAAACCTACAACAACCCAGAGAGGGAATGATTTATTTGCCCCCTTCTGTCCAGCAGAAAACAAGAATAGGGATTCTAACACTTTCTCTCTCCTCACCAGCCACGAGGTATCCAATAGCCTTGGACTTGATGTCCTCCGTCAGCTGTCCGGTATTATTCAGGTAGTTCAAGATGTAGATGTTGGGAGCGAAAAGGGCCATGTTTTGCTCACCGCAACCATAAGGCATCCGGAGGAGCTGATGCAAATTCTGTATGGCGCTGCCCATAATGTCACCTGGAGCACAGGAAGAGTTACAGATTGAGCGTCAGATTACATGTTTTCAAAAGAGCATACTGAGTTTTCTGGACCTTGGCACGGGGCGCTTCCACACAACCCTTTATTCCAGGAGCATCCGCATTTAAAAAGCACGGATGTTCCTGCACCCCTATCCACACCCTCCCCAGATAAATGGGCAGACGGCAGATTCTCTCCAGAAGCCAAAATGATTACAAAATGATTTGCCCAAGACTTTTGGAAAGTGTCAAGTTAGAGAGTGCCGTTTTCTTCAAATTTTATTTCTGCTGATTGTTCTTTGGGCATATTATGAAGAAACCTGATTCATTAGGGGGGAAAAACGACAGCAATAAGTTGTAGTCCAACACTCAAGCCATTGCACCACTGAAAAGTTTGACGGTATGATTCCCATTCTGAGCCAGACAGAATGGAATATAGAGTTTTTAGATAAGAGTAACAGCTGCTGTTCAGCAGCACAAATCCAACTGTGTGAGTATCACTTACCTAACAAACAGAAGGAGGCCCTTGCCGATCCTTCCACCACATTTTCTGGTAATTGTAGAGAAACAGGTTCTGAGCGTGATTCTTCTGCAAGGAAAACATTGATATTTTAATGGAGCTGGTTGTCTTCCCCTGACACTAGTTGCTATCCTTCCCTATGCTATCAATCTTGGGGTGTGCTGTTTTCTAAACTGCCAATTTATTGTTGTTGTGGCTCAGTCTGAGCCTGAGCTTTCTGAGCCTGAGTTTCCTCATGACGAGGAGGATTATGGGTTACAGATTTCTGGCAATGTTGATTCTGAAGGCGAGTCGGCGTTTCAGTTTCCCAGGGAAAGGAATGTTGTTTTAGATGGTGGTCATCATTTGAGTGAAAGTTCCCAGCTGCAGGTGGAGGAGTCGACCGCTCCATCTGTGAGCTCAGTGCCTGTCGATTCCCAGCCTGGCCGGTCCCAGGACAGTGAGTTATCCGGCCTTGAAGGTGATGGAGATCTGGTTAGGGAGGACCGTTTACAATTAAGGGTACGCCGAAGTGCTCGGCTTGCCAACAAACGGGAAGTTTGAGGTCAACGTAATGCTTTCATGCTAGGAAAGGATATTTAACAATCTATGTGAAGTCAACCTTTTGTCAGTGCAACTTTGCTTATACCCTGTAAGCTTCTCTGAAATTACAATGGAAAGCAGCAGATGACCAATAAATATACAATATAATATTAATACTAATAATACTAATAATAATATGATGTTATAATTATATATTTTATATTACATGTAATATTAGAAAATAATGGTATAGTATAATATAGTAATAACACTGATATTGTACTATGCTAATAATATAATACATTGTATGTATATATATCTTGTAAGTCACTCTGAGTCCCCTTCGGGGTGAGAAGGGCGACATATAAATGTCGCAAATAAATAAATAAGTAAATAAATTATATAGATGACATTAAGAAGTATTTCCAAAAAGTCATAATTTGTGCAAGGGGTCTCTCTCTCTCTCTCTCTCTCTCTCTCTATGGAGGTATGACAAATGGATCTGAGAAAAATATCTCTGAGTGGCTAGAAGAACATCTTTCATGGGCAGAACTTCTCAAAGGTTTGCTTGTTGACAGCATTCCCAAGGAGAGTGGGAACAGGCTTCTGTTAATACATCGCTATTTATACATTCAGTTTCTTTATGTTAACACTTTTAACACATGATATAACAAATACAGTTACTTGACTGATGTTTATGGCGGGACCACAATAGGATTTTGCCAGAGTGAAAACAAGTAAGTGGGTTGCTCTGAGTTTTCTGGGCTGTATGGCCATGTTCCAGAAGTATTCTCACATAACATTTTGCCCACATCTATGGCAGGCATCCTCAGAGGTTGTGAGGTAAAACGTCTGAGGATGCTTGCCATAGATGTGAGTGAAACGTCAGGGGAGAATGCTTCTGGAACATGTCCATACAGCCCGGAAAACTCACAGCAACCCAGTGATTCCGGCCATGAAAGCCTTCAGCAACACATACATCTAGAAAGGGTTCCTGTGCCTTTAATGGTAGTGTAAATGGAGGAATTTCAGCAGAGGCTGCTTGCCAGAGAACCAGGTAGCAAACAACACCTGATTAACTCCCTCTCCTATTCAATTATTAAAGGCTACAGTGCTGAAAATAGGAAGATGGGGACTTACTGGCATCACAGAGGAAATGGTTGAAGACGACTTCCTTCTCAACTCCTTCAGGCTTCAAGGTGTGGAAAAGGGGGCGAAAGGGGAGGAGAGAGAGAGAGAAAAGTGAGAAATTCACTAGGGTTGGTGTCTCCCAGTGCAGTAACTCCTGGTGCCACCCCCATGGAGACCACCCCCCACCCCTGTATCAGACTGTACCACAGTACTGTAGCTAAAATACGAGAAAATCTGAAAAAACAACAATTGTTTCTTTACATTTCTTGTTTTGATTTTTGTGGATTTGATTAGTCACAGACTTAAAATATTCTCACTAGGAATCTCTAGGGGCCCTTCCACACAGCCCTATATCCCAGAATATCAAGGCAGAAAATCCCACAATATCTGCTTTGAAGTGGGTTATCTGAATCGACACTCAAATAATGTGGGATTTTCTGCCTTGATATTCTGGGATATAGGGCTGTGTGGAAGGGCCCTCGATCTTCCAGTGTGACTCTGTGGTCATCTTCCTCCAGTCATGTTGGAAGACCTAGAGATTTCTAGAGATAATATCTCCCTATGAATCTCTAGGTACTGCAATGCGATTTCCAGTGGAAATAATAATAATAATAATAATAATTATTATTATTATTATTATTGACACAAAAACACAGTATGTCACAGCAAATGAGATCTCTATGTTGGATTTCGTATCCCAAAATCACAAGTCGAACACTTCCCAAGCATCTAGGACTGTGTGATGTATTTTCGAATGATGCGCGCAGATCCAAGTAGGGTGGCCTTTTGCAGTTGACAGATCGTGATTTTGTCAATGTTTATGGTCTCCAAATGCTGGCTGAGATCTTTTGGCACGGCACTCAGTGCGCCAATGACCACTGGGACCACCTCTACTGGTTTATGCCAGAGCCTTTGCAGTTCGATTTTGAGGTCTTGATAGCGGCTGAGTTCTTCCTGTTGTTTTTCCTCAATATGACTGCCACCTGGTATGGCAACATCAACTTTTTTCCTTTTCCACAATTGTGATGTCTGGTGTATTATGTTCCAAAACTTTGTCAGTCTGGATTAGAAAGTCCCACAGTATTTTTGCATATTCATTTTCCATGACCTTTGCAGGTTTATGATCCCACCGTTTTTTTTACTGCTGGCAGGTGGTACTTGTGACATAAGTTCCAGTGAATCATTTGGGCCACAGAGTTGTGCCTTTGTTTGTAGTCCATCTGTATGATTTCCTTGCAACAGCTGAGGATATGGTCCATGGTTTCATCAGCTTCCTTGCACAGTCTGCATTTGGGGTTATCCGCTGATTTTTCAGTCTTGGCCTTTATTACATTTGTTCTGATGGCTTGCTCCTGGCTTCAGTTATTATTATTATTATTATTATTATTATTATTATTATTATCATCTATACTCCACTTTAGCTCCCCCAAAAGGAGAGACAAATTGACCACAGAGTCATGCTAGAAGATTTAAAAACTCTGAGATACAATAGCGTCTCGCTTATCCAACATAAACAAGCTGGCAGAACGTTGGATAAATGAAAATGTTGGATAATAGGGAGGGATGAAGGAAAAGCCTATTAAATGTCCCAATTACTCACTCACCCGCACTCCTTCCCTTGCTCACTCACTGGGCCGGGTCTCGTCAGCAAAGGTGGAGGCAGTGGTGGCAAAACCAGGAGCCCGGCCTCCCCTTCCTGCCTCCTCCGGGCTCTGGCTCCCTACCCCACAGGTAAGTGAACAAGCAAGGGAGGTCAGCAAAGGTGGCAACAGTGGTGGTATCCATCAGGAGGGGCAGGATGCGGCTAGTGAACCAGTTGCACTCAATTTTTGCGCCGTGGTGCCTCACTGCAGGGAGCGGTGGGTGCGGTTTGTGTGTGCTTTTGGGGGGGGGGGGTAGGGGTATCAGTCAAAAAAGAGTGTCGGATGAGCAGAGGTCGGRGTCTCAGTCTCAGTTACTCTACTGTAGCTATTTTGTTAGGTAAAAATATAGCAATTTCTTTATTTGCTGCTTTCCCCCCCCCCCCCTTTACTTGGGCCCTAGAAAGACCATATTCGTCAAATCTGCAAAAGTTAAACAGGCAAATTTGGAGGGCTGATTGTAATGCTGTAAACTGCACGTTCCTTCCTTGTATTTTTTTAACTGCAGCTATTGGGGGAATTGATGCTAATGCAAAAAGTACTGTCAAGAAAAGACATCTTGATCCAGTCACTCAGCAGAGGTAACATTTCTTCAAGTTCAACCCAATGACAAAAACTACAGCCAGAGAGCATCTGTGTGCTTTCTATTATATTTTGGTTTGCTGCCGGTTCTGACTTCAGCGCCTCTGTATTGTGCAAATATTTGCAGTTCAACTTGTGGCACCATCTTCCCCTGGACGCACTTCTCCCCCAAAATGAAGGAAGCCAACACACACATACCTCAACTATAAGTGTTTTGATCACGGTGTCCTTTTGTCCTGTTTTGGGCACCTCTACTATTTCGTTCCCACATGGCTGGTCTGAACTCAAGGCTTCCGCACTTGCTGTGAATTTTATTTCACCTAGAACAGAAAACAGCTCCCTTCATTACATACATCAAGCCCAACCATTCCAGATGTCCAGATGTCCTGGCACCAAGGTCAGTTCGCAAGGCATTGGTTTGCTGATCTGGTGTAAGTTTCCAGGGAAGAAAAGCTCAGGGCGCTTCCAGACAGTGTCAAAATCTGTGGTCACTGAGCAGCATGCAGACTACATTATTGCTCTGTGCCTTCAAGTCATTTCCAATTTATAGTAACTCTCAGGCAAACATCTCTTCCTCTTGAAATTGACTCCAAGAGGCCAATTCCTTACCAAGAGATAGGGGGGTCACCCTCCAGGACAGTGTTTTCCTCCCATTGGCACACATGCAATGCGATTCCTCCTCTTTCTCCACAGGGGAAGCTGTAAAGTCTGGGGATTTCTCCAGATCCATTTTGACCTGTTTGTGAAGGCAAAAAGGCATCATGTAGTGGAGTACCAATGCAGGAAATCTTTCTCAGAACGAGAAAAAAGAGGAATTCAAAACAAGTCTGAACAACACACAAATGGAGCTATAGCAGATCTTAAGTAGGACAGTGGCTACCATGGCCAGTGGCTAATTCTAGCCAGGTGAAATAGGAGACAGCACTCCTGTGCTTTCAATGGGAACATGGAGCCCCAGTGGCACAATGGGTTAAACCCTTGTACTCTTTTTTTTTTTTTTTTGTCGTGTCAGGAGTGGCAAGTCGCTTCTGGTGTGAGAGAATTGGCCATCTGCAAGGACGTTGCCCACGGGCCGCCCGGATGTTGTTGGGTTTGTTTTTTTGATGTTTTACCATCCTTATGGGTGGCTTCTCTCATGTCCCCGGATGAGGAGCTGGAGCTGATAGAGGGAGCTCATCCACGCTCTCGCCAGATTCAAACCTGCAACCTGTCGGTTTTCAGCCCTGCCGGCACAGGGGTTTAACCCACTGCGTCACCGGGGGTTCCTTGTATTGGCAGGACTGCTGACCACTTGTATCACTTCTCTGTCTCTCAAAACTGGGGCTGTGAATATTGAAACAGTATCCCCGTCTCATAGAGGTGGATAGAAAGCGTGTTTGGGAAGAAGGTATGCTGCATGTTTCTCCTCCCACCTCCCAAAGTTGGGGCTGTCCTGTAGGCATTCACGTCGACCTCGTCACACTAGAGTGGCTCTCCACAGTAAATCCTGTGGCTGCCTGTTCATTTTTCCCCTGTCATTTTCCATCAGAAGAGTGTGTTCTGAAGAGTGTGTTTGTAAGAGTGTAGGACTCACTGGCAAAATGTGCCAAGTCCAGAAAGGCACACAAGCCCCTCAAATACTCAAAAGATTGCCTTCCCCCATAAGTTTAGGAATCAAGAACCAAGAGAAGCAGGAAATGGACCAAGTGCGTTCCTCACCCGCATGCATTGCTGTAAGTATGTGAAGACGGTGACTTTCACAAGGAATGTTTCACCCCGCACCACTGAATAGGGCAAGGTGGTATCAGTGAAGAAAGGCTTGAAAGCGTTGAGGGTAACGGGACTGGCGAGGCCAAAGCCTTTCTCTGCTGACATGCATAAAGCCCCTGCTTTCCATTCTGTGATGGTGTCCGGAATGGTGACGGGGACGGAGGTCTCGGTAGCACCTAGTCTGTTGTAGATCACAAGAAAGTAAAAAAAGTGTTTGTTTTTTTTAAATTACCCATAAGTACTCGAATATAAGCCGACCCAAATATAAACCGAGGCACCTAATTTTACCACAAAAAACTGAGAAAACGGATTGACTCAAGTATAAGTCTGTGGAACATAAGAGTGGGAAATGCAGCAGCTACTAGTAAATTGTAAAAAAAAAAAAGATACCAATTAAATTACATTAATTGAGGAATCAGTAGGTTATATATTTTTGAATATTTACAAAAATGGTAATTTAAGATAAGACTGTCCAACTCTGACTAAATTGGGTTGGTGTAGGTTTTTTCGGGCTATATGGCCATGTTCTAGAGGCATTCTCTCCATGGTCATGTTGTTGTTGTTCATTCGTTCAGTCGTCTCCGACTCTTCGTGACCTCATGGACCAGCCCACGCCAGAGCTCCCTATCGGCCGTCACCACCCCCAGCTCCTTCAAGGTCAGTCCAGTCACTTCAAGGATGCCATCCATCCATCTTGCCCTTGGTCGGCCCCTCTTCCTTTTTCCTTCCACTTTCCCCAGCATAATTGTCTTCTCTAGGCTTTGCTGTCTCCTCATGATGTGGCCAAAGTACTTCAACTTTGCATGCTACATGCTCCCAAAAAGGGGAGGAATATTAAGTAGTTGTTGTTGTTCATTCGTTCAGTCGTCTCCGACTCTTCGTGACCTCATGGACCAGCCCACGTCAGAGCTCCCTGTCGGCCGTTACCACCCCCAGCTCCCTCAAGGTCAGTCCAGTCACTTCAAGGATGCCATCCATCCATCTTGCCCTTGGTCGGCCCCTCTTCCTTTTGCCTTCCACTTTCCCCAGCATAATTGTCTTCTCTAGGCTTTCCTGTCTCCTCATGATTGTACAGGGTTAGTCAAAATGAATAGGCCAATAAGAAAATTAATTTTAGACGAATGTATGTTTACTGTAACCAAACCACAGCTACGTAGCGACAGATAAACTATCAACGTTTTTTTTGAGCAACACACATGTACGTTAATGCCGCTAGGCGTCGCTAGGGGTCGCTGTTTTCAAAACGGCGGAATCAAGCAAAGAGAAGGCGTTTTGTGTGATGACATTTGCTAAAACAATGTCAGTAATTACGGTCCAGCGAGAATTTCAAGGGTTAGGGTTAGGGTTAGGGTTAGGGTTAGGGATAGGGATAGGGTTAGGGATAGGGTTAGGGTAGGGATAGGGTTAGGGATAGGGTTAGGGATAGGGTTAGGGATAGGGTTAGGATAGGGTTAGGGATAGGGTTAGGGATAGGGATAGGGATAGGGTTAGGGATGGGGATAGGGTAGGGTTAGGGTAGGGTTAGGGTTAGGGTTAGGGATAGGGTTAGGGATAGGGTTAGGGTTAGGGATAGGGTTGATAGGGTTAGGGTTAGGGTTAGGGTTAGGGTTAGGGTTAGGGATAGGGTAAGGGTTAGGGTTAGGGTTAGGGTTAGGGTTAGGGGTAGGGTTAGGGTTCGGGTTAGGGATAGGGATAGGGTTAGGGTAGGGTAGGGTTAGGGTTAGGTGGATAGGGTTAGGGTTAGGGATAGGGTTAGGGTTAGGGATAGGGTTAGGGTTAGGGTTAGGGTTAGGGATAGGGTTAGGGTTAGGGTAGGGTTAGGGTTAGGGTTAGGGTTAGGGATAGGGTTAGGGTTAGGGATAGGGATAGGGTTAGGGTTAGGGTTAGGGTTAGGGTTAGGGATAGGGTTAGGGTTAGGGTTAGGGATAGGGTTAGGGTTAGGGTTAGGGTTAGGGTTAGGGTTAGGGTTAGGGATAGGGTTAGGGTTAGGGTTAGGGATAGGGTTAGGGATAGGGTTAGGGATAGGGATAGGGATAGGGATAGGGTTAGGGATAGGGTTAGGGTTAGGGATAGGGTTAGGGTTAGGGTTAGGGTTAGGGTTAGGGTTAGGGTTAGGGTTAGGGTTAGGGTTAGGGTTAGGGTTAGGGTTAGGGTTAGGGTTAGGGTTAGGGTTCGGGTTGGGGATAGGGTTAGGGTTAGGGTGGGGTAGGGTTAGGGTTAGGGTTAGGGTTAGGGTTAGGGTTAGGACCTCAACGAACACCTTCCCAGACGTTGCTGCATTCGATGCCATTACGTCGGATGTGCTGCAACGGATGTGGAATGAACTGGACTATCGCTTGGACATCTGCCGTGTCACACGGGGCGCCCATATCGAACATCTCTGAAGGTGAGACAAAACTTTGATAGTTTATCTGTCGCTACGTAGCTGTAGTTTGGTTACAATAAACATACATTCGTCTAAAATTAATTTTCTTATTGGCCTATTCATTTTGACTAACCTGTATTCAACTTTGTCTCTAGTATCTTTCGCTCCAGTGAGCAGTCGGGCTTTATTTCCTGGAGGATGGACTGGTTGGATCTTCTCGCAGTCCAAGGCACTCTCAGAACTTTCCTCCAACACCACAGCTCAAAAGCATCGATCTTCCTTCGCTCAGCCTTCCCTAAGGTCCAGCTCTCACATCCTTAGGTTACTACAGGGAATACCATGGCTTTGACTAGGCGGATCTTTGTTGCCAGTCTGATGTCTCTACTCTTTACTATTTTATCGAGATTGGACATTGCTCTCCTCCCAAGAAGTAAGCGTCTTCTGATTTCCTGGCCACAGTCTGCATCTGCAGTAATCTTTGCACCTAGAAATACAAAGTCTGTCACGGCCTCCACGGTTTCTCCCTCTATTTTCCAGTTGTCAATCATTCTTGTTGCCATAATCTTGGTTTTTTTTTACGTTTAGCTGCAACCCGGCTTTTGCGCTTTCTTCTTTCACCTTGATTAGAAGGCTCCACAGCTCCTCCTCGCTTTCGGCCATCAGAGTGGTGTCATCTGCATATCTGAGGTTGTTAATGTTTCTTCCAGCAATTTTCACCCCAGCTTTGCATTCATCCAGCCCCGCACATCGCATGATGTGTTCTGCATACAAGTTAAAAAGGTTGGGTGAGAGGATGCAGCCTTGCCGTACGCCTTTCCCAATCTTGAACCAGACTGTTGTTCCATGTTCAGATCTTACTGTTGCTACTTGGTCCTTGTACAGATTCCTCAGGAGAGAGACAAGGTGGCTTGGGATGCCCATCCCACTAAGAACTTGCCACAATTTATTATGATCCACACAGTCAAAGGCTTTAGAATAGTCAATGAAGCAGAAGTAGATGTTTTTCTGACTCCCTGCCTTTCTCCATTATCCAGCGGATATTGGCAATTTGGTCTCTCGTTCCTCTACCTTTTCTAAACCCAGCTTGAACATCTGGCAACTCTCGCTCCATGTATTGCTGGAGTCTTCCTTGCAGGATCTTGAGCATTACCTTACTGGCATGAGAAATAAGGGCCACTGTACGGAAGTTGGAGCAGTCTTTTTCATTTCCCTTTTTTGGTATGGGGATATAAGTTGATTTTTTCCAGTCTGATGGCCATTCTTGTGTTTTCCATATTTGCTGGCATATGGCATGCATCACCTTGACAGCATCATCTTTTAAGATTTTAAACAGTTCAGCTGGGATCCCGTCATCTCCTGCTGCCTTGTTGTTAGCAATGCTTCTTAAGGCCCATTCAACCTCACTCCTCAGGATGTCTGGTTCTAATTCATTCACCACACCGTCAAAACTATCCTCAATATTATTATCCTTCCTATACAGATCTTCTGTATAGTCTCGCCACCTTCTCTTGATCTCTTCAGCTTCTGTTAAGTCCCTGCCATCTTTGTTTCTTATCATACCAATTTTTGCCTGAAATTTACCTCCAATGTTTCTAATTTTCTGGAAGAGGTCTCTTGTCCTTCCTATTCTGTTGTCTTCCTCCACTTCCATGCATTGCTTATTTAAAAATAGTTCCTTATCTCCTTATCTCTGGAATTCTGCATTTAATTGGGCATATCTCCACTTGATACTGTTTCCTTTTGCTTTCCTTTCTTTCTTGGGCTACTTCCAGTGTCTCAGCAGAAAACCATTTTGCCTTCTTGGTTTTCTTTTTCTTTGGGACGTACTTTGTTGCCGCCTCCTGAACAATGTTGGACTTCTGTCCATAGTTCTTCTGGGACTCTGTTTACTAAATCTAGTCCTTCAAATCTGTTCTTCACTTCCACTGTATATTCGCTAGGAATGTTAGTGAGATCATATCTAACTGGTCTGTGTGTTTTCCCTGATCTCTTTAGTTTTATTCTAAATTGGGCAATAAGAAGTTCGTGATCTGAGCTACAGTCAGCCCCAGGTCTTGTTTTCACCGACTGGATGGATGTCCGCCACCTTTGGCTGCAAAGGATGTAGTCAATCTGATTTCGGTGTTGACCGTCTGGTGAGGTCCATGTGTAAAGCCGTCTTTTAGGTTGTTGGAAGAGAGTATTCGTTATACACAGCGAGTTTTCCTGGCAAAATTCTATCAGCCTGCTTCCCGCTTCATTTTGTTCTCCCAGACCATGCTTGCCTGTGATCCCTGTTGTCATTTGACTTCCCACCTTGGCATTCCAGTCTCCTGTAATGAAAATAATGTCTCTTTTTGGTGTATTATCCAGTAGGTCCTGCAGATCCTCATAGAACTTATCTACTTCTGCTTCTTCAGCAGCTGTGGTTGGGGCGTATATTTGGATCACTGTAATGTTGAAAGGCTTTCCTTGCACTCGAATTGAGATCATTCTGTCATTTTTTGGGTTGTATCCAAGCACCGCTTTAGCGAATTTCTTATTAATTATGAAGGCTACTCCATTTCTTCGATGTTCCTCTTGTCCGCAGTAGTAGATCTGGTGGTCATCTGATGTGAAGTGGCCCATTCCAGTCCATTTCAGTTCGCTGACCCCCAGAATGTCTATCTTTAGTCTTGACATCTCACCAATAACAACATCCAATTTGCCCTGGCTCATAGATCTTACATTCCAGGTTCCTATGGTGTGTTGATCTTTAGAGCATCGGATTCGTCGTTCACCTCCAGTACCGTCGGCCGCTAGCCTTCCTTTCGGCTTTGAGCTAGCTGCGTCATCACATCTGGGGCTATTTGAACTTATCCTCTGCTCCTCCCCAGTAGCATTTTGGCCATCTTCCGACCTGGGAGTCCCATCTTCCAATGGCATACCGACATATCTCTGGTTGTACTGGTCCATTTAGTTTTCTTGGCAAGGATACTGGAGTGGTTTGCCATTGCCTTCCCCAGGGATCACGCTTGGTCTGACCTCTCTGCCACAACCGTCCCGTCTTGGGTGTCCCTTCACGGTTTCGCTCATGACATCATTGAGGTGCTCAAGCTCCAGCGCCCCGACAAGGCGGTGATCCTTTGCTGGAGTACAGTAAAATAATAAATGTATAATAATAGAGTAAAAGGATAAATGTAATAATAATAAATAGAATAAAATAATAAAAGAAATAATAATAATAATAATAATAATAATAAGAGTAAAATAATAAATAACCTTGACTTCAGTATAAGCCGGGGGGGGGGGGGACTTTTTCAGCCTAAAAAGAGGGCTGAAAAACTAGGCTTATACGCGAGTATATACAGTATGTATATTTCATTCCCTGCTTTTTCTTTCTACAAACAAGACTAAAAGCAGCTTACAGAACAATCAATTTGACACAATTCGAAACCCAAGAATACTTATAAACATTAAAATAGAATTAAACAATTAAATATTCTTAATATTTTTAATTATATTTATTACAGAGAAATATAATTAAATATTATGAAGAATAAGCAGTTAAAATCCTTAAAACTAATTCAGAGCTAAAACCACAGCACTCCCTGACGCTCTTAAAAACCTCCTTCTTTAAAAGCCTGCCTGAATAAAAAGGTTTTAGCCTGCCGCTGGAAGAACAGCAGGGAGGGGGTCTTTCTGGCCTCCCTGGGAAGAAGGGAGTTCTAGAGTTGAGGGACATTTGGCAATGAGAAGGAAGGCCGCTCTCTCATTCCCACCAATTGAGCTTGAGATGGAAGTGGGACTAAGAAAAGGGCCTCTCCTGAAGATCTCAGGGCCCAGGCAGGTTTGTATAGTCAGTCAAATAGCCTAGACCTGAACCGTCTAGGGCAGTGTTTCTCAACCTTCCTAATGTCACGACCTCTTAATACAGTTCCTCATGTTGTGGTGACCTCGAACCATAACATTATTTTGTTCATAACTGTAATTTTGCTCCTGTTATGAATGGTAATGCAATTATCTGGTAAGCAGGGTGTATTTTCACTGGACCAAATTTGGCACAAATACCCGATATGCCCAAATTTGAATAGTGGTGGGGTTGGGAGGAGGGGAGATTGATTGATTTTGTCATTTGGGAGTTGGAGTTGTTAGGATTTATAGTTCACCTACAATCTGAACTCCACCAATGATGGAATTGAACCAAACTTGGCACACAAAACTCCCATGGCCAACAGAAAACACTGGAAGGGTTTGGTGGGCATTGATTGAGTTTGGAGTTGTAGTTCACCTACATCCAGACAGCACTGTGGACAATGATGAATCTGGACCAAACTTGGCACAAATACTCAATATGTTCAAATGTGAATACTGGTGGACTTTGGGGAAAATAGACCTTGACATTTGAGAGTTGTAGCTGCTGGAATTTAAAGTTCACCTACAATCAAAGAACATTCTGAATTGGGCCAAACTTCCCACACAGAACCCCCATGACCAACAGAAAATACTATGTTTCCTGATGGTATTTGGCGACCCCCTCAGGGGTCCTGACCCCCAGGTTCAGAACCACTGGTCTAGAGCTTTAAAGGTCATAACCAGCACTTTGAATTGTGCCTGGAAACAGACTGGCAGCCAGTGGAGGTGTTGCAACAGGGGGGTTGTCTGCTCCCTGCAGCAAGCCCCAGTGAGCAACCCGGCTGCAACTCTTTGGACCAGCTGAATCATCGAATCATAGAATCCTAGAGTTGGAAGAGACCTCATGGGCCATCCAGACCAACCCCCTGCCAAGAAGCAGGAAAGTTGCATTCAGAGCATCCCCGACAGATGGCCATCCAGCCTCTCTTTAAAAGCCTCCAGAGAAGGAGCATCCACCAATTTAAAACATTAATATTATCATGTAGCCGAATCAAAGTCTGATTTAGCAACTGATGACCCAATCCAAAGCCTGTCATAGTCAACATTCCAACATTATGATTACTGCCGAACCTACTGTCCAAAGGCCTGATCCAAAACCACGTTTTGAGCTTCTTTCTAAAACGGAGGAGGGATGGAGCTGGCCTAATCTTGCTAGGGAGAGAATTCCACAGGCAGCAGGGAGGATTACCAAGAAGGCCCTGTCCCTCATCCCTGCCAAACACACTTGCAAAGAGGGTGGGACTGAGAGCAGGGCCTCCTCGGACGATCTTAAATTCCAAAGCCAACGTAGCGGGAGATACGTGCAGACAAATAAGCTGGGCCGGAACCATACAGGGCTTTATAGACCAAGACCAGAGCTTTGAATTGTGCTTGGAAATGGACTGGCAGAATAGAAACTAAAAAGACATAGGAGTCTGACAAGGACACAAAGAGGATCAAGCTCTCAAAGAAATAAATGACTTCTTAGTGCTCGTGGCTACTCCTGATGCTTATATGTCACATTGGTGGAGAACAGAAATGTCTCTGCCGCCATATGTGTTGAATGCCTTCTTGGTTGCAAATAGGGACATGGAAATAGTGAATGTGAGATGGTGTATTATGATGTGCTTCAAAACTACTCAGAATAGTTTCTGAGCACTCTTCAGAGACAGCCCCACATGGAGTAAGTGGCGATAATCCAGACAGGATGTAAATAAAGCACGTATATCTTTCAGTGCCATAACAAATGTACTGTATGGGCTCAAGTGCAAGTTAACCTCATGTGTAAGATGAGGACAAGTTTGGGAGCCAAAATGATAGACAATTAAATTAGAGACGACATCCGTCAACGAGGAGCTCCAGATACAGCTCCTGAAGCAGCTTCCCCTTTTGCTTTGGCTCAGCACTAAAATTACCATATTAGATTAATATAATGTGCATCCTTTATTTTGGAGAGGTAGGTAAAGGTAAAGATTTTCCTCTGACATTAAGTCCAGTCGTGTCCGACTCTGGGGGATTGGTGCTCATCTCCATTTCTAAGTCAAAGAGCCAACGTTGTCCATAGACACCTCCAAGGCTGGCATGACTGCACGGAGCGCCATTGGAGAGGTAATTTAGCTAAAAAAGGTAAGCATTAGACTCTAAGGCGCATACCTAGTTTGGCTAATTTAACCATCATTGACTGTCCAAGATACAATCTGCATGTGTGTGTATCTGAGTGATTAACAAACAAAAATAAAAACAAAATAAAATTAGGAAAACGCATCAACTTCTGCCTTTTTCGGCTGCAAAAGTGAAAACGGAGGTGGTTAACCAGTTAGAGTCTCTTTTAAGAAATGTGGGATATAAATACATTTAATAATAATAATAATAATAATAATAATAATAATAATTCTTGGAAGAATTGAGATGGCTTAATGTAATACAAGTTTTGACATTAAAGTTCTCTACAGTGGATAGAATAAAAGGAAATAGAAGAAATAATAATAATATGTCACAAAAATTTAATGTGTACATTTCATAAATGTGAATTTAATGATATGTGGGTATGAATGGAAGAATGGGAGGATGTATGAATGGAGTTAATAATTTTGGAGACACCTGTATAATGTTAAGGCCTGCAATGACTTAACTACCTGCTTTCATGACTGTAATTAAAAGTTGCTAATGAGAACTGAAAAAGTAAACTGTGATAAGAACTATGACAATGGTTCTTTCAAGTTAAGAGAAATGTTTACAACATTCCTTATGTAAATAAGGAAGTCAACACAAGCCTTGTGTTTGTCAACACCAATCAGGAAGAGTCAGCATCTTTCCAGGAAACTGAATGGATCCAGGATGGAAGACAACTTTGGGACGACATCAGCAGAATATTCCTATAAAAGACTCAGTCTAATAATGTTCAAATTGTGTCAGACCAGAGGAGTCTGGTTCACCCACCATGCTCTGCTCCATGGGAAGGAGAGAGATGGTGTATTTGGAGAGTGGCAGATTTGCAAGGGAGTAGTCTGGTCACTTTGGGGCTTCTTTCTCAAGGGAATTTTGGAATGTGTGAAGAATTTGGAATCTTAGATTTTGTACAGGGAGCCAGGTTCTGCTATATAGAAAACAGAGATCTGGTCCTTGGAATTGTTCTTAGAGAAAGAAGTTTTGGTGACAAGGATGGGATAATACCCCCCCCCCCTCTCTCTCACACACACACACACACAGAGTCAATACTCCACATTCACTGGGGATATGTAGCACAACACAAGACTCCATGAAAAATGGAAAACCATTAATTAAAACATTGCTACGTATTTCTTTATACAAGAGAACATATTTCTAGGAATATCTAGGTCCCCCACCACGACTCTGTAGTCAACTTCTGTTTGAAGCTGACCCTAGAATTGCACCGAAGGACCTCAAGATTCCTGGAGATAATATTTTAATCAAATCTGTGAATTATCAAATCCCTAAAACCAGCCAGTATATAAGGCTGACTGCTTGTTTGTTTGTTTGTGGGAAAAGGCATCTCTGCATGTTGACTTATACATTTCCACTGAGTCCTCCCCCCCCCACCAAAAAAAAAATCAAACATAACTAGTCACTACTTACCCTACTGTATAAAGATCCCATAACCACGTCTCAGGAAAGAAGCGTCTAACTTGTTGAGGACTTCCCCCTGACTCTAAATGGTCCATGTCATCATCATAATGGTGTGAAGAAGCAAGTCTTGCTTTTGCAGATGGTGGTCGTCTTGCTACACCGGGTGCTGGATAACTTCTGCTTGAAGCTAAGAGATACAGTGAAAGTGGAAAACTGAAAATAAAGAAACATCTATTTTTTTTTAATCTGAGAGTACATCTAGATGTAAACCAGTAGTTCTCAACCTGGGGTCCCCAGATGTTTTTCGCCTTCAACTCCCAGAAATCCTAACAGCTGGTAAACTGGCTGGGATTTCTGGGAGTTGTAGGCCAAAAACATCTGGGGACCCCAGGTTGAGAACCACTGGTCTAGGTCTTCCAGCATAATTGTGTATTAAACCTCTGCTGGACACTGACCAGAGAATCACATTGAAGGACCTAGAGATTCCTATAGATCCTCCAGCATAACGAGAGGAAAGTGTCCATAGAATCACACTGGAGGATGGAGAAATTGCCAAACATTTTTATCAAATCTGTGAATAATCAAATCCCAACAATGCAGCGGATACAGCATGGTTCATTTCTCCCATAGTGGGATCCACAACGATTTCTTAGAGAGCCTCCAACAGTTCACCTTAAGGAAGCTTTTGCTTTTATTGTTACGTGTGTGTGTGTGTGTGTGTGTACGCGTACATACATACATATGCATGCATGTATCATACATACACACACATATATATATACACACACATATAGCAGCATTTCTCAACCTGGGGGTCTGGACTCTAGGATGTGTCATGAGGGAGTGTGAAAGGGGTCACCAAAGACCATCAGAAAACACATACTTCTGATGCTCTTAGGAACATACTAGGTAGTAGGTGAACTACATTTCCTCTAAATCACTGTCAACTCTACCCAAATCCCTCCAGTATTTTCTGTTGGTCATGGGGGTTCTGTGCAGGAAGTTTGGCCCAATTCTATTGTTGGTGGAGTTCAGAATGCTCTTTGATTGTAGGTGAATTATAAATCCCAGCAACTACAATTCCCAAATGTCAAGGTCTATTTTCCCTAAACTCCACCCGTGTTCACGTTTGGGCATATTGAGTATTCGTGCCAAGTTTGGTCTAGATCCATCATTGTTTGAGTCCACAGTGCTCTCTAGATGTAGGTGAACTACAACTCCAAAACTCAAGGGTTTGCCCTTCCAGTATTTTCTGTTGGTCATGGGAATTCTGTGTTCCAAGTTTGGTTCAATTTCATCAATGGTGGAGTTCACAATGCTCTTTGATTGTAGGTGAACTATAAATCCCAGCAAATACAACTCCCAAATGTCAAAATCAACCCACCTCAACCCCATCAGTATTCAAAATTGGGGTGTATCAGGTATTTGTGCCAAATTTGATCCGGTGAATGAAAATACATCCTGCATATCAGATATCTACATGATGATTCACAATAGCAGCAAAATTAACAGTTATGAAGTAGAAACGAAAATAAGGTTATGGTTGGGGGTCATCACAACATGAGGAACTGTATTAAGGGGTCACAACATTAGGAAGGTTGAGAACCACTGATATATGGGATGATTCATTTTTGCATAAGGAGTGTGTTTAGTCAATCTTTACAAACAATCTGGCTGTTGTATGTCAGCTTGTTCAGCCTGTGATTGTGTCTGTGGTTCATGTTAATGCTGATGTTCATGATGGGAATGGGGATGATGTTCTTGATGCTGGTTTTGGGGATGAGAGTGTGCTTGGGCCTGTGTTAAGGTCAGAGGAGAGGCCTGGGCTGTTTCAGGAAGAGGAAGATTCCCAAGACCGCATTCTTGAGAGGGGCCCTTCACAGCCTTTCTCAGAATAACTGCTATAAGATGATCTGTCAGTACAGGAGTTAATGAGGGAGAAGATAATGAAAGCTTGGGCAGAAAGCAAAGTTACTAAAACAGAGGCAAAATATTCAGAGGCTGAGACGACCAGTTCATCTACAGCAAAAGAGAGATAACAAGAGGAAGATTCCCAAGGCCGCATTCTTGAGAGGGACCCTTCACAGCCTTTCTCAGAATAACTGTATGAAGATAATTTATCAAGTGCAGAAAATAATGAGAGCTCAGAGAGAACTGATAATGAGAGCTTAGACAGAAAACAAGGTTTCTGCAAACAGAGACAGCGTCTACAAAGATTTGGTTTAGTTATTTGGGGCACTGATTCAGAAAATTGCATTGGATAGACCACATCAGCTCTAGTTTCTGATACATAACATATGCCACACAGTAGTCTCCATCTGCTCGCCCACAGAAAACTATATTTAATAAGCCTCGGCACTATAAGAGAGTTTTGCGAGACTAGTTGCTCTCGTTGCAATGAGGCTGCAGACCATATTTTAGTTCTTGCGAACCATTGGTGGTCCACAGGCCACAGGTTGGGAACCACTGCTATAGACAGTACTTTTATATTACTTGGAGATTTGAGCTGAGAAACTCTGCTTGACACATTTCAATAGGGATCACTATTAGCCATTGGAAGCTGAACATAGGGATTGGGGTCTTTGGAGAGACTGTCGGAAAACTTCAGAGTCCACAAACATGAGGTCCAGCGGTTCCATCCATCCTGTGGGTTGCACTTTTCCCACTCCAGCTTCCCCACTTCACCACCAATTATAGCAGGAACATTGGGCAACGGATTTCCCTCACACACTGTTCTGTCGCCACTGGGCCTGTACACAATGTCTTTATTCTACAGGATGCACAGTTTAAACCCAGTGGGAAGCCGGGGTGCCCCGAAGAGAGATTGTTAGAGACTTCCAGAAGTAATGGGCTTTAGAGTTCTTTAAAAGTACAACAAAGTCTTTATTAAGGAACAAATCTTCAAACAACACTTCAAGGCTTTACTATTCTAGTCTTCAAGTCTTCACTGACTTGGTTTAACTGTACTATTTCAGCATAAGGAAGAACTCTTTATAATCCCTCCCAGGCCGCTTTCTATCTATGCCTAGTCGGCGTGGGTGCTGCTACCGAAATCCACGTGCGTCTGGGTATCGAGCAGACCTTACCGGCTGAGGCTTGAAGATATAGCAGCTGGAATTCCGTGGTTCTACGGTGCTGTCTAGTGGGAACTTCAGGTCTGTTTTCCCCTCTAGTGCTGTGAGGCTGAGAGGCTGTGAGCTCTCAGCCAGAGCCTTTGGGACCTTTTCCTTCCATTTCCCTGGAACTGGATAGTCAGTTAAGACCCCGGATGGTCTTGAGGAATGAAGCCTTTCCTACGGGACAAACTGATTTGCGTCCTATAGGCTGGCTTCCTTGTGAGTGACTGACTAAAATGGTTCCTCTCTCTTCCCAAAACCCAGGAAAAGGGGCGGAACCAAAGCTAAATGAAGATGGACAGAAGGCTTGCCCTATGACTGCAAACTATAACAGGAAGCCACCCTGCTGCAAAATCCCAAGCCTGGGATTGCAAACAAACCTTTAGTTCAAAGCAAATAAAATTGAAGCTCCTGGAACAGCTGTTCCAGGACACACACATACACACACAATGTATTTGGGGGGCCACCTATGGGCATCCCTGTGATAGGGCTACTTGTTCAAAAGAGAATATTAGGGCATTAATACATCACACACTGAAGAAGGCAATGGGTATTCCATTGGTCATGTGAATTATTTTTTCCTGATCCCAAGAAGAACTCTTCCAGATCAAAGTAAAGGCTCATCTAGTTAATTCTACCCCACTATTCCGGCTCACATACTTACTTTCAGTGTAAAATTCAGCCTGTGGAACGTATGTGGGGCAAATTCTGGGCTTGTGGATCTTGGTGTTTGTAAAAATTTTCAAGCCAAATTGCTGCAAAAATCAAGAATTGGGACATTGTAAGACAATGCAGTTTAGCCCGGCATTAAAGAGAGTCAAGGGAAAGATACAGAGCTTGGATGTGAATTGGAGGTGGCCATCTGTCAGGACTGCTTTGATTGGGACTGAATGGCCCTTGTGGCCTCTTATTCTAGAGCTCACCTGAAACACTTTATAGGACTCCCCTGAGTTATATAAGTGAACTTCAGGGTGGTAGCGGATACCATCCACAACAATTGTTTTGCTGGGGATGCATTTGGTGGTGTCCGGATCTTCCACCGTCCAGCGCTCATAACTATAACCTTCAAGTTTCTTTAGAGGCAGCAAGTTATAGACCTAAGAAAAGAAAGAGGAATATGGCATTACATGAAATCCCCTGATAGATTCTTCTGGATTCTGCCGTGTGACTTATCGCCTCCTCACCGTCTGAGGAGAGAGTTCAGCCTCGGGCTTCAGGATGTAGACACTCTTATCCACAACATGGATGGCACACAAGGAACCTTCAGAGGCTGCAAGGTGGAGCTGAGTTTTGCTGGCAGGCAGGCCCACGGAATCCGAGAACCACAGCTTCACCTGTAAAGAAAAGAGAGGGGAAAGCAGGGGCGGAATAAAGAGAAAGTCCTTTATAGGTACAGCAGACTGGAATGGGCCACTTCACATCAGATGACCACCAGATCTACTACTGTGGACAAGAGGAACATCGAAGAAATGGAGTAGCCTTCATAATTAATAAGAAATTCGCTAAAGCAGTGCTTGGATACAACCCAAAAAATGACAGAATGATCTCAATTCGAGTGCAAGGAAAGCCTTTCAACATTACAGTGATCCAAATATACGCCCCAACCACAGCTGCTGAAGAAGCAGAAGTAGATCAGTTCTATGAGGATCTGCAGGACCTACTGGATAATATACCAAAAAGAGACATTATTTTCATTACAGGAGACTGGAATGCCAAGGTGGGAAGTCAAATGACAACTGGGATCACAGGCAAGCATGGTCTGGGAGAACAAAATGAAGCGGGACGCAGGCTGATAGAATTTTGCCAGGAAAACTCGCTGTGTATAACGAATACTCTCTTCCAACAACCTAAAAGACGGCTTTATACATGGACCTCACCAGATGGTCAGCACCGAAATCAGATTGACTACATCCTTTGCAGCCAAAGGTGGCGGACATCCATCCAGTCGGTGAAAACAAGACCTGGAGCTGACTGTAGCTCAGATCACGAACTTCTTATTGCCCAATTTAGAATAAAACTAAAGAGATCAGGGAAAATACACAGACCAGTTAGATATGATCTCACTAACATTCCTAGCGAATATACAGTGGAATGAAGAACAGATTTGAAGGACTAGATTTAGTAAACAGAGTCCCAGAAGAACTATGGACATAAGTCCGAGACATGGTTCAGGAGGCGGCAACAAAGTACGTCCCAAAGAAAAAGAAAACCAAGAAGGCAAAATGGTTGTCTGCTGAGACACTGGAAGTAGCCCAAGAAAGGAGGAAAGCAAAAGGAAACAGGGATAAGGGGAGATATGCCCAGTTAAATGCGCAATTCCAGAGGTTAGCCAGAAGAGATAAGGAACTATTTTTAAACAAGCAATGCATGGAAGTGGAAGAAGACAACAGAACAGGAAGGACAAGAAACCTCTTCCAGAAAATTAGAAACATTGGAGGTAAATTTCAGGCAAAAATTGGTATGATAAGAAACAAAGATGGCAGGGACCTAACAGAAGCTGAAGAGATCAAGAGAAGGTGGCGAGACTATACAGAAGATCTGTATAGGAAGGATCATAATATCGAGGATAGTTTTGACGGTGTGGTGAATGAATTAGAACCAAACATCCTGAAGAGTGAGGTTGAATGGGCCTTAAGAAGCATTGCTAACAACAAGGCAGCAGGAGACGACGGGATCCCAGCTGAACTGTTTAAAATCTTAAAAGATGATGCTGTCAAGGTGATGCATGCCATACGTCAGCAAATATGGAAAACACAAGAATGGCCATCAGACTGGAAAAAATCAACTTATATCCCCATACCAAAAAAGGGAAATGCGAAAGACTTCTCAAACTTCCGTACAGTGGCCCTTATTTCTCATGCCAGTAAGGTAATGCTTAAGATCCTGCAAGGAAGACTCCAGCAATACATGGAGAGAGAGAGTTGCCAGACTTACAAGCTGGGTTTAGAAAAGGCAGAGGAACCAGAGACCAGATTGCCAATATCCGCTGGATAATGGAGAAAGGCAGGGAGTTTCAGAAAAACATCTATTTCTGCTTCATTGACTACTCTAAAGCCTTTGACTGTGTGGATCATAATAAATTGTGGCAAGTTCTTGGTGGGATGGGCATACCAAGCCACCTTGTCTCTCTCCTGAGGAATCTGTACAAGGACCAAGTGGCAACAGTCAGAACTGACCACGGAACAACAGACTGGTTCAAGATTGGGAAAGGCGTACGGCAAGGCTGCATACTCTCACCCAACCTATTCAACTTGTATGCAGAACACATCATGCGATGTGCGGGGCTCGATGAATGCAAAGCTGGGGTGAAAATTGCTGGAAGAAACATTAACAACCTCAGATATGCAGATGACACCACTCTGATGGCCGAAAGCGAGGAGGAGCTGAGGAGCCTTCTAATCAAGGTGAAAGAAGAAAGCGCAAAAGTTGGGTTGCAGCTAAATGTCAAAAAAACCAAGAATATGGCAACAAGAATGATTGACAACTGGAAAATAGAGGGAGAAAATGTGGAGGCTGTGACAGACTTTGTATTTCTAGGTGCAAAGATTACTGCAGATGCAGACTGCGGCCAGGAAATCAGAAGATGCTTACTTCTTGGGAGGAGAGCAATGTCCAATCTCGATAAAATAGTAAGAGTAGAGACATCACACTGGCAACAAAGATCCGCATAGTCAAAGCCATGGTATTCCCTGTAGTAACCTACGGATGTGAGAGCTGGACCTTAGGGAAGGCTGAGCGAAGGAAGATCGATGCTGAGAGTGCCTTGGACTGCGAGAAGATCCAACCAGTCCATCCTCCAGGAAATAAAGCCCGACTGCTCATTGGAGGGAAGGAGACTAGAGACAAAGTTAAAGTCCTTTGGCCACATCATGAGGAGACAGCAAAGCCTAGAGAAGGCAATGATGCTGGGGAAAGTGGAAGGCAAAAGGAAGAGGGGCCGACCAAGGGCAAGATGGATGGATGGCATCCTTGAAGTGACTGGACTGACCTTGAAGGAGCTGGGGGTGGTGGCGGCCGACAGGGAGCTCTGGCGTGGGCTGGTCCATGAGGTCACGAAGAGTCGGAGACGACTGAACGAATGAACAACAACAACAGCCCTAAATAATCTGTGCGATGAGGCAGACAGACTGTAGAATGAATGCAGTTTGATATCACTTTAACTGCCATGGCTCAATGTGATCAAAAAGACTGCACAGAGTGGACATGGAGATTACATTTCTTTAGACAAACCTGGAAGAGCCTCAAAACCTTTCTGTTCCTATTGAAAGGGCCTTTGAGTGAAATTAACAATGGCTAAAGCCTTTAGTAAACAAACATAAGAAATGTACCCTTTCTCTGTAAAAAAAAAAAAAGGAGCAATGCGAAAGAAAATGTTTTAAAAACAAGAGGTGACATGTAGAGGTCATACAAAGTTCGAGCTTACATAAGAAGTTGGGTTGTGGTTAAGCGCAAAGATTGTGGTTAAGTGCAAAGTCTGCAGGTGCAAGAAGGTACTTTCCATCGAAAGGTCAAGGGAGGGGGGCTGGAAAGAGAGTACTTTCCATGACCAAAAGTTATTCTCCCACAGGAGTTGAGTAAGCAAGAAGCCATTCTTTTTCTTTCTGCTTCCGGTAAGCTTTGTCTTAGGGGGCACTAGGAATCTAGTGTGTTTTTAAAATTAACTGCTGAGTGCCTGCTTTGTTTGAGGCAAGGCTCATTTTAAAATTAGCTGCTGAGTTTCTGTTTTGTTTGAGAGGCAGGGCAAGGCTCATTGTTCTCAGAGTGACTCAGAGTGACTCAGAGTGTCACGTTGCTGCTTCCTGTTTACCCTATAAAAGCCAGTGTCGCACGCGCCTGGCGGCGCGCGTGAACTCACACACTCACTAACCTACACTTTTCACCCCACATACAGACAACAACATAAAACACACACAAAGAGGAGGTCATTAGTAGCCTGCAGATGAAACAAACACAAAATTCTCCTGTCCCATGCACAAGCTGTGATATGTTCAGCTTTTTCACGCAACAATTACTCAATTACATCTGCCCCAAGTGTAAACAGATCACTCACATGGAACACAGGATCCAACAACTTGAGGACCGTATTAAGACCCTTAAGGACATTCAGGAACTTGAGCTGTTCGTAGACACCACACAGCACGCTGTCCTAGCCATGCAGCCCATATCACACCAACAATGTGGGGAGGCTCAAGAGAACACCTCAGACATGGACAACCCTCAGGCTTGGAGGAATGTCACCCTTAGAAAGAGTCATAGGACCCTGAAGCCTCCTCAGAACACTTCTGCTCAGCTGCACTTACACAATAGATTCCAAATTCTCACACAACTATCACTTGACCAAGACACACAACATATTGGGGAAGACCACAATGGCTTGGATACTGATCAGTGGCTCATCCTTGATCAGTGTGCGGGGGATAGCCCCGACTGGGACAGCATTCACACTTACACAATCATGCGGGTGTACCATCCCCAACCATAGACCAGGTGCAACAGGAACACATACAGGAGAACGATAGGCTCTTGGACCAATCTCAATGGATAGTCCTTGACGAATGCACTGGGGATGTTGAGGAGGAGGACAACACTTTACAGCTACACAATTCACATCAACAGGATCACTTTTCTGGAGACCTACAGACTACATTGCACAAAAGGGACTCTGTCAATCCTGAAAGTAAACAGGTCTTGGTAGTAGGCGACTCCCTCCTTAGAGGAACGGAAGCCATCATTTCCAGACCAGATGGGATGGCTCGAGAAATATGCTGCCTACTGGGGGCAAAAAATACACCATATCACTCAGAGGCTCACCAGGTTCCTCAAGCCCCATCACCGTCCTCCCCTCATGCTGATTCATGTAGGAACCAATGACACTGCTAGGCATACTTTTCAAAAGATCATAAATGATTTTCGAGCTCTCGGAACAAAGCTAAAACAATGTAATGTACAGGTGGTCTTTTCATCCCTCCTCCCAGTTGTAAGACACGGTCCTACAAGGGCCAGAAAAATAGTACAGGTCAATAACTGGCTTAGAAAATGGTGTCAGGAGGAACGCTTTGGCTTCCTTTACCATGGCCTGCTTTTCCAGGAGGATGGCCTACTGGCAAGGGATGGGGTGCATCTCACACAAGTAGGAAAACACCTTTTTGCTCACAGACTCGCAAACCTCATTAGGCACACTTTAAACTAGGAGAGGGGGACAACAGCCTTGCGAACACTACTGTACCCACAATGTCAGGGAACCGCCAGAAGGCTAAACGGAGGGCTGCACAAATACAACGAGGACCAAGTACCAAAAGGACAATAATCCCAATTAAACAGCTCGGGGGAAGATCTCAAGGGCTCACATGTCTTTACACTAATGCACAGAGCATGGGTAATAAACAAGATGAACTCCAACTTTTAGCACAACACCACAAATCATATCATAGGCATCATTGAAACCTGGTGGGATGACTCCTATCGCTGGAATGTCGACATCGAGGGCTATAACCTCTTTCACAGAAACCGAACAAAGGAGAGAGGAGGCGGAGTAGCCTTATATCTCAAAAGCTGTTATGCTGCAGAAGACATGCAAGACAGCAATCCGGGAAACCAGCTTGAAAGCATCTGGATAAGAATCAAGGGAACTGGGACTCAAAAAGATGTCGTTGTAGGCGTCTACTACAGACCTCCAAGCCAGGAGGAAGAGCTTGATGAAGTCTTCTGCCAACAGTTGACCAAACAGGCACAGAGAAGAGATGTAGTAGTCATGGGCGATTTCAACTATCCTGATATCTGCTGGAAAACAAACTCGGCCAAGAGTACAAGGTCCAACAAATTCCTCGCTTGCCTTGCAGACAATTTCATTAAAAACAATAAAAAGGGCTTCTTTTCTTATGTCATTAGAAAAAGGAAAAACAAGGAGGCGATAGGGCCTCTTCGAGGAGAAGATGGAGCAATGCTGACAGGGGGTAGGGAAAAGGCAGAACTATTTAATACCTTCTTTGCCTCGGTCTTCTCACAAAAAGAAAGTCATCTCCAACCTCAGCAAGATGGAGTGGATGAGGGATTAGAGGACATCCAACCCCAAATTGGGAAACAAGTCGTCCAGGAATACCTGGCTGCTCTTAATGAGTTCAAGTCCCCAGGGCCAGATCAACTACACCCAAGAATATTGGACATTGGAAGTCATTTCTGAACCAATGGCAATCATCTTTGAGAGTTCTTGGAGAACGGGAGAAGTTCCAGCAGATTGGAGGAGGGCCAATGTGGTCCCAATCTTCAAGAAGGGAAAAAAGGATGACCCAAACAATTACCGTCCGGTCAGCCTCACATCGATACCAGGCAAGATTCTGGAAAAGATTGTCAAGGAAGTGGTCTGCAAACACTTAGAAACAAATGTGGTCATCGCTAATAGTCAACATGGATTTATCAAAAACAAGTCATGCCAGACTAATCTGATCTCATTTTTCGATAGAGTTACAAGCTGGGTAGATGCGGGGAATGCCGTGGATGTAGCGTACCTGGATTTCAGTAACGCCTTCGACAAGGTCCCCCATGACCTTCTGGCAAGGAAACTAGTCCAATGTGGGCTAGGCAAAACTACGGTGAGGTGGATCTGTAATTGGTTAAATGGACGAACCCAGAGGGCGCTCACCAATGCTTCCTCTTCATCCTGGAAAGAAGTCACGAGCGGAGTGCCGCAGGGCTCCGTCCTGGGCCCAGTCCTGTTCAACATCTTTATTAATGACTTGGATGAAGGGCTAGAAGGCACAATCATCAAGTTTGCAGATGACACCAAATTGGGAGGGATAGCCAATAGTCCAGAGGACAGGAGCAGGATTCAAAACGATCTTGACAGATTAGAGATGGGCCAAAACTAACAAAATGAAGTTAAACAGGGACAAATGCAAGATACTACACTTTGGCAGGAAAAACGAAATGCAAAGATACAAAATGGGGGGTGCATGGCTCGAGAGCAGTACGTGTGAAAAAGATCTTGGAGTCCTCGTGGACAACAAGTTAAACATGTGCCAACAATGTGATATGGCGGCAAAAAAAGCCAATGGGATTTTGGCCTGTATCAATAGGAGCATAGTGTCTAGGTCCAGGGAAGTAATGCTACCCCTCTATTCCGCTTTGGTTAGACCACACCTGGAATAGTGTGTCCAATTATGGGCACCACAATTCAAGAGAGATATTGACAAGCTGGAATGTGTCCAGAGGAGGGCGACTAAAAAGATCAAGGTTCTGGAGAACAAACCCTATGAGGAGCGGCATAAGGAGCTGGGCATGTTTAGCCTGAAGAAGAGTAGGCTGAGAGGAGACATGATAGCCATGTATAAATATGTGAGAGGAAGCCACAGGGAGGAGGGAGCAAGCTTGTTTTCTGCTTCCCTGGAGACTAGGACACGGAGCAATGGCTTCAAACTACAAGAGAGGAGATTCCATCTGAACATGAGGAAGAACTTCCTGACTGTGAGAGCTGTTCAACAGTGGAACTCTCTGGCCCGGAGTGTGGTGGAGGCTCCTTCTTTGGAAGCATTTAAACAGAGGCTGAATGGCCATCTGTCATGGGTGATTTGAATGCAATATTCCTGCTTCTTGGCAGAATGGGGTTGGACTGGATGGCCCATGAGGTCTCTTCCAACTCTTTGAGTCTATGATTCTATGATTCTATGAGTATAAAGGTCAGCAAAAACAGAGGAGGGGCCGCAGTCTGTGGAAGCACTAACAGAAGTGCTGTCTGTTCACCTCATGCTGATCGGCTTGAATAAACGGTGTTTTACCTGAACCTACTGGACTCTGTGGATTTCTTAGTAAAGGGACTCCACACCCTAAACCCGTGATCCCTTACATTATAATGCAGTGTTTCTCAGCCTGGGGGTCGGGACCCTGGGGGGGCGGCACGAAGGGGTTTCAGAGGGGTTGCCAAAGACCATCAGAAAACATATATTTCTGATGGTCTTAGGAACTCCTTTGGCAGAGAAGGCTGAAGACTCTCTACCTGTCCTCTTCCTTTTTGTGAACAGACAGCAAATCTGCCCACCAAAAGCCCTCCTCCATTGTGATTGGCTGGCCTCTCAGCCAAGGGAAGGGCTGTTTCTGAGACTGCTGTGGGGAAGGGGAGAGCAGGGGTGCTCAGTCCATGGCAGTGTGGCATGCACATGCGGGCAAGGGAGAGCGTGCGAGGCTGGAGGGAGGCTCGCTCCAGTGAGTCCCTTCAAGGCATGGAGGTTTGTGTGGGAAGTTTGGCCCAATTCTATCATTGGTGGGGTTCAGAATGCTCTTTGGTTGTAGGTGAACTATAAATCCCAGCAACTAGAACTCCCAAATGTCAAGGTCTATTTTCCCCAAACTCCAGCAATGTTCACATTTGGGCATATTGAGTATTTGTGCCCAGTTTGGTCCAGTGAACGAACATACATCCTGCATATCGGATATTTACATTACGATTCATAACAGTAGCCAAATTACAGTTATGAAGCAGCAACAAAAATAATGTTATGGTCGGGGATCACCACAACATGAGGAACTGTATTAAGGGGTCGCAGCATTAGGAAAGTTGAGAAACACTGCTTTCTCCCTGGGTGCATTTACACCAGATCTGGACAACATATGGCCCATGGGCTGTATGCAGCTCCCTAAAGGATTTAGGGTAGCTCAAAGAGGCTGCCACTCTCACTGGTTCCCTGCTGCAACCACCTTTTCTTGTGATGAATGTGAGATAATAATCAATTTCATTTCGAAACGGAGTATGACAGAGCACTACTATAAACATACTCTACCGAACACTTCCCTGCTTCAATGTGATGAAGTGGTAGATAGTATCGTGTTTCCTCAAAAAGAAGACACTGTCTTATATTTAAACACACTATGGTTTATTTTCAGGGGATGTCTTATTTTATTAAGTACTAGCCGTCCCCTGCCACGTGTTGCTGTGGCCCAGTCTGGTGATCTAGAACAGGGGTCCTCAAACTTTTTGAACAGAGGGCCGTGTCACAGTCCCTCAATCTGTTGGAGGGCTGGATAATGATTTGAAAAAAAAAGCATGAATGAATTCCTATGCATGTTGCACATATCTTATTTGTAGTGCAAAAAACACTTTAAATAATACAATAATTAAAATGAAAAACCATTTTTAGCAAATATAAACTTAGCAGTTTATAATAAATATAAACCTAGCAGTTTGAAAACATACAAATGTGAGTAGATCAATAGATACCACTCCGGCGGGAAGGTAACAGCTCTCCATGCAGTCATGCTGGCCACATGACCTTGGAGGTGTCTATGGACAACCTCTTGGCTTAGAAATGGAGAGTCAGACATGACTAATTAAGGTCAGGGGACAACATTTGCCGGCTGCCCCCCCCCCCCCCCCCCCCCCCCCCCCGCTTCTCCTGCCTCCTGGATGTGGCGAGGCCGTATCCTGAAGGCAGGAAAGCAGGCTGGGCCCACGGAGACGGACGGCAAAGCGGGCCCAAGCCGCTTTGCCGGCCGCCTCCCCCCCTTCACTCGCCGCCTCCCTTCCCCTTCGCCCGCCTCTCACCCTTTTCCACACCCCGCGGGCCGGATAAATGCCCTCGGAGGGCCAGATCCAGCCCGCGGGCCGTAGTTTGGGGACCCCTGATCTAGAAAATAAAGTAATGAGAAAGTGTTGGTTTCTAATATATGCAGTTTCTTGATGCTTGTGGGTAAACAGTGTTTCGTGTTGTACGCTGCACAGCCATGCCTATCACTGTGTCTTATTTTTGGAGTATGGCTTATATTGCACATATGCTTAGAAATCCTGTTATGGCTTATTTTATGGTTATGTCTAATTTTCGGGGAAACAGGGTAGTGAAGACTTAACTAACAATAACAACATTACCCCACTTTCTGAATACTTTTCCCCCCTCCCAGACTTTTCTATTCCCCCTCCCTTTTCGTTTAGGAAGGGGAAATAACTTTAATACCCCCCCCCCCCCCCCCCAAAAAGGAGTAAAAATCCAGAAACAGGGTAACTCAACATTTGGACAATTCAGGTTTTTAAACTTTCTTCATGAACTGCAATCAACTAAAAGTTGGGACTTCAACTTGGTGGCTTTATGTGGGTCAGGGCCAGGGCTTTTATTTTACCTTGTCTTAGGCAAGCTTACCTTGTTTGAGAAGCAATTTTCAACTGTGAAATCTGCAGAATGAGCCAGAAGTTCTCCACTGGGCAGAATTGCGTACACGAGTAAGCGAGCCATGGGAGCCATATGAACATTGATGGCCAAATCCAAAGCGAACACCCCTTTGGCTGCTAAAAAAGATGTTCAAGCAGAGAAACAAGGCATGAATTCTAAGATCCCTCTTTCAGCTAAGTTTCATCCCCCAAGATGACCAGGGGCCTCTTCACACGGCCCTTTCATGGATTGGCACTCTGTCCCCATCAGATGGGAGCAAGGGCAGCAACATGCTTTGCTCCACCGCCCTTTCACCCATCATACGAGGAAGAGGAGGAACGTGTGGGGAGCTCCGTTGTCTGATGACACACGGCAATCCCTGTCCAGGCCCAGCCAAAAAGAGACAAAATAGGTCTGTTTTAGCCCCATGTGAAGAGGTCCCAAGAGTGCAAACTGGGGAAATGATAAAGCAGGTCATTCCGCTGTTTGGTAAATAAGGGTGTGTCTACACTATAGAATTACAGTAGTCTAGCACCACTTTAATGAACATGGGTCAAACTTATGGAATCTTGTGAGTTGTCATTTCCCCATTTCTGCCAAAGCGTGCGGGTGCTTCACTCATTACAAATCCTGAGATTACATAGCTCAGCCTTGGCAGTGAAAGTGATGCCAAAGTTGATTATTTCTGAAATAGATGCACTCAATGAAGTAATTTTCCAGATTAATCCAGCCGCAATGCATCCCAGAAGTAAACGAAGGGCCAAATGTGACAAGAGGATTGGAAATGTTTACCTTCTTTTTCTGTCTCTGGCAGATCATAGATCCCATCATGCACAATGTTCCCTTTAGCCATCACCTGCAGGGAGGAAGGAAACTGATAATGAACGTGATGGTGACACAGAAGGCTGATATCAGGTAGAGACTTGGCTGCTGCCCACTATTGGCACCTTTTTGGTCATAGATTATTATGAAGCTGCATTGGGCTCAAGTCTGAACATTAAAGTTGTGTTTTACCCACCTTGAGCCTGCTCAAACTTCCGTACAGTGGCCCTTATGAACAACGAAGATAGATAGATAGATAGATAGATAGATAGATAGATAGATAGATAGATAGATAGATAGAGCGTGTGTATGTGTCTGTAGCTCAAGTATGGGCAAACCCAGGCACAGGGGCAAGATTTAGCCCCTTGGGCTCTTTTCTCAGGCCCTCCTCTCTCACACCATTCAATCCTTCCTTCCCTCTTTCCTCCCTCCTTCCCCCCTCTTCCTTCCTTCTTTCCTTCCTTCCTTCCTCCCTCCCTTTTGTCTTTCCTTCCTTCTCTCTTTCCTCCCTCCCTCCCTTCATTCCCTTCCACCCTTTCTTCAATCCTTCACTTTCTCCCCTCCTCCATTCCTTCTCACTTTCTTTCCTTCCTTTCTCATTCCTTCCCTCCCTTCCTTTACTCCCTCTTTCTCCCTCCCTCCTTCCTTCCTTTCCTTCAACCCTTTCGTCTTCCTTTCTCTTCCCTCCCTCCTCCCCATCCCTCCCTCCATCCCTTCCTTTCTCCCTTTTGTCTTTCCTTCCTTCTCTCTTTCCTCCCTCCCTCCTTTCATTCCCTTCCATCCTTTCTTCAGTCCTTCACTTTCTCCTCTCCTCCATCCCTTCTCGCTTTCTTTCCTTCCTTTTTCCTTCCCTCCCTTCCTTTAATCCCCCTTTCTCGCTCTCTCCTTCCTTCCTTTCCTTCAACCCTTTCGTCTTCCTTCCTCTTCCCTCCCTCCTCCCCATCCCTCCCTCCCTCCTTTCATTCCCTTCCATCCTTTCTTCAATCCTTCACTTTCTCCCCTCCTCCATCCCTTCTCGCTTTCTTTCCTTCCTTTTTCCTTCCCCTCCCTTCCTTTAATCCCCCTTTCTCCCTCTCTCCTTCCTTCCTTTCCTTCAACCCTTTCGTCTTCCTTTCTCTTCCCTCCCTCCTCCCCATCCCTCCCTTCCTCCTTTCATTCCCTTCCATCCTTTCTTCAATCCTTCACTTTCTCCCCTCCTCCATCCCTTCTCTCTTTCTTTCCTTCCTTTCTCCTTCCTTCCCTCCCTTTCTTTTGAAAGGGTCTTTGAACGAAATTTGCAAATACTAAGTAAAGGGCTTAGTTTGTGGTTAACTTCAAATGTTGTTTTTGAAGCGCAGAGGCCGCATGTACAGAAGGTACTTTTCCATCAAAAAGGTCAGAATTATTATTCATAAAAGGTGTTTTCCCTGAGCTCTCTGTTTGTAAAGGGCTATAAAAGTTTGCAGATTTCAAGGGAGGGGACGGCAGCCACTTGAAGGATAGCATCTGCGTAATGCTATCAGGCTGTTCGTCTTTCTTCATGAAGAAAATAAAATAAAGCCTTTTTTTAAATCTTTCATTGGGACTGTCTCCATCCTTCTGTGCTCCCGTGACTGGACCTAAAAAGACCCAATCTAGGGTCTCTAACACTTTAATCCCTCTTTCTCCCTCTCTCCATCCTTCCTTTCCTTCAACTCTTTCATCTTCCTTCGTCTTCCCTCCCTCCTCCCCATCCCTCCCTTCCTTCCTTTCTCCCTTTTGTCTTTCCTTCCTTCTCTCTTTTCTCCCTCCCTCCCTCCATTCCCTTCCACCCTTCCCTCCTCTCTTCCTCCTTTCCTTCCCTTCCTTCCTTCCTTCCTTCCTTCCTTCCTTCCTTCCTTCCTTCCTTCCCATTTTCCTTCCTCTTCCTGGGGGATTTTTAGCTGGGAGAAGAGAGGGTAGAGAGGGAACATGAGAACCATGTTGCAAGATTTAGAAGCGTGTCCCATTGAGAAGGAGAGAGGGGGAAACTGACTGTCTGCTGCTCTAGAGACCAGGGCACAAGGGAGCCATGGTTTCAAATGGCAGGGAAAGAGATTCAATGGAAAAGATTAGGAAGAACTTCCTGAGAGTAAGAACTGTGGTATAGGCTGCCTGGGAGTGTGGTGGAGTCTGCTTCTCTGGAGGCTTCTCCACAGAGGCTTCGGTTGTGCCTTCCTGCATGGCAGGGGGTTGGACTGGATGGCCCTTGCATGCAGCCCCCAAGTTAGAAAGTTTGCCCATGCCTGCTCTAGCTCATGCCAACAAAATAAAGTGTTGCTCCATCCAGACATACCAAATAGTGGAACACAATCTTCTCATCTTTGATGACATCCGGATTCAGAACAAAATGCACGCGGACTGCCTGGCTTTGTTCGCAGTTCAAAGTTTTAGAAACAGACTCGATATGGAGAAAGCTGAGGCTTGGTGAGTAGAACGAATTGATGGTGTGGTGAGCATCCCGGTGAGAGGGAGTCACCCAGTTCCTGTCGTAACAATACGGTTCGGATTTATATCTAGCCTGGTGGAAAAGACAATTGCCATTAGTGAGAATGTTCAGAACTTTGGGGAAAAGGGGAATCAGTGTTGATGATCAACTTACATCTTCTCAAGTGGTCCACATCCATTTGAGTATGATATTTTGTATTTGCTCCTAAACACACAACTTCACTGTAGAATTAATGCAGTTTGGCACCACTGCAATTTCCAAGGCTCATGCTATGGAAGCTTGAACAGTTTTTTGTAGGGTTACCAGACCTCCATAGCAGTTAAAATGGTGTCCAACGTTTTGTTGTCGTTGTTGTTGTGTCAGGAGCAACTTGAGAAACTGCAAGTCGCTTCTGGTGTGAGAGAATTGGCTGTCTGCAAGGACGTTGCCCAGGGAACGCCTGGATGAATTGATATTTTTATCATCCTTGTGGGATTCTTCTCTCATGTCTCCGCATGAGGAGCTGGAGCTGATAGAGGGAGCTCATCCGCCTCTCCCCAGATTCGAACCTGCGACCTGTCAGTCTTCAGTCTTGCCGGTAAAGGGGTTTAACCCACTGCGGCAACTGAATTCATTGGAAATTGTGTGTTTGGAAGTCCCTGAACAGACTCAGAAGCAGAGTGGGCAGATCAAAAGGCAACCTGGCAAAGTGGCACAACCTAAAAGGATCCCACACCTTGTGTGACTGTGGAGCAGAACAGACAACTCCGCATCTGAATGCTTGTCCACTATGTCCTGCCTCATGCACAGAGGAAGAATTGTTGAATGCCAAAGACAATGCCGTTGCTGTTGCCCATTTTAGGTCAAAAGATATTTAGCCGCCTGTGCTCCTTCTATTTTTATCAGTTTTATACTTATTTATGCAATGCTTTTGACATAAAATAAAAAATGAATTCATTCTTGTTGAGAAACTAACAATCTTGCATGCACATTGAAATGATTCTCCTATCTTCATGTTTCTGTGTTACCTCACTTCCTTCCCTGTCAGTTTTATGATACCCCCAATTAACATTGCATGAGAATTGGAGCATCTTCTAGAAAGGTTGTTGTGCAGTCTGTCACATAGGCAGGTCTTTGAAGTCAAAAGGTTATAAAAGGAGAGATGCTTCCTTTGTCTTTATTCTTACTTGGTTGGGTTTTACTCTTGGAGTGCATGCATGGCAGTGATCTTCTAGGTCAGCAATTCTCAACCTGGGGGTGGGGACCCCTTGGAGGGTCACAAGGGATGTCAGAGAGGTCGCCAAAGACCCTCAGAAAACACAGTATTTTCTGTTGGTCATGTGGGTTCTGTCTGGGAAGTTTGGCCCAATTCTATCATTGGTGGGGTTCAGAATGCTCTTTGATTGTAGGTGAACTATAAATCCCAGCAAATACAACTCCCAAATGTCAATGTTTATTTCCCCCAAACTCCACCAGTGTTCACATTTGGGCATATTGAGTATTCGTGCCCAGTTTGGTCCAGATAGACATCTACATAAAAACTCCAACCATCACCCAAGTCAAAAAAGAAGCACCATTAAAGCCTTGGCAGACCGTGCAAAAAGAATCTGCGAACCCCACCTCCTCCAAGATGAACTGAACCACCTCAACTGGGCTCTCCAGGCCAATGGATACTCCACCTCAGACATCAGAAGAGCTGCAAGACCAAGAACAAGCCACGAGAGTAAGATGATCCACCCAGAGGAAAAGTGTTCTTGCCATACATCAAGGGAACCACTGACCGCATAGGGAAGCTGATGAGGAAACACAACATACAAACTATCTACAGACCCACCAAGAAAATCCAACAAATGCTACGTTCAGCAAAGGACAAGAGGGATCCTCTCACTTCTGCAGGAGTCTCCGTGTACCATGCAGCTGTGGACAAGTCTACAGAGGGACCACCAAACGCAGCCGCATTGCCCAAACACGCATCAAGGAACATGAAAGGCACTGCAGACTACTTCAACCAGAGAAGTCAGCCATAGCAGAGCACCTGATGAACCAACCTGGACACAGCATATTATTTGAGAACACAGAAATGCTGGATCACTCTCCAACAACCACCATGTCAGACTACACAGAGAAATCCACAAGCATGTGGACAATTTCAACAGAAAGGAAGAGACCATGAAAATGAACAAAATCTGGCTACCAGTATTAAAAAACTCTAAAATTACAAGAGCAAAACAGCAGAGAGGAAACAACCAGGCACATCTTAACACCTTTCAACATAAGATTTTCCCAGGCTCAGCCAGGCCTTCAAATGCTAATGAAGGTGGTCAGTTGAAACATTCACACCTAGCTCCAGCAGAGAAGAGCTCTTTGCTCCACCCCAGCCATTCCACAGATATATAAACCCATTATCCTAATTCCATAGACCTCACTACCTCTGAGGATGCTTGCCATAGATGCAGGCGAAACGTCAGGAGAGAATGCCTCTAGAACATGGCCCTATAGCCCGAAAAAACCCACAAGAACCTAGTTTGGTCCACATCAATCACAGTGCCCTCTGGATGTAGGCGAACTACAACTCCAAAACTCAAGGTCAATGCCCACCAAACTCTGCTGGTATTTTCAGTTGGTCATGAGAGTCCTGTGTGCCAAGCTTGTTTGATTCCATAACTGGTGGCGTTCAGAATGCTCTTTGATTGTAGCTGAACTATAAATCCCAGCAACTACAACTCCCAAATGACAAAATCAATCCTCCTCAACCCGTTGGGTATTTGGCCGTATTGGGTATTTGTGCGAAATTTGGTCCAGTGAATGAAAATACATCAGCATATCAGATATTTACATTACGATTAATCAGGAGGAAAATTATAGTTGTGAAGTAGCAACGAAAATAATCTTATGGTTAGGCGTCACCACAACATGAGGAACTGTATTAAGGGGTCACGGCATTAGGAAGGTTGAGAACCCCTGTTCTAGGCCTTTGCTGAAGCTAGAGATATCTATCCTTTCACTATCTAACTTTGGATTATACTTTTTTGATGATCTACAATGAAGTTAAGCTGTACCTGTGTGATCCTTTTTACACAAGTTTTGTGAGTAAACTCTTCTAATTACATCAAGCAGTTGATGTGGAGTTTCTTTTGTTTTCTGTGTATTCCTTTACATGCTCTTTTAATGGGGTGCTGTAATGAATCATTTAGTAAGCTTTAATTCTCTCTGTTTCTCTTTATGAATAACAATGCGTTAAACCCTTGTGCCGGCAGGACTGAAGACTGACAGGTCACAGGTTCGAATCTGGGGAGACCGCGGATGAGCTCCCCCTGTTAGCTCCAGCTCCCCATGCAGGGACATGAGAGAAGCTTCCCACAAAGATGGTAAGACATCAAAACATCCGGGCGTCCCCTGGGCAACATGCTTGCAGACAGCCAATTCTCTCACACCAGAAGCGACTTGAAGTTTCTCAAGTGGCTCCTGACACAAAAAGAAAAAAAAATCCGTTGTGTTTTTACTCTGCTAAGGTTGTGCTTTAAGAGGAAGGTCAAACTCATTCAAACAGATTATTTTATCCTCTGGTCAAATGACCTGAACCCTTCCATGCCTTTTAGCATGAACATATCCAACAATTCTACAGTGTAAACTCACCCTGAGTCTTCCAAATTTGAGGGGGGGGAATACAACAAAATCTAAAATGATGTTACAGTGATATTTTCATTAACCTAATCTTTATAAGGGCTCATACAGATTTCAGGATTTTATTTTGCTCCTTCGAGATATATTTATTTATTATTTATTTATTTACTGTGCTTATAGGCCGCCGTTCTCAGCCCTGGGGCGACTCACGGCGGTGTACAACATGTAAAATAAGGTGCAATTCACAACATAAGCTAACATCCACTAGCAATATTAAAAACAACATCAAACAACAACATCAATATCAATAATACAATTACAATAAGTCATTCGCGACGTCTCATCGTTGAACCACAATCCAAATATCGTTTTCCGTGTTTCGTTCCTATCGTCATTGCCAATTGTTGCAGCACTTATTCAAACGCCTTCTCAAACAACCACGTCTTTAGTCTCTTGTGGAACGTCATAAGGGAGGGTGCCAGTCTGATGTCCACAGGAAGGGTGTAGATATATATATACACACAGTGTTCCCTTGCTACTTCACGGTTTGCTTTTAGCAGACTCACTGTTTTGTGGTTTTTCAAGACATATTAATTTAAAATATATATTGTGGTATTTTCGCTGTTTCACGGGTTTTTTCCACCACTGCTCTCTGAGGCACTTTCCCTCCTCAGTCCTCCCTCCCTCCCTCCCACCTTGAAGGGCCCTTCCTTCCTTTCCTTCGCTCTCTCTCTTCACCCTGCGAGGAGAAAAGTAAAGAGAGCTTGTTTCCTTTCCTTTCCTTTCCCTCCCTCCCTCCCTCCCTCCCTCCCTCCCTTCCTTCCTTCCTTCCTTTGCAGCCACCACACTGACAGGGTGGGGGGAGACGTGGGGGGGGGGAGAGGAGGAGGAAGAGAAGGAGGAGTACTCGGTAAAACAGAAACAGGGTTTATTTTAAGTTTATAAAGACTTTAAAAAGTATATAACTACTAAAACAATGTCTGTTGCGCCAGCTCCACTGGCTGCCAATTTGCTACCGGGCACAATTCAAAGTGCTGGCTTTAGCCTATAAAGCCCTAAATGGTTCTGGTCCGACCTATCTGTCCGAACGCATCTCCTCCTATGAACCAGTTAGGACGTTAAGATCGTCTGGGGAGGCCCTGCTCTCGGTCCCGCCGGCTTCACAAGCACGCCTGGTGGGGATGAGAGACAGGGCCTTCTCAGTAGTGGCCCCCTGGCTGTGGAACGCCCTTCCTACAGACATTAGATCGGCCCCCTCCTTATTGGCATTCAGGAAGAGAGTGAAGACCTGGCTCTTCGAACAGGCTTTCAACTAAGCAGTGCAATTGATTGATTACTGGAATATGGATTAATGGACAACGAGATCGGATGCTGATTCTATTGATGAGACGTGATGGATTGTTGTTTTCTGTACTGCTGTATTGATGTTGATGTTAATTGATTGATATTACTGTTTTAAATGATTATGATTTTGTACTGTATTGCTGATACTGGTTGTTAACCGCTCTGAGTCGCCAAATGGCTGAGAAGAGCGGTATACAAGTAAAATAAATAAATAAATAAATAAATATTAAAATAATATTAAAATAAATATAGCATCCCTACTTCGCGGATTTTCATTTATTGCTGGTGGTCCTGGAAGGTAAAACGCGGAATAAGTGAGGGAACACTGTATTTCATACTTGGAAATGTACTTTCAATTTGTTCAAGGTTGTGTTGTGATGGTTTGCAGTAATCTCCCATTTTATCCAGTTCCCAGTCCTCAGCAATACTCACCTGGATGCCAATAGCCTCGCCTGTGAAATTTGTGGTGTCTATGGAAAACTGAATTTGTCCCTGGTCATTGGTGGTGTAGTTGGTCTCCTTGAGCATACCTACTCGGATGCTGATGGTTTCATTGGCAATTGGCTGACTGGTACCATCTACCAGCTTCACCTAGATATGAAAACAAATAAAACATATTATTTTTATATTTTGAAGAAGAACATTACTGTCTAAGGCTGGAGTTTGTCAGATCAATTCTGAAGTGTTGTGTGGTTTCTGGGCTGTATGGCCATGATCTAACAGAGGAGAAATCATAAGGAGGAGGGAGCAAACTTGTTTTCTGCTGACCTGGAGACTAGGACGCAACGGAGCTTCAAACTACAGAAAAGGATATTCCACCTGAGCATGAGGAGGAACTTCCTTACTTTGAGAGCTGTTCAGCAGTGGAACTCTCTGCCCCAGAGTGTAGTGGAGGCTCCATCTTTGGAGGCTTTTAAGCAGAGGCTGGATGGCCATAAGGTAAAGGTAGTCCCCTGACATTAAGTCCAGTCATGTCTGACTCTGGGTGTGGTGCTCATCTCCATTTCTAAGCCGAAGAGCCAGCGTTGTCCATAGACACCTCCAAGGTCATGTGGCCGGCATGACTGCATGGAGCGCCGTTACCTTCCCGCCGGAGCGGTACCTATTGATCTACTCACATTTGCATGTTTTCAAACTGCTAGGTTGACAGAAGCTAGGGCTGACAGCAGAAGCTCACACCGCTCCCCGGAATCGAACCTGCGACCTTTCGATCAACAAGCTCAGCAGCTCAGTGCTTTAACCCACTGCGCCACCGGGGGCTCTTCTGGATGGCCATAGGCACGGGCAATCCATGGTTCTAAATGATTCTAAGATACTTACAAAACTAAAGTTCTGGTAGTGAAAACCAGGGGGCGCTGGTGCTTTGCTTCTACAGTGTTGTTAAAGTTCTGGTAGTGAAAATTTCAGAACTCTAACAAAACTTTGAAAACTTCATTAAAAATGGCAGTTCCTAATCGGTTCTGCCATAAAAATTGCCAGTAATGAAATAATGATGAAATTTTGTTCGAGTTCTGAAATGTTCACCACCAGAACTTTAGCAACACTGTAGAAGCAAAGCACCAGCGCCCCCTTGTTTTCACCACCAGAACTTTAGTTTTATAAGTACTTTAGAACCATTTAGAACCATGGATTGCCCATGCCTAATGGCCATCTGTTGGGGGTGCTTTGAATGCAGTTTTCCTGCTTCTATGCAGGATGAGGTTGGACTGGATGGCCCACGAGGTCTCTTCCAACTCTATGATTCTATGATGTTTCACCTGCATCTGTGGCTGGCATCTTCCATCATAGAATCATGTTTATGATTCTATGATTCTTGAAGGTGTTGGGGAGCTTATGGATAGAAGTGGGGAATTCCCATGTGACCAACCTTCTTGTATTTGCTCAAAAGGTTACAATGGAGCAGTGTTTCTCAACCTGTGGGTCGGGACCCCCAGGGGGGTCGCAAGGGGGTGTCAGAGGGGTCGCCAAAGACCATCAGAAAACAGTATTTTCTGTTGGTCATGGGAGTTCTGTGTGAGAAGTTTGAACTAATTCTATCGTTGGTGGGGTCCAGAATTCACTTTGATTGTAGGTGAACTATAAATCCCAACAACTATAACTCCCAAATGTCAAGGTCTATTTTCCCCAAACTCCACTAGTGTTTACATTTGGGCATACTGAATATTCATGCCAAGTTAGGTCCAAATCCATTATTGTTTGAGTCCACAGTGCTCTCTGGATGCAAGTGAACTACAACTCCAAAACTCAAGGTCAATGCCCACCACATCCTTCCAGTATTTTCCATTGGTCATGGGAGTTCTGTGTGCCAAGTTTGGTTCAATTTCATCATTGGCAGAGTTCAGAATGCTATTTGATTGTAGGTTAACTATAAATCCCTGCAACTACAACTCCCAAATGACAAAATCAACCCCTCCAACCCCGCCAGTAGTAAAATTTGGGCGTATTGGGTATTTGTGCCCAGTTTAGTCCAGTGAATGAAAATACATCCTGCAGATCAGATATTTACATTACGAACAGTAGCAAAATTACAGTTATGAAGTAGCAACGAAAATAATTTGATGGTTGGGGGTCACCGCAACATGAGGAACTGTAATAAGGGGTCGTGGCATTAGGAAGGTTGAGAAACACTGCAATGGAGGAAAAAGTTTGTGACACTACCTAATGGCGAGGCTGGACCTGCTTGTTCCAGGATGTGCAGGGGACTTTACAAAGTTGAGCACAATAATGAGGTATCAACGGACCTTACCTGGCCCTGATATGGGATCCCAGTCTTGTAATATGCGTCCACATTTTCAAACGTAGCTGTGCTGAGAGTCTGAGTAATATCTGTGGAAGCTGAGCCTGTCAACTCCATTCCTGCCAAGGAGAACCACATGCAAAACACACAATAAGAAGGGTCAACAGAGCAGTTGTTCTATTAAAAAACTCTGGGATAGATAGACACTGAGAACTGGGAAGCCCTGGCCCTTGAGCGCTCCAGTTGGAGGTCAGCTGTGACCAGCAGTGCTGCAGAATTTGAAGAGGCACGAACGGAGGGCGAAAGAGAGAAACGTGCCAAGAGGAAGGCACATCAAGCCAACCCCTACCAGGACTGCCTTCCACCTGGAAACCAATGCCCTCACTGTGGGAGAAGATACAGGTCAAGAATAGGGCTCCACAGTCACCTATGGACCCACCGCTAGGATACTACACTTGGAGGACCATCATCCTTGGACTACGAGGGATCGCCTAAGTAAGTAAGTAATTTCTATTGGATTCCAGCTGCACAGATATCTGTGCAAACTGTGGAAAGAAGACACAGGAAGCTTCCAAGAGTGTGTCTACATTGTAGAATTAATGCAGTTTTGACACTTTTAAAACTATCATGCCTCAATGGTATGGAATCCTGGGAGTTGTAGTTTTACAAAGTTATCTTCTCGGCCCAAGACTGCCAATATCTCACCAACGACAACTCCCAGGATTCCATCGCATTTATGCATGGCAGTTAAAGAAGTGGCAGACTGTATTCACTCTACAATGCAGATCAATATTTCTCAAAGCTCAGATGTTTTGTATTTCAGCTCCCAGAAATCCCAGCCAACTGTTTGGAATTGTGGGAGATGAAGTCCAAAACATCTGGAGGAACATAATTTGAAAAACTATGATGTCGATGTACTCCAAATCAGGAAAATACAAGAAGTTGCTCTATCCACTCTGATCAGAAGCAGCTCATTGATCAATCATTTCCTTCCATAACACGCAGCGCATAGAAAAGATAATATTTTTAGATGACAACTCCCAGAAGCATTGTTGTCCTGAAAGATTCTTGGAGATATAATTCAGTCCCCAACTATAGTTCAGTTGCTGATGACCTGTGACAATGATTAACTGTTGGCATTGTATTGTCGAATGCTTTTATGGCTGGAATCACTGGGTTGTTGTAGGTTTTTTCGGGCTATATGGCCATGTTCTAGAGGTATTTTCTCCTGACGTTTCTCCTGCATCTATGGCAAGCATCCTCAGAGGTAGTGAGGATGCTTGCCATAGATGCAGGCGAAACGTCAGGAGAAAATACCTCTAGAACATGGCCATACAGCCTGAAAAAACCTACAACAACCCAACTGTGGACATTGCTGACTTGTTGAACCTTTGAGGAAAAACAACATGTTTACAGAGTGTCAGAGACAATGACTCTTTAAGTTAAGGAAATGTTTACAATGTTCCTTACATTAAGAAGGAAGCCAACACAAAGTTCCTTATGTTTACCAACACCAATTATGGAGAGTCAACATCTGCCAACATCTGAGATGGAGCCAGGATATTTCAGGCTGGAAAAATATCTACCATCCATTTACAATTTTGGAACAACATCAGGAAGAAATATTGCTATATAAGAGACCTTATTACAATCCAAAAGTGTGGCAGATCAGAGGAGTCTGGCCCACTCGCCATGCTCTGCTCCATGAGTAGGAGAAAGATGGTGTATGTATTTGGGAGTGGCATATCTGCAATGGAATGCAATCTAGTCACTTGCTTCTTTTCTCACAGGAAGAGCAAGGAGTGCAATTTGGGAGTCATAATACTGGAAAATTGCAATAAAAAGTGTTAGTATTTGAAAAAGAATGCCATGATTTGGTGGGTTAACTGGAGAGAGATGTGTCAGCAGCCGACTGGCTGAGTGTGCCAGGAGCCAGAGTTCTGATTGGCTGCTGCCTCTGGCTGGCTGCTGAGGCCAACGGTTCTAACTGTCATTCTGCCATTTGTTCTCACTTTATTTATTTATTTATTTATTTACTTTGCTTGTATACTGCAATTTCTCAGCCTTGTAGGTGATTCAACGCGGTTTACATCAAGAGCAAAAATCAATCCAACAGCATACAAAATGTAAAAACCATTAACAGCATAATATACAAAATGACACATCAATAACAACACATTAACGTCTCGTAACTAGAATCGTGATCCAATTCGTCTTCCATAATTCCGTTTCCTATATTCATCGTGTACATTGCATTGTTTAACCGAACGCCTGTTCGAACAGCCAGGTTTTTAGTTTTTTTCGAAACACCATTAACGAAGGGGCTGATCTAATGTCCGTGGGAAGGGCGTTCCACAGCCGAGGGGCCACCACAGAAAAGGCCCTGTCCCTCGTCCCCGCCAGCCGTGCCTGTGATGCGGGCGGGATCGAGAGCAGGGCCTCCCCAGAAGATCTTAGAGTCCTGGTGGGTTCATAAGCAGAGATACGTTCGGATAGGTAGCTTGGGCCAGAACTTTGGACAGTGAAGAAAAATTGCTGGCTGCCAACTATCTTAAGGACTGATCATTTTATGGCATATTTCAAAGACTATTTAAAAGGATTATTTTATTCCTCTGTTCCCTGCCTGTATTCAAAGAAACCGATGCATATATTGTTACCTTGTGTGAATCTTTGAACTAAAATAAAGATACTGTTACTTGTTTCTCAAGCCTAAGTGACATTTTATTATACAGCAGGGTATACTTTGGTTTAAATACTGTGGTAAAGCTTCTACTTACTCTGCTTATACGCATTTACCAAGCCTCACAAAAAGAACAGATGTTTTAAAGTTATTCAAATCATGACTATATTTAAGATTTAGATATTCTGGATAAGAGATGCTCAATCTGTATTCAAATGCCAGGGAGTTTTCTTCATCCAGAGTAAGTCCTGAAATGTGACGATTTCACTATAGAGAATTATACTTAGGAAATCTCCTCTTCATCTATTGCTCCAATCCCCCCTCCTTGGTTTTCTATCCCACCTGTCTCATCAGGTTTACCTGTGCCTTCTTCAGCAATCGTGCCCTCTATGTTGAGGTTCATGTTATATCCTGACCGCTTCAGTTGGAACACCTTTGTTTGCACCACTCGAGTCAAACAGCCTTGCCCATCTGCCTGCAGAAGAAACCAGGAGTTAGCGAACAATAGGAAAGCTGTATTGTCGAAGGCTTTCATGGCTGGAATCACTAGGTTCTTGTGGGTTTTTTCGGGCTATAGGGCCATGTTCTAGAGGCATTTCTCCTGACGTTTCGCCTGCATCTATGGCAAGCATCCTCAGAGGTAGTCAGGTCTGTTGGAATTAGGACAATGGGTTTATATATCCGTGGAATGGCTGGGGTGGGGCAAAGAGCTCTCCTCTGCTGGAGCTAGGTGTGAATGTTTCAACTGACCACCTTCATTAGCATTTGAAGGCCTGGCTGAGCCTGGGAAAATCTTTTGTTGAGAGGTGTTAAGATGTGCCTGGTTGTTTCTTCTCTGCTGTTTTGCTGTTGTAATTTTAGAGTTTTTTTTAATACTCCTACTGGTAGCCAGATTTTGTTCATTTTCATGGTCTCTTCCTTTCTGTTGAAATTGTCCACATGATTGTGGATTTCAATGGCTTCTCTGTGTAGTCTGACATGGTGGTTGTTGGTGTGGTCCAGCATTTCTGTGTTCTCAAATAATATGCTGTGTCCAGGCTGGTTCTCAGGCCAAATGGAGGCAGGGAACACCCCTCACCACAACCTCCATGGCCCGGTAAGTCGGGCCATGCCATTTACAGAGTGTCAGAGACAAGGACAATGAACCAGCCTGGACACAGCATATCCCCTGGGCACTGTCTTTGTAGATGGCTGGAGATCTGTGGCTCATGAGGAAGGTCTCAGGAGGAATGTGCAATTCTGGCCCGCAAAATATACTCCTATTGCTAGGAAACCACCAATTGAAGGTCATATGGATGATGGCAAAAGCAGGATCCAAGGAAGGACTGGATTTGTCTCCATGCCCAAATGGCTTCCCTTTGCCCTACACATTACACTGTTCTACAAATTTTCAGTTTTTCTCAGTTACGGAAACGAAATGTGCCGTTTCTTAATAAATTTAACATGCTGAATTCAAATATAATAATTAAATATGTTAATTGGCTCTGGTTTTTATGCAACAGCTATTTCAATTTTCTCCACAATAGGTAATTCTTTAATATTATGATAATGCACCTAACCTTACTGCATGTATATAAACCGTGAATATTTACTAAATTTTAGTCAAATTATATTGCCAATAGTTTATACATGAGAAATATTTATTTAATTAGTCTATTGTTTATGTTTGTGCAGCAAGAAACTATATTAGTAGGCCTAATGCAGTTGAAAAGTCTGAAAGTTTAAATGTCGCTTTAATCGTGACTTTAGTTTATATCCTGTTTGCTTCTCTTGACTTTTCTTTTGTATTCAAGGAAAGGATTGTCTCTTACAATGCTCCAGCAGTAGTCTGACAGCATTGACGGAGTCCATTTACCTTGATATCTTTTTTCCATAGTGCTTTATTTACACACGTGCGAGGCATAACTACAGTAAAAAGAACAATGTAAAACGATGTTTAACGATACTGTCTCAGTCTTCAACTGACTGACCCTCACCGTTCAAAAGTCTGGCCTTATATAGGGCTTTCTGGCTTTTGCACACGGCACTAATACTGCGTCATCAAACTTTCTAGAATATTCTAGAATCTTCCATAGTGTAAGTCGCAACATGCATTTTTTCAACCATACGTGATCACGTGATTGCTTATATCATAAAAACTAGAGCCAATATACATTTTTAAATGTCATTTTCGTTTTCAGCACCCCAAAATCATAAAAGAACAACTATTTTCAGGCCCGCAACTTTTTCTCCGTTGAACAGTGTTATCAAAGGTAGACCTCAAGCAATAGTCTACGATCGCCAAGAAAATGATTTCTTTCCCTTGCTATTTGGTGGCAGATTTACCTCTCCACTGAATTCTTCACACACAGCCTCTGACTCTTTTCCATAACATTGGTTCCGAGAGCCAGAATACGGACGGCACACCCGGATCTTCACCAGGCCAGGAACAGGCTTCCCATACGTATACCTAAAAATCAGAAGCAGCCATAACATTGGTTAAAAGAGACAGCAGGTAAGGAAGGCAAGAGCAATGGTAGACTTTCTTATTTATCACTGGATTGTGAAGAAGATTTTGGGTGACTATAAGGCAGTGGTCAGATCTTGCCTGGAATGAGCCTGTGTCCAATTTGGAGCACCATAATTCAAGAAGGCTATTGACAAGCTGGAAAGTGTCCAGAGAAGGGCAACCAAAATGGAAAAGGTCTGGAAACCATGACTCCGTTCAATGATTGGCTCAAGGAACTGGATATGCTTAGCTCAGGAAAGGGAAGGTTGTAAGAATATGTCATTTTTTTTTTGTCGTGTCAGGAGCAACTTGAGAAACTGCAAGTCGCTTCTGGTGTGAGAGAATTGGCCGTCTGCAAGGACATTGCCCAGTTTTTATCATCCTTGTGGGAACCTCCTCTCATGTCCCCGCATTAGGAGCTGGAGCTGATAGAGGGAGCTCATCTGCCTCTCCCCGGATTTGAACCTGCAACCTGTCAGTCTTCAGTCCTGCCAGCACAGGGGTTTAACCCACTGCACCACCAGAGGCTCCAGAATATGTCATATGTATATATGTTTTGAATGGAATTATATGAAAGATGTATGGTTGGGGTCTATATAGTCTAGAGCAGGGGTTTTCAAACCTTTTAAACAGAGGGCCAGGTCACAATCTCTCAAACTGTTGAAGGGCTGGATTATAATTTGAAAAAAGCATGAATGAATTCCTCTGCACACTGCACATATCTTATTTGTAGTGCAAAAAACACTTAACAACAATACAATAATTAAAATGAAGAACAATTTAAACAAATATAAACGTATTAGTATTTCAATGAAAGTGTGGACCTGCTTTTGGATGATGGGATAGGATTGTTGTTGCTGTTGTTGTGTGCTTTCAAGTCATTTCAGACTTAGGTTGACCCTGAGCAAGGGCTGGATAAATAACCTTGGAAGGCCATATCCGGCCCTCGGGCCTTAGTTTGAGTACCCCTGGTTTAGAGGTAATAATAATAATAATAATAATAATAATAATAATAATAATAAACCTTTATTTATACCCCGCTAACATCTCCCGAAGGACTCGGTGCGGCTTACAAGAGGCCGAGGCTCAACACATCAATAAAACAACAGCATAACAAATACAACAATAAATAAACTCATAGAAACAAAACAATAAACATTAAAAGACTAGCAGTAAACATTAAACAATAACACCACGACGCATTTAAAACTAAGGCCGGGCCAAATGTAATTATTAAAACTTTTAAAAATGCTGGACATGACAGGTGAAATGGATAGGTTTTTGGAGATAGGTGCGGTGTACAGACAATCTTAAATCTCTATTAAAGTGCGTTTGGGACATGATGCTTGGAGTTTCCTATTCTGGGAAGGCACACTGGAACAACCACGTCTTCAAGCTCTTCCTAAAGACTGCCAACGTTGGGGCTTGTCTGATGTCCTTGGGGAGAGAGTTCCAGAGTCGGGGGGCTACCATGGAGAAGGCCCTGTCCCTCATTCCCACCAATCGCGCTTGCGATGCAGGTGGGATCATGAGCAGGGCCTCTCCAGATGATCGGAGAGATCGTGTGGGTTCGTATACGGAGATGCGGTCACGCAGGTAGGTGGGTCCCAAACCTTTTAGGGCTTTGTAGGTAAGCACCTGCACCTTGAATTGGGACCAGAAAATGAACGGCAGCCAATGGAGCTCCTTAAACAGGAGGGTTGACCTCTCCCTGTAAGGAGCACCAGTTAACAACCTGGCCACCGCCCGTTGGACCAGTTGGAATTTCCGGGCCGTTTTCAAGGGCAGCCCCACGTAGAGCGCATTACAGTAGTCCAATCTGGAGGTGACTAAGGCATGGACCACCCTGGCCAGATCCATTCTAAGATGAAGCCTGGAAAGCTACAAGGAGGTGAAGAATTCATGGACTGCGATTAAAAGTTCCTGAACTGCTGACATTGATGACCAGTGACAAATGATTAACTGTTGAACTTTTAGGGGAAAACAACATGATTACATTATCAGAGACAATAGATCTTTAAGTTAAGGAAATGTTTACAAAGTTCCTTACGTTAAGAAGGAAGCCAACACAAGGCTCCTTACGTTTACCAACACCAATTAAGCAAAGTCAACATCTGCCGGGAACTGAGATGAAGCCAAGATGTTTCAGGCTGGAAAAACATCTATTATTCATTTACAATTTTGGAACAACATCAGCTAGAAAAATTGCTATATAAGAGACCTTCAAATATTTCAGAAGTGTGGCAGACTGGAAGAGTCTGGTCACCCACCATGATCTGCTGCATGGGAAGGAGAGAGATGGTATACCTTTGGGAGTGGCATATCTGCAATGGAACACAGTCTGGTCATATGCCTCCTTTTCTCAAGAGAAGAGAAAGCAGTGCGATTTTGGAGTAATGATATGTTTGCATAGGGTCAGTTTCTGCTGTAGGGAAAACAAGGATCTGATCCTTGGCATTGTTCTTTGGGAAGGAGGATGAGTTTTGGAACTGCGCGTTGGCAGACTGCAGAGAGCCTGGCATAAGTGGCTAAGGGGGAAAAGGAAGAGGCCTGAGGCTGTTTGGAATTGTGGGAGTTGAAGTCCAAAACATCTGGAGGCCCCAAGTTTGCCCATGGCTAGTCTACACTGATTCAGACCAGCATCAATGTAGATAGGGCCAAAGGCAAGCATAGCTGTGGAAGTACTGGAAGTACTGGAAGTACTGGGATTCGAACCTGTTTCGAAAATCATGGTCCAACACTCAAATTGCTAAAGCATTTAGAAGTCTTTCATTCATTCATGATGACAACACAGTGAAAAGCCAAATGATAGGAGACAACGTCTGATGGGAGACAACACTAGGGATAGGAGGGAGGTGGAGCTTGTTAAAGTTACTCAACTATAACTCCTCTGTATTGACATGGCTCCTGGTGGCGCTGGCTGAAGGACCATCATTAAAAATTACTTTTCCAAGCCATGAAGACCAATCAACATTTGCAATATCCCTCAGCAAAGCTCTCATGGCTCCGGTTTCAAAGAGGAGAAACAGAACTCTAGTATCACTTACATGCCACAGACAGTCACTTCCACTTGTTCATTCAGGATGGTTATAATCTTGGGTGCTTTCACCCGAACCTCGTACTTAGGCAACACTTTGGGAAGGAAAGAAATGCCAAGATAAAGCAGTGGAAAGGACAATAAGCATACAGTTTTCAGTTTTATTTAGTTTGAGCTTGGGCAAACTAAATAAACTTGGGCATATAGTTTTCAGTTTTATTTAGTTTGAGTTGCCTGGATTATATGAAAAAGTCAATTTTTTAATTGCACAAAAGGCATAAGGTTGTGGGTGAACTACAACTCACATCATGCCAGGTTAACCCTGAGAAACTCCACCAGGACTTAAAGTTTGTTATGTTGGGCCAGTTTGCTCTATATGCATCATTGGTAGGGTTCAGTGTGCTCTCTGGCTGTGTGGTAAACTGCAACTCCCACTATGGTGAGTCGGCCCCCTCAAACTCCTCCAGTAGGTTAAGTTAGTCATAGGCAGGCATGTAGCCGGGGTGGGGGGGGGGCTTGAGGGGCTTCCCCCCCCCCCCCGAAATTCTCACAGTGGTTCGCGAAAAGGCCTTACTGGTGCATTATTTAAACTGTTATGTTTATTCATATCATGATCTGATCACCATACTCAATATATCCCATATGCATGGGGTTATTGGGGTAACGATACAAAAGGTTTGCTAGGGTAGACCCTCTTTCACTCAGACTCAGCCCCCCCGAACCAAACTCAGCCCCCCCCCACCCCGAATCGAAATCCTGGCTACGGGCCTGGTCATAGGGGTTCTGTGTGCCAAGTTTGGTCCAGGTCCATCATCGGTGGAGGTCACAGTTTCTCTGGTTGTGGATGAACTACAACTCCCAGAAAGGAAGGTCACTTCCCCCCCCCCCCCACCCTTCCAGTAATCTAATTGCATCATATCAGGTATGTGCGCTTAGTTTGGTCCAGAGCCATTGATGTTTGGGTTCACAGTGCTCTCTGGATGTAGGTGAACTACAACTCACATTATGCCAGGTTAACCCTGAAAAACTCCATCAGAACTTAAAGTTTGTTATGTTGGGCCAGTTTGCTCTAGATGCATCATTGGTGGGGTTCAGTGTGCTCTCTGGCTGTAGGGTAAACTACAGCTCCCACTATGGTGAGTCAATCCCCTCAAACCCCTTCTGTAGGTTCAGTTAGTCATGGGGGCTCTGTGTGCCAAGTTTGGTACAGGTCCATCATTGCTGGAGGTCACAATTTCTCGGGCTGTGGGTGAACTACAACTCCCGAAAGCAAGGCTTGTTCTCGCCAAACCCCTTCAGTAATCTAATTCCATCATATCAGATATGTGTGCCTAGTTTGGTCCAGATTCATCGGTCTTTGCATTCACAGTGCTCTCTGGATGTAGGTAAACTACAACTCCCCCAAATCAAGGTGAATTTTCCCCAAAGACTTCCAGTATTTTTTGCTGGTCAAGGGGGCTTTGTGTGTCAAGTTTGGTCCAATTCCATCTTTGATGGAGTTCAGAGTGCTCATTGATTGCAGGTGAACTATAAATCCCAGTACCTACAACTCCAAAATGTCCAGGCCAATTCTCATCAAAACCCACCAGTATTCAAATTTGGGCATATCGAGTATGCATGCCAACTTTGGCTCCATCATTAGTGGGGTTCAGAGTGCTCTTAGATTACAAGTGAACTATACATCCCAAGACACACAACTCCTATAATTTGTGGTGAATTCTCCCCAAATCTCTCTAGTATGGTCAGTAGCTGAGCAATTCCTCCGTTTACTGTGTACCATAGAAAATAATAGGAAAGGGTTAAGGAAGAGGCAGTGGGCGGGGTTATGCAAATTCCACACCAACAGAGAGAGTAAGAAATACTGGGATACCTGTGGTGGAGGAAACATGGAAAGTCTAGGATTCAACTGACCCTATATGAAAGCCTTCCCTTGGGTGGTGGGCAGTGTGATGTTTGTGGAGGACATTGGCAGGACTCTTGGACATCTTTACAGTGCTCACTATAACCTGCAATGTCGTTGGAGGGAGGGCCATTGGTGTCTCCTGATCAGTGGGAGCTATTTGTGAAAGTGGGAGCCTGTCTATGTAAGTGGACATCCCAGCCAACCCTAAAGCCAATCAATAACTATGGAGTCATCTACTGGCACAAGAGGGGTCTTACCATATTCCTTCACCTCAAAGGTCTGCTCCACATTGCTCCCCGAGGATTTCTTCACCACCACTTTGTAGGTGCCTTGTTTGGGCTCCGACGCCAGAGGGAAAGAGAGCTGCACGAGGCCTACTTTCAACTCCACATCTTGCCACTGGAACAAGCGATTCCTCTTGGGATCCTAGAAATCACAGGGCAATATGGTCATTCCAGGGACAGGGGATTGCTTGTGTTGATGGCACTCAACTGGGAATCTTTAGTCCTCCAGATTACTTGCAATTCACATTATCGCTTGTGGTACGCTGGTTCTACGTTCTAGAATCAATGCAGTTGGATACCACTTTAAGCGCCACAGTTCAATGTCACGGAAACCTGGAATTTGTAAATTGGTGAGGCACAAGCAAAAGGCCTTATTACAACCCCACCATTTCATGGCATTGATTCATAGCAGTTGCAGTGCCATCAAACTGCATTCATTCTGCAGCGTAGATCAGTACTTCCCAACCTTTGTTTTTAACCAGGGACCACCTGAACAGGAACCACTTTGGCCAGGGACCACGTTGATCAGGGGCCACTTTGACCAGGGACCACTTTTACCAGAGACCACTTTAACCAGGGACCACTTTGACGAGGGACCACATTGATTGGGGCCACTTTGACCAGTGACCACTTTGAACAGGGACCACTTTGACCAGAGACCACTTTTATCAGGGCCCACTTTGATCATGGACCACTTGACCAGGAACCACTTTGGCCAGTGACCACTTGACCAGGGGCCACTTTGACCAGGGACCACTTTGACCAGGAACCACTTGACCAGGGACCACTTTGGCTAGGGACCACTTTTACCAGAGACCACTATAACCAGGGACCACTTTGATCAGGGACCACTGTGAAGATCCCTTACCTTGCCAGCCGGGGGTGGCAGGGCCTAGGAAGAGACAGGCTAGGTAGTTTCAGCTTAGAAGGCCTGGCAGAGAGCTGCTGGAGCCATCTTAGTTTAGGGAAAAGCTCCAGTTCAGAGAGGGGGAGTGGCCTAGGCCTGAGCCAGCCCAGCAACAGCCAGGATTGGTTTGGAAAAGGGGGGCGGAGTTAGACAGTTGGAGGGAAAGAGAAGAAGCTTATTTTGACAGTTCAGTTCAGTTCTGGGTGATGTTAGAGTAGGATTAGGGTTTTAGGAGTCTCTGTTAGGAATAGGCAGCTTGCCTGTAGTTTGCACAGCAAAGTAGGCTGTGGCAGACTGGTTTCAGCTATTTTAGGAAAGAAAATAGCTGGGTTTTTGTTTATGAATTGTAACAAAGAATAGAACATTTCTCTCAAGCAACCGTTACGCTTCTAAGAACCAAGAACACTTTTATTGTAACAGCCAAGCCTCTACAACTGCATTCGTTTTATTCTGTAACTTGTATTCAATAAACCTTTTTTGTTATTTCTAAAATTTAAGCCTGAGTCAAGTGCCATTTGTAAATTCAATCCCTTTTCTTTTTGAATCAACCTCTCCTGTTTCCCCTCAAAGAAGCTCTTGGTAATATACAGTACTTGGTGGTCCTAGAAAAGCCTTTTAACATTCTAAATAGCCAGAGGGTTCCTGATTCTTCAGTTTATGGTGGCAGCGAAGGTTTTAATAAAGAGACATCTCCTCAAACGCTATAGGGGCCAAAGTGGTGTGAATTCCTTATTAAAGGAGGGACAGTGTTGGGATCTGTTTGCCCCCTGTCCAGTTACATTGTTTGGCCATAAAAACTGCCTTTATGACTAGGGGTAGATGGTGGGATTGATCACGTTGCCATCTGCCTGGTGATTAGAATTGGTGTGGCAGTGGTGGGTTTGTTTTGGCCCCCTGCCCAAATAGCATAAAGGAGTGATCAGGGGCAACTTTGACCAGTGACCACTTTGACCAGGGACCACTTTAATCAGGGACCACTTTGATCAGGGACCACGTTGATCAGGGGCAACTTTGACCAGTGACCACTTTGACCAGGGACCACTTTAATCAGGGACCACTTTGACCAGAGACCACTTTGATCAGGGACCACTTTGATCATGGACCACTTGACCAGGGACCACTTTGGCCAGCGACCACTTGACCAAGGGCCACTTTGATCATAGACCAAAGTTTGAGGACCACTTTCACCAGGGACCACTTTGACCAGAGACCACTTTTATCAGGGCCCACTTTGATCATGGACCACTTGACCAGGGGCCACTTTGACCAGGGACCACTTTGATCGTAGACCACTTGACTAGGGACCACTCTCCAACATTAGTACCAAATGTGTTACGAAATCAGTTTTTGGTCAACTTTAGATTTGGTGTGGTTATTTGGAGTGCTGATTCAGAAAATTGCATTGGATAGACCACATCAACTCTAGTTTCTGATATAGAACATATGCCCTCCAGTAGTTGCCATCTGCTCGCCCATAGAAAACCATATTTAATAACCTTGAGCTGATGTGGTAGTAGTAATCTTTCATGGGTACTCAGCCTCTCCCCACCTGACATCCCCATTGCCTCGACACTATAAGAGGGTTTAGCGAGACCAGTTGCTCTAGTTGCCACGTGGTTGCGAGGCAACGGTATAGTAATGGTTTTGCTGCGGACCATATTTTTGTTCTTGGGGACCACAGGTTGGGAACCATTGGTGTAAATGCACACTTTAAATGCCATGCCTATGCTATGGGTCCCTGGGATTTGAGGCACCAGCACTCTCTGACTGAGAAGGCTAAAGACCATGGGACTCTGGGCCGGGTTGTAGCACAGCTGGTTAATCGCTAGCAGCAATAAATCTGTAGACCAGAAGGTGGCAAGTTCAAAACCCGAGTCAGGCTTGAGCTCCTGACTGTTAATAGTCCAGCTTACTATTCACCAAACAGTTCGAAAACAGCTGAGCTGTGAGTAGAGAAATTAGGGACCACTTAAAGCTGGGAGGTTAATTTATGACACCATAAAAAAATGCCGAAGATCAAAGCAAGGAGGAAATACTACAATCAAAGGCTCGGTGTCATAGTGGATGAATCAACAGCTCCCCCCTCTGGCCTGAATTGAGCAACCTCCAGGAGCCGAAGTTGGAAAAAATGCTGAATTCCCTCTTTGTCTTGTATGTCTAAAAACGGCATTGAATGTTTGCCATGTATGCGTGCATTGTGATCTGCCCTGAGCCCCCTTTGGGATGAGAAAGGAGGAAAATAAATACCACAATTAAATAAATAAATAAACTCCCATAATTTCACAATGTGACATCAAACTGCTTTAATTCTAAAGTCTTGATGCAGCCTGAGACCAATATTTTGAGGGTAAAGTAGGCTCTAAATCCAATAAAACCAAGCCGCACACAACTATTAACATACTGTGGCGAGCCGGGATGTTTACAGAAGTTAACCGCATTTTAAAAACCTAAACCTCAGAAAAACAACCCAGAAGGGACAGAGGGTCAAACATTTTCCGTTCCGGACTCAAAGGGATCATAAATTATTGGCTAGGTGCTCTTATAGTTGATCCTTTCTGCCATTACCCAGAACGAAAAACAGCAGACCAAACAAGACCTAAGCTACGTGGATTGTATCAACAAAGCCATTTTAATCAATGGGAAAAAATGGGACCAAACATTAGGTCCAACTTCATTATCTTTTCTACGTGGAAAACTGAATCCAAAGATATGGCTTGTCCAAAACCACTTTAAACAAAATGTACTGCCAAGTAACTTTGCTTAGGATTGCATAGATGGTTAATGTTTAAGAGCCCTTTTCCCCCTAGTGTTATCTATCCTATCAAAAGCCTATTTGCTCTAGATAATCCAAGGTAACTGTCTGATTCACTAGAAGTGTGTTCTAGAGTCAGATAATACAGTATGTGAATGACACCGCAGTCACTGGTTATGAAGAATGGATTCAAATACAGTGATGGCTAACGTAAGGGCACTCTTCTGCCAAGACTGGCAGTAACAATATTGTCCTTGCAAATCAATAATTTCCCCGCCATCACAAGAAGCCTGTCGTCTGAGTGGGACAACGGGTGCATCTATACCAGGGGTCTTCAAACTAAGGCCAGATATGGTCCTCCAAGGTCATTTACCCAGCCCTCGCTCAGGGTCAACCAAAGTCTGAAACGACTTGAAAGCACACAACAACAACAACAATCCTATCTGCATTAATAGGAGCATAGTGTCTAGATTTAGGGAAGTAATGCTACCCCTCTATTCTGCTCTGGTTAGACCACACCTGGAATATTGTGTCCAATTCTGGGCACCACAATTCAAGAGAGATATTGACAAGCTGGAATGTGTCCAGAGGAGGGCAACTAAAATGATCAAGGGTCTGGAGAACAAGCCCTATGAGGAGCGGCTTAAGGAGCTGGGCATGTTTAGCCTGAAGAAGAGAAGGCTGAGAGGAGATATGATAGACATGTATAAATATGTGAGAGGAAGCCACAGGGAAGAGGGGGCAAGCTTGTTTTCTGCTTCCCTGGAGACTAGGACGCGGAACAGTGGCTTCAAGCTACAAGAGAAGAGATTCCATCTGAACATGAGGAAGAACTTCCTGACTGTGAGAGCCGTTCAGCAGTGGAACTCTCTGCCCCAGAGTGTGGCGGAAGCTTTGGAAGCTTTTAAACAGGGGCTGGATGGCCGTCTGACAGGGGTGATTTGAATGCTTCTTGGCAGGGGGTTGGACTGGATGGCCCCTGAGGTCTCTTCCAACTCTTTGATTCTATGATTCTATCTCATCAGCCAAAAGCAGACCCACACTTCGCACTGAAATACTAATAAGTTTATATTTATTGTCGAGGGCTTTCATGGCTGGAATCACTGGGTTGTTGTAGGTTTTTCGGGCTATATGGCCATGGTCTAGAGTCATTCTCTCCTGACATTTCGCCTGCATCTATGGCAAGCATCCACAGAGGGTTTTTTTTGTCAGGAGTTGCTCCTGTTGTGAGAGAATTGGCCGTCTGCAAGGACGTTGCCCAGGGGACGCCCGGATGATTTTTGATGTTTTTATCATCCTTGTGGGAGGCTTCTCTCATGTCCCCACATTAGGAGCTGGAGCTGATAGAGGGAGCTCATCCGCCTCTCCCCGGATTCGAACCTGCGACCTGTCGGTCTTCAATCCTGCTGGCACAGGGCTTTAACCCACTGCGCCACCGAGGGCTGTATCCTCAGAGGTAGTGAGGTCTGTTGGAACTAGGAAAAAGGGTTTATATATCTGTGGAATGACCAGGGTGGGACAAAGGACTCTTGTCTGCTGGAGCTGGGTGTGAATGTTTCAACTGACCACCTTGATTAGCATATAATGGCCTGACAGAGAGGAAACAAACAAGGACATCTAATCACCTTTCAACAAAAGTTTGCTCCAGGCACTGTCAGGCCATTATATGCTTATCAAGGTTGTCCTTTGTCCCACTCTGGTCATTCCACAGATATATAATCCCTTTTTCCTAGTTCCAACAGACCTCACTACCTTTGAGGAAGCTTGCCATAGATGCAGGCGAAATGCCAGGAGAGAATGCCTCTAGACCATGGCCATATAGCCCGAAAAAACCTACAACAACCCAAGTTTATATTTGTTAAAACTGTTCTTCATTTTAATTATTGTATTGTTTTTAAGTGTTTTTTTGTACTACAAATAAGATATGTGCAGTGTGCATAGGAATTCATTCATGTTTTTTTCAAATTATAATCTGGCCCTCCAACAGTTCGAGGGACTGTGGCCTGGCTCTCTGTTTAAAAGGTTTGAGGACCCCTGATCTGTACTGTAGAATTAAAAGTTTGATATCATTTTAATTACCATGGATCAATGCTCTGGAATCCTAGGCTGACATTTGGTGAGGCACCAGCACTCTTTGGCAGAAGGCTAAAACCCTTGTGAAAATGCTAGCCTTGAACAATGTTATTTAAAGTGTAAATGAACCCTAGAGTCCATGGTTTACATTAGTAGGCCAGAATTTCTCAACCTGGGGGTTGGGACGCCTGGGGGGGGGGGTCGCGAGGGGGTTTCAGAGGGGTCACCAATGACCACCAGAAAACATATATTTCTGATGGTCTTGGGAACCCCTGTAGCAGAGAAGGCTGAAGGTCTCTTCACCTGTCATGCTTTTCCTTTTTGAAAACAGACGGCAAATCTTCCCACCAAGCGGCCTCCTCTGCTGTGATTGACTGCTGTGATCAGCCAAGGATAGGGTTATTTCTGAGACTCCAAGCAGGGAGGGGAGAGCAGGCGTGTTCGGCACATGGCAGCGTGGTGCACATGTGCAGGCAAGGGCGAGCGTGCAGGGCTGGAGGGAGGCTCACTCCAGTGAGTCCCCTCAATGCAAGGGGGTTCTGTGTGGGAAGGTTGGCCCAATTCTATCGTTAGTAGGGTTCAGAATGCTCTTTGATTGTAAGCGAACTATAAATCCTAGGAACTACAACTGTTGCTCTACTCTGAACTCAAGAATGGAAAGCAGAATGTTGGAGGACAGGAAAAGAGATTTAAAGATGGGCTCAAAGCCAACCTTAAAAACTCTGGCATAGACACTGAGAACTGGGAAGCCCTGGCCTGTGAGCGCTCTAGTTGGAGGTCAGCTGTGACCAGCAGTGCTGCAGAATTTGAAGAGGCACGAATGGAGGGCGAAAGAGAGAAATGTGCCAAGAGGAAAGCTCGTCAAGCCAACCCCGACCGGGACCGCCTTCCACCTGGAAACCAATGCCCTCACTGTGGGAGACGATGGAGATCAAGAATAGGGCTCCATAGTCATCTATGGACCCACCCTGGAAGATTATCCTACTCGGACAACGAGGGATTGCCTAAGAGAGAGAAGAGTGTTTGAGTCCACAGTGCCCTCTGGATGTAGGTGAACTACAACTCCAAAACTCAAGGACACTGTCTACCAAACATTTTCAGTATTTTCTGTTGGTCGTGGGAGTTCTGTGTGCCAAGTTTGGTTCAGTTCTATCATTGGTGGAGTTCTTCGTTTGTGTATTAACTATAAATCCCAGCAACTACAACTCCCAAATGACAAAATCAACCACCCCTCAACCCCACCTGTATTCAATTTGGGCATATTGGGTATTTGTGCCAAATTTGGTTTAGTGAATGTAAAAACATCCTGCATATCAGATATTTACATTATACTTCATAACAGGAGAAAAATTACGGTGATGAAGTAGCAATGAAAATACTCTAAATTTTATGATTGGGGGTCACCACAACATGAGGAATTGTATTAAGGGGTCCCGGCATTAGGAAGGTTGAGAACCACTGCTCTATACTGTAGAATTAAGGCAGTTTGACACCACTGTAATTACCATGGCTCAATGCTATGGTGCACTGAACCATTGGAAGGTATGGCTATCATACTGGAACACCTCAGCAAGCAAGAGTCCAAAAGTGGCAGGCTCAAACCCAGCACCTCAATCTGTGGGTGATACCAAATGAGAGACTCCCCCCTGGGCACACAGAGGACTGGGCGACTTGGAAGGCGCTGAACAGACTGCGCTCTGGCACCATGAGATGCAGAGCCAACCTCAAGAAATGGGGCTGCAAAGCAGAATCCACGACATGTGAGTGTGGAGAAGAGCAAACCACTGACCACCTGCTGCAATGCAACCTGAGCCCTGCTACATGCACAATGGAGGATCTTCTTGCGGCAACACCAGAGGCACTCCAAGTGGCTGGATACTGGTCAAAGGACATTTAATCAACTACCAAGCTTGCAAAATCTGTGGGTTTTTTTAATCTGTTTGTTTTGTTCTGTTAGAAATGTAATACAATGGTATGGTTGCTGATGACACGACAAATAAATAAATAAATAAATAAATAAATAAATAAATAAATAAATAAATAAATAAATAAATAAAAATTGCTATCATCCCTGTGGACAACTTCAGAGTATTTCAGATTTTGGAATTCCAGATTATGGATGTTCAACCTGTATTTATAACTGGATTGAATTATTATGAAAGGAAGTGGATTGGAAATTACAACTTACCTGGATGTAAACCAAAGGAAACTGTGGAGACAAGAAAAAGAAAAGAGGAGTTGAACCAAACACTGTGAAGATATTTGAGAGATCGTTTTGTCATCTTCGTATGCCAAACCCATAAATGGTATTGTCATGTGGATCCATACCTGTTAACTTGTGCTTTACACAATCATTTGTTTGGGAATTGCAAATAACCCCAGTCTCCTACTTAGGGCTCATCTACACAAAACAGCTGCCATGAATTTAGGTGTCCTTCTGAAAACTTGGCAAGACGGGATGGACTGGATCTTCCCCTTCACACCATTGTAGACATCATGTGCCCTATGAACCACATGTTGTTCCCACCTGTTTTTGGAGGCCCCACAGCTGTTTAATTTGGGAGTGAGCCATCAAAATTTGGCAGCATAGCCACTGGGTTTTAAAACTGCATTTAGGGATTAGTATAAAGTGCAGGGAGTGCAGAGTTTGAGTCAAAGAGTATTGTGTTCCCAGAACCACCTTTGGGAAGTATTTTCAAAAGGAAGTAAAAAAAACAAACAGCTAAAGAAGCATCTGGTGTAAATAATGCTGAAATTTACCTTCTCATTCAAGGGATGGAAGCCTTCATCCAGCGAGACAATGCGGAATTTAACTGAGAAAGAAAGCAGGGGAGCGTTATCTTTGAGGTTCAGCAAAACACCATTAGATCCTCTGAAGATGCCAGCCATAGATGCAGATTAAACGTAAGGAGAAAATGATGAAGCAACTGCCTACTCCATAATGATTCTGATCCATCAAAGGAAATATTCCTTCATTCCCCAAATTTCTAATAGTGCAGACAGTGAAACACTGAAGATAATACATGGTGGGAACAATGCTATCTGCTATGTTCCCATTTGCTTGGTCCCTTTGCCCACTCCTTTGGATTGATGCCTCAATTATAGTTTGTGGTGGAATGAAAACCATGTCATAGTTTACGTCTTTACCAATCCACACACTGTCTTGCTAGAGAAAAGATATGATCGGTAAAGAATAAGGTGTTTACTCTTTTGTTATGCGGAGCAACATATATACATATATTATTAGCCAGCAAAGACAAACAAACCGGCAATTAAGGTTCTCAGCCAGATTACTACAAAAGTTAGAAGTGAACCTAAGTTAAGGAAAAATCTATTTCTAGCTGTTTGGGAAATAGGGCAGGGATATAAGTGCCAAGTACAGAATCTAGCTTCAGACGAAGCAACGTTGAAATCACGTTACGTTCTTCATGCCAAGTTACTGGATTCTTGTCTTTGTTTGATTCCTGGTTTAATTGCCTTTGCTGCTATTTGCCTTTGAATTCAAGTATCTTGTCTCATGGACTTTTTTGGACTATTTCTCCTTGGACTAATTGATCCTTTTTCTTCCTAATCAATTGGATTTGCCTTTTACTGTGGATTACTTTTTATTGCTTTGGCATTTATTACGTGCTTGCTTTTGTTGCGAGTAGGTTTTTATACCAGGAGGGCCCTTACCATTACGAGCTCCTAGAGGTACCGAAGGTACCAGAAGAAAACAAATCTGTGCACAAGTCTAATCTCTAAGTCTTTCCAATGTGATTCTACACAGTGTAAGTGAGTCATGCTGGGAGAAATGGAATTCCTTGTGGAAAAAATAGCAATTTCTTTGTGTTTATATTTATTTATTTATTTATTTGTTGCTTTCATGGGGGACCTGTGTTCCTAACTCCAACAAATGGGGAGGGCTGGCTGTATTTTTAATTTCCTCCATGAAATTTTGACCACCCCCCCCTTTGAATTGTCAAAAGATGTACCAAGATCATAGGGCTACTAGAATGAAATAGGGTTACTAGAATGAAAACTGGAGAGGGCTCCAGTAATTTTAAAATAGTGATAATTGGTGTTGGTTGCCATGCGACCAGGTAAACCAGCAAGTCCTGCTGAAATTCCCACTTCTCCATGAAAGAAATAGGAGCCAGGTTCTCCAGTTTTCACTCAAATTTCCTCTCCATGAGCTTATTACCTTCCTGTTCTGGCTTGTAGATGGGCTTGTCGGTCTGGACAAAGACTAGGCTGTCCAAGTTCTTCACGAGCACCTCCTTCCGGCTCCAGAAAGACAACGTGTCCCCCTTCACGGACACTGTGAGAAGTACCACCGGAGAGTTGGTAGGGCTGCTCCACCTGGAAATCTAAAACAGGGAGAAGGGAAGGAAGGCAACAGAGTTAAGGGTCTTTCAGTTTGTACCGTGGCCAGAACAGTCAACTCATTTTCTTCATTAACTGTTACATTGGACAACACACATTTTGTTGCCTCATGTTGTTAGAGACCCTAAATCGGGTCTCCAATACTTAAGGTCCAGGTCACGGGAGCATATAAGGAAGGAGACAGTCCCAAAAAGGATCAAAAACAAGGTTTTATTTTCATCATAGCCATGAGGAAGTCGGACAGCCATGTTAAGTGCACACAGGCACCAACGTTTGCGAATGACTGTCACCTCCTCCTCTGTTTTTTGCAAACTTTTATATACCCTCAGGTAAAGAAGAATATTTTTGTCATGGAAAGTACCTTGACCTTTACTCTTCCTGTCCCCCTCCCATCAACCTCTTAATGGAAAGTACCTTCTCGCACCTGTAGACTTTGTGCTTAACCACAAACCAATTTCCTATGTAAACTCGCTAATATAGCAACTTTTCAAAAATGCCAAAACCTTGAACTTGGTATGACCTCTATACTAACTATTTAACTATTTAACTATTCGGTTAAAGCTTTTAATTTTTAATATTTCTTAGGCTTATGCCTCCTTCAATGTCAGAAATATTGAAAATTAACAGTGTATTTTTAATTACAAGAAGTGATGTACAGGCACTGAAAGAGTTAAAATGATGCAATAACTGAGCAAAACTAGTAGAGTAATATAAGCAAGTGTGCCTGTGAGTTATTCCCTCCTCCTGTGTGAAGACTTCCTTCTGTGTGAAGAATGCCTCAGTGTAAAGAGTGCTGTGTTTGGCTGCTCCAAGGAGAGAGCTGCTTCACTTTGGAGATTGTTGTATGTTCTTTATCTACATGAGAGAAGACCAGCGTGAAGGCAAGAAGCTAAAGCAAAGATATCACAAGGAAGTATAAAGAATTTTGTTTATGTTATGGAAACCTTGTTTTCGTAACCATAGTGTTTTTCTACAAGAAAGGCCTCCAAAGGAAGATAACAACAGTCGGTGTGGGTTTTTATTTTGTCTTATACTGGCTGCTGGTTCTGGGACACATTTCTGCTGCTAAATAAGCTACTCAGTAGAATACTTTTCTGGTGAGGGTCTTTTGTTATTAAACCCATTTGCCAACACCTCAAATGTTAGCCCAGTAGTCTCGCTTATCCAACATAAACGGACCAGCAGAACATTGGATGAGCTAAAATGTTAGATAATAAGGAGGCATTAAGGAAAAGCCTATTAAACATCAAATTACGTCATGATTTTACAAATTAAGTACCAAAACATCATGTTTTACAAGAAAGCGATAGAAGAAGCAGTTCAATACATGGTAACATAATGTTACCATGTATTGGCTTGAACTGCCAACCTTTCGATCGGCAGGATCTTCTGCAGCTTCATGGTTTAACCCACTGTGCTAAGCCCAGCCCCAAAAACAAAGTTTGTGCAGTTTCAGCTCCCACAAATCCTAACAACCTCAGGCATCTTAGTCCTAAGTGGCTGAGGGGAAAAAGGAAAGGGACTGAGGCTGTTAGGAATTGTGGGACTTGAAGTCCAAAGCACTTGGAGGCCCGAGTTTGCCCATGCCTGATCTAAGTAATGCTCTCTTTCATGTCTATCTATTACTTAATAACGCCTTGCAAGATCCCTCCAGCTACTTATAATATAATATAACATAATATAATATAATATAATATAATATAATATAATATAATATAATATATTGTATATACATATAATATTGATAATATTATAATGTAATACAATATAATACTAATAATAATATGATATATATGCAGCTTATATTCATCAATCAAGGGACATATTTTGAGTTGTCAGGAGAAAGGAGATATAGGCTCTCCTTACTTAGTACCAGTCTCTCTCTCTCTGGAATGTATAGATAACATGCCCCCCTTCTCCTCCCTCTTGCCCGTGCCTTGGACACAGATCTCCTTCGGCATTCTTTCTAATACAGAGAGGGAACCTGATTTTTCTATACATTTCAGTGCTTGCAAAGTACATACAATTTAAGCATAAATAAATATCTATTTTTCCAATATTTCCTCATCACCATTCCTCTTGGTGTCCCTCCAGCAACAGCAAGGGTATCCCTCTGGGCAGCTAGACCAGGAAATCCCAACTGGATGGCCCCCCACGAAGGTCTTCCTCCAGGGGCAAACCAAGAATGGGCAACCCTGGAAGTCCCTGAATAGACTCAGAAGAAGAGTGGGCAGATCAAAAGACAACCTGGCAAAATGGCACTACCCAAAAGAATCCCACATCTTGTGTGACTGTGTAGCAGAACAGACAACTCCGCATCTGTATGCTTGTCCACTATGCCCTGCCTCATGTGCAGAGGAAGAATTGTTGGAGGCTACAGACAGTGCCATTGCTGTTGCCCGTTTTTGGTCAAAAGATATTTAGCCACCTGCGCCCCTTCTATTTTTATCAATTTTATACTATTGTATGCAATGCTTTTGATATGAAATAATAATATTAAATGTCTATCTATTGATGGAAATGAGGCTTTTCAGCTTCTGCTGACACCAAAAACTGTCGGACATAAAACCCAATTGCAATTTCTATTCCGAAATTACTTGAGGTGTGAATCCAATATTTCCCTGTATCAAAATTAAGGTTTGTGGCTACATTTAAAATAATTTATCTTTATTTCCAAACCTTTTACACCAGGCATGGGTAAACTGCGGCCCTCCAGGTGTTTTGGACTTCAACTCCCACAATTCCTAACAGCCGGAAGGCTGTTAGGAATTGTGGGAGTTGAAGTCCAAAACACCTGGAGGGCAGAAGTTTGCCCATGCCTGTTCTACATTATACAACACACTTAGGCAATAGGAGGAGATCAAAGTAGGAAGGATATTGTGGGTTCTCAATACTTAGGGACAGAGTTAGGGTTTCTGCCGGAAACTGACCACAGAGTTGTGCTGGGGGACTGAGAAATTTCTACAAAAGTATGCTCTTAGCTATTTTTAATAGGGTTTTTTTTTTATTAAAAAAATGCATTTTAATGTGAGTTCTGTGACCCTAACTCTTGCAAAAAAAGGAGAACACCTGAAATTACAAGCTTTTGTTCCTTTGCCCGATAGAAAACTCATACCATAAACGGGATGCACTGGAAATCGTCCGGCGTCGTGACCAGAGCATCTCTGATCAGGCTCTCGTTTCGGCCTCCATATTCCAATGTGATTTTCAGAGTCACGGGCTCACTGAGGTGGCTCAGCTGGACACAGATTTTCTCCGTCGTTTCAGTGTGGATCACGAAGGGCACCAACACCAAGTATTGCCTTTGGGTGTGAGGGGAAAAAAGGAGGGCAAGGCGTCATTAAAGACCTGGGGGTCATGTCATGGCATAGCTATTGGACCGAGGCCTCTCTTTGAGACTTCACCAGACCTTGAAACTTGCAAAGTGATATTAGATCAGTGGTTCTCAACCTTCCTAATGCCGCGACCCCTTAGTACAGGTCCTCATGTTGTGGTGACCCCCAACCATAATGTTATTTTCGTTGCTACTTCACAACTGTAATTTTGCTACTGTTATGATTCGTAATCTAAATATCTTATATGCAGGATGTATTTTCAGTCACTGGAACAAATTTGGCACAAATACCCAATACGCCCAAATTTGAATACTGGTGAGGTTGGGGGTGATTGATTTTGTCATTTGGTAATGCTGGAGTTGCTGGGATTTATAGTTCACCTAAAATCAAAGAGCCTTCTGAACTCCACCAATGATGGAATTGAATCAAACTTGGCACACAGAATTCCCATGACCAAGAGAAAATACTGGGAAGGTCTGGTGGACATTGACCTTGAGTTTTTGGAGTTGTAGTTCACCTACATCCAGAGAACACTGTGGACTCAAGCAATGATGGATCTGGATCAAACTTGGCACAAATACTCAATATGCCCAAATGTGAACACTGGTAGAGTTTGGAGAAAATAGACCTTGCCATTTGGGAGTTGTAATTGTTGGGATTTATAGTTCACCCACAATGAAATAGCATTCTGAACCCCACCGATAGAATTGGACCAAACTTTCCACACAGAACCCCCATAACCAACAGAAAATACTATGTTTTCTGATGGTCTTTGGTGACCCCTCTGACACCCCCTCGTGACCCCCATGGGGGTCCCGACCCCCAGGTTGAGAAACATGTCAATATGTGTTGAAGGCTTTCATGGTGGAATCACTGGGTTGTTGTAGGTTTTTCGGGTCAGCCTCCTTGCTTGATCTTGGATCAGTTTTGACACCATTGTGTTTTCAGAGGTTGTGAGGATGCTTGCCATAGATGCAGGTGAAACATCAGGAGAGAATGCTTCTAGAACATGGCCATATAGCCCAAAAAACCTACAACAATCCGGATATTAGATCAATTATCTTCTCTCTACAAGTGCAGTTAATTCATGCAGTTCAACATCACTTTAACCACCACAGCTAACTGCTACAGAATCAGGGGAATTGTAGTTAGGGGAAGACATGCTACCCATTCTCTATTCTGCCTTGGTTAGACCACACCTGGAATACTGTGTCCAATTCTGGGCACCACAATTAAAGAGAGATATTGACAAGCTGGAATGTGTCCAGAGGAGGGCGACTCAAATAATCAAGGGTCTGGGGAACAAGCCCTGTGAGGAGCAGCTTAAAGAGCTGCCCATGTTTAGCCTGAAGAAGAAAAGGCTGAGAGGAGACATGACAGCCATGTATAAATAGTCTCAGGTTGACTTGTTTTCGATCAATCCATGTTGACTATTAGCGATTCGTTTCTAAGTGTTTGCAGACCACTTAAGGCTGAGAGGACACATGATAGCCATGAATAAATACGTGAGGAGAAGTCATAGGGAGGAGGGAGCAAGCTTGTTTTCTGCTGCCCTGGAGACTAGGACGCAATGGGACAATGGCTTCAAACTACAAGAAAGGAGATTCCATCTGAACATGAGGAAGAACTTCCTGACTGTGAGGGCTGTTCAGCAGTGGAACTCTCTGCCCCGGAGTGTGGTGAAGGCTTCTGAACAGAGACTGGATGGCCATCTATTGTGGGTGCTTTGAATGTGATTTTCCTGCTTCTTGGCAGGAGGTTGGACTGGATGGCCCATGAGGTCTCTTCCAATAATGATTCTATGATTCTACGGCACCAGCACTCTTTAGTAGAGGAGGCTAAGGCTGAGCTTGGAATCCCAGGTTTTGCCGGTGGCCAGAGGAGCTTTTACACAGGTCAAACTTGTATACCAGCTGCGCCCGAATCTTGGGAGGTATGACTTGGCCATGGTGGTCCATACTCTGGTTACATTCCGAATAGACTACTACAACTTCCTCTATATGGGATTGCCTCTGAAGACAGCTCAGAAGCTCCAGCCAGTCCAACGCTTGGCAGTCAGGTTGCTCACGGGAGCACATTACAGGGAGCATATAACTCCCTTGCTCCTTCAGCTCCACTGGCTGCCTATTAGCTTCCAGGCTCAATTCAAACTGCTGGTGCTCACCTATAAAACCCTAAACAGTTCTGGCTCAGTTTACCTGTACGGACGTATCTCCCCCTATGAACCATCTAGGATGAGGTCCACAAACTTTTTAAACAGAGGGCAGGTCACAGTCCCTCAAACTGTTGGAGGGCCGGATTATAATTTGAAAAAAAAGAATGAATTCCCATGCAAAGTGCATGTATCTTATTTGTACTTTAGAATAATACAATAATTAAAATGAAGAACAATTTTAACAAATATAAACTTATTAGTATTTTATTGGGAAGTGTGGGCCTGCTTTTGGCTGATGAGATAGGATTGTTGTTGTTGTTGTGTGCTTTCAAGTAGTTTCAAACTTAGGTTGACTCTGAGTGAGGGCCGGGTAAATGACCTTGGAGGGCCGTATTCGGCCCCCGGGCCGTAGTTTGAGGACTCCTGGTTTAGGACCTTAAGATCATCCGGGGAGGCCCTGCTCCCGGTCCCACCACCATCGCAGTCGCGTTTGGTGGGGACGAGAGACAACGACAACTATTTTTTTTAATTACGGTCCCATCAGTAAAACCAGCAATCATTATAAATTCTCCCATCTCTGAAGAAGTCCATTGTCCAATATACAGCTACATGGTTTCAAGGAATACCCCTACTGGAGGTTAGTTACTTTCTCAGTCTTGTTGCCACTGTGAGGAATTTTGCCACTATGAGAGTCACCCTGTGGCACTTGCCCTCTAAAAGGTATCTAACAATCCTCTGCGGGGGACGACTGGTCATGTGGCACAAGATTGGATATATAAGTTGGCTACGTTGCATTGTGTAGTAGCAGCACTGCAATAAAATGTGTTCTATTGTTTCTATTTCGTTTCCTTCACAGGGACATAGTCTTTGGGAGTAAGGAATTCCAGACAGTCTGCCTCTTAGCAACTCTGAGGGAAATACATTTAATCTCACCTTTGTTGGTGTGGTATTTAATCACTGTAAGAATTTTTAGATATTTGCAAGACTTAAATCCTGGTAATGGGATCAGGCGTTCACAGAATAGTTTGGACAAGATTTATTGAACCAGACTTGGGACTGCTTTGGATGACGATTTTAATTCTGGTGATGTTAATCTGGCGAGTGGGTTCTTGATGCATATTTAGAATTATTTAAATTTTATGGATGTATTTATTATGTGTTTTATATTATGTTTGGCATCGAATGGTTGTCTGTTTGAAAGCCATTCTGAGTCCCTCCGCGGAGGTCGAGAGGGACGGGGTATAAATCTATATAAATAAAAATGTCATGCTCGTTTGTGGGATTAACATCACTCCAAAACCACTGGACAAATTGACAGTAAATTTGGACACAAGACACCTAGCAGGTCAACGAGTGACCATCACTGATAAAAACACTGAAAAACACAGCAGAAGAGACTTAAAAAGCAAAAAAGAATTACAATGCATGCTCAAAACCACATATATATACGCAAACACACATATATACACATATACACATATATATACACACATATATGCACATATATACACACACAAAACACATATTCACAGACTGGGCCGCAGCAACGCGTGGCAGTGTTTTAAATAAATAAATAAATAAAATCTACAGAGCCACAGAATGTGGCATAGGAAACCGTTCCCACTGCCTGCACACTTGCCAAGGTTTGGCTCTCTCAGTAAGATCTGTGATTGTAGGTGAACTATAAATCCCAGCAACTACAACTCTCAAATATCAAGATTCTATTTTCCCCAAACTCCACTTGTGTTCACATTTGGGCATATTGAGTATTTGTGTAGAGTTTGGTCCACATCCATCATTGTTTGAGTCCACAGTGATCTCTGGATGTAGGTGAACTACAACTCCAAAACCAAAGGACTCTGCCCACCAAACCCTTCCAGTATTTTCTGTTGGTCATGGGAGAACTGTGTGCCAAGTTTAGTTCAATTCCATCGTTGGTGAGGTTCAGAATGCTTTTTGATTGTAGGTGAACTATAAATCCCAGCAACTACAACTCCCAAATGACAAAATCAATTTTTTTGAGTGAAGGACATACATTGGGTTGTTAGGTGTCTTGCGTCCAAATTTGGTGTCAATTCCCCCAGTGGTTTTGGAGTCATGTTAATCCCACAAACGAACATTACATTTTTATTTATATAGATAGCAAAGATATATTCCTACCTCTGTAGTTTGCTGTTTCACCACTGTTCTAATTCAAATATATTTTCGGTAACCAATTATCTTGCAAAATGCTCCTCCACATTCTGTTATTTGGATGGGCATTCAACTTCAGGCGACTAGTTGCCTCGGTTTTGTAATTTTATAGGTTATATTTATACCATTTCTGAGCGTAATGCTCGTTAAAAGCAATAATTTTGAGGGGGAAGCTGTGTTTGTCTGTTGCACTTAAATTGGCACACCTTTATTTTCTTGGACTTCAGCCTGTTTCTTCTGTGACTTTGGATGAAGTGAGCTTAAGTCCACAAAAGCTCTGGCCAAATAGAGCTGGTTAACCTTTAAAGTGCCGCAGGACTTGTCGTGAGTTGCATCCATAGCAATAGTTTGTTGTTTGGTATGATTTATTATTTTTCTTTGGTATGATTTATTATTTTTCTAAAGGTAAAACAGCAAAACATCTGGGAGTCTCCCCAGCAACGTCCTTGCAGGCGGCTAATTCTCTCACACCAGAAGCGACTTGCAGTTTCTTAAATGGACAATGGGTGCATTATTCCACACTGTAGAAGTAATGTAGTGTGATACCACTTCGTCTATGTAAGAGAGATGTTGACAGGCTGGAATGTGTCCAGAGGAGGGCGACTACAATGATCAAAGGTCTGGAGAACAAGCCCTATGAGGAGCGGCTTA